CTAGGCGCTAGCGTAAGACGCATTCCACCCAAGTCTCGACGACCTAAAATTGTGTCCCGCATTCAATGTGACGCTCACAGCCTCATCAAAAGAGCTCGGGTGGGTTCGGAACACCTCCGTCCTGGCAACGCCAGTGCGGAGGTCCTCTATGAACACCGTAACGATGACTGCTTCCGGCAGGGGGTCCGCAGACATGCCAGCAATGAGAGTTCTCAACTCTTGGATATAGCCCATCAACTCCTTCTTGCTCTGCCTGGTCGCCAGGAAGCGTGAGCGCACGCGATACGCCTCGTTAGGCGGAGCAAACACTCGGGACAATTGCTGTTTCAGCTGGTCCCACGTCGGGAAGGCCACCTCGACCGACGTCCCGAATGCTAGTGCCCACTCCCTCGCTCGCCCACCGAGCTTCGAGATAGCTAGTGCCACGCGCTGCGACTCCGTCCGGAGTAGAGCTGAGCTCATAGCCATCTTAACCTCACGGGTCCAAAGCATCAAGCTTTCACCCTCCTCGCCTTCGAAGGTCTTCACGATTAACATGAGCGGCTTGGGTCTTGTTGCTGCGTCGGATGACGAAGCGGGCGCTTGGGGCGCCGCGGCCGTTGCCATCCTCTGCTGGAGGTACTCTAGCAGAGCATTTTCGTAGCTTGTAAACGCCTCGAGACGCGCGTTCACCGCGTCGGGGCCTGGCTGCGCAAGTTGCGTCACGCCCTCCGGGCCCAGCAAGGACATAAGCTTTTAAAGCGCATCCTGCTGGTTCGGGGGCAAGTGAGCGAACTGCTCCATTCTCCACAGAGGGTCAGTCTATACATACTCTGGTGTCGGATTGACTACAAGTGCTACCAAGTGCAGCGGGACTGCCGTAGCATTAGCGTCAGAGGAAGACGTAACAGACCCACAGAGTCTCAGCTTAAGATAGTCCGTTCTAATACCAGAACGTACGAGTCCGTACACCTTACGGACTCCAAGAGTCAACCCTTAACTCTTAACTGTGTGAATCTCAAACTGAATCTATTTCTCTTTAGCGCGACCAAGCCGCCTACGGTGTAAATGTATCCGGTTCACTATCTAGCATAGTGAACCCTAGTCATATACATAATCAGTGGCTCTGAAGCCATGTACTGATTCTCCTACTGATTTAGGCTAAACAGTGTGTACCCACTTCGTAACCCTTCGGGTAACTCTCGTGTAACCCCGTTACAGTGTACGTGTGCTATATCCAGATGTAGTGCGTTATTTAGGGATGGGACGCCATTTTTCATATTTTCTCATCTTGGTCGATCGGCAATCGGCGATCCACGATCCGCCGTGCTGGATCGGCGATCTGTCCACTTCGGTCTTCCGCCGTCCCAAATCTACGATATCGCGCGTAACGCTTTTCGCCTTCGAGACGCGCTCTTCGAACGAGGTACCACCATTCTCCATGTGTCAATCAGCTGTGATCTACCTCGTACCACACTCCGCCTACGCGCGAGCATTATCCAGATGCCTCGATCGCTCGTCGAACCTTCTTGATCTACACAATCCCAGTCTTATTCACGTCGCCCTTCTCTCGATCGTCGATCTCCTTGATTTTCGGTCGATCGGTTATGCCGCGTTTCTCAGAGAACAAATCTTGTTCTCGCGCTTCTCCACACGACCGCACGTCGATCGTCCTCTCCGCCAATTGGCACCCTCCGTTCATGCAGCTCGCACGTCTGCCTCTCGTCAATGTTCCCGCAACGCATCCACCGCGAACTTGCTCTCTGCCCGCCGCGCTCGTCTTACTCGTCGGGCTCGTCGCGCTCGGCCAACGCGACGCGCCCGTCAAACTCGTTGCGCCCGTCAAACTCGCTACTCGTCGCACTGGTCGCACCTACTGTGTGCGTCACGCTCCTTGCGCCCGCCACAACCATCGCGCCCGGCGCGTCCATCTCGAAAATCTGCCTGCAAAAGGCCTGTCCGCCGATCCCCACTGTTACATTGTGTTCATTTAGATCTCTAGGTACTAACGATCATCAATATCCGGAGCTAACACACATACACGTTGTTAGCTGAAAGGTGTGAATCATATCATGAGCGTGTGTGCGATAGTACCTCAGAAGATGTTGGCAGCGCGTCACACTGCACGAGGACACACAGGTACCTCTCCCTTTAGTCATGATCGACAAATGTGTGGGTGGCTGGGACGCTCCAGTGGCGGCGATGGTGCTAACACGAGCGTTGTGTTTGATCAGGAGGTGATCGAACACCGAGCGACACGAACCAAGTCAACATCAAGGGCGTGGTATGGGTCAGTATGTGGGGTTATTCGTTTGTTTGTGTTCGGATAGGTGTCTAGGTGGTTTGATTCCGCGCTCACTGACATGAAGTAGGGCCACCACAAAGATTCTTGAAATCACAGCTATGGAAAGTTCGTGTCAACATGCCACGCAAGGAAAAATCTCAAGTCTTCAGTATAACGGTTGTTATCGGACAGGCAGCAAAGCAGCATAAGATATGGCCTTGCGGATAGCTGGATAGCAAAAAGCAATAGCCCTAAGAAGGCATTTGGAACTTCAGTATGGAATTACTTTTTTACGCAGAGGCGCGGTGGGAATATATATTGGGACAAAAAAACTACAATAAGATACCAGGCCCAGCAGTATACAGTGAAACACAGAACAGCAAACACAAGACCACATACTAAGTATACCACTGTAAAATACAAATTAACTGCAAATGAAATACCACAAAATAATAGCAATTATCATGAAATAAAAGCAAAAATCTAATCTAGCAATACAACAAAATAGAATCCAATCGAAGCGGTGTGTCGCCCCGGCGCGCTGTTAGGCGACTACGTCTCTCCCATGGACCCGGGTAAGCTGTTCTGTATGTGGTGACAAAAGGATGCCGGTACATGTATACCGGTGTCGAAAACGCGGTGCAGGAGTACCCTCAGCTTGTTTAGGCGCAGTGCATCATACTAAGTGCGCCCAACAACTCTACTACATGTATGGACTACAACGAGACTGTATCCTTGTGCGGACACGTAATCTCTTCGAGATGCTCTCAAGTCTCGATAAAATGGCCGCGAGTCAAGTACTTCTGTAAAGCGATACTCTTGACACAAGTTTTGAGCAGCTTCACTATTCTTCAGTACATTTATATTACTGAATTAGCACTCCACCAATCAGATGAATGAATAGATTATTATCGACCAATCAGATGCCGAGGCTGCACGAATAGCGCCAAGTCCACGAAAACTCCCGCGAAATGAGCGTGCTAGAAGCGGCGGCGTCTCCGAGCAGCAGCGGTGCGTGGCGGGACCCGCCGGTGGAGCTAGACAGCGTCTCATTCCTTGTTGTTCGTGCGCAGACTCGTCGCCCGTGCTGGTGGAGGCCCCGGATCGCCAGCGAGTGCGCGCCCGGCCCGTGGACACCGAGGAAGAGGAGGAGGAGGTACGATACCTACCTACCTAGTGGAGATGGATGGGTCCGGACCATGGGACCCACAGGCAAATTGCTGTTGGTTGTGTGTCTGGGTGTGAAGCAGTCGGAGGGCGGCGACACGGACGAGCTGGAGGAGGAGGAGAACAGGGAGGACGACGAGCAGCAGCAGCAAGAGGACGAGGAGATGGACGAAGATGACGCTCAGGAGGACGACGCCGAAGTAGAAGAAGTAGTAGAAGAAAAAGAGGAGGAGGAGGAGGAGGAGGAAGAAGAAGAAGAGGAGGAGGAGACGACGAAGAAGGGCAAGAAGAGCAAGAAGAGCAAGAAGAGACCTGTCAGGCGCCCCTCGGTACAATGCCGCGTCTCCACACTCCGGCGTGCATTATGCAGAGTCATCTGACGGTCGTGTGTTTGTGTGCGGTTGGTTTCTTTTCGACAGCGCCGACTGCAGACAGAGCTGGACATCGCCAGCCCGCAGCCCTCCACGGGTCGCGAAGACGTCAGCAGCGCGTCGCCGTCGTCGTCCTCGCGCTACTCGCTGCGCACGCGGCACAGCAAACCCAAGCGCTTCGACGAGTCCGTGTACAACGACGTCTTCGCCAGCTCACACTCGCGCGCGGATTCCGACGCCGAGTCGACGCCCGAATCCGCTGTCAGCAACAACAAGAAGCGCCGGCGTCGGCGTAGTCGCAGCCGGCGGTCCAAGCGGCAACGTCGAGATGAGGGCGGGGAGGAGGAGGAGGGAGACGACGACGACGAAGATGAAGACAATGGTGACGAGCACCAGCAAGCGAACGAGTACGTGGACCGCTTGAACATGCGCGAGATCAACCGGCGGATCAAGGCACAGCAGCGCGAGGAGCAAGAGAAAGAGAGACGCTCGCGCGCGACGCGATACTCGCTGCGGTCACGAGAGAGTCTCACGACAAGCGAGACAAGCGTCATATCGCCTCCGCAGAGTGAGACCAGGACCCGCTCGACAGGGAAACGATCACAGCTCGAAGTGAGCGCAGAGGATGATCATGCCGAGGCCGGACAAGACGAAGATGCCGACAAAGAGTCCCAGTCAGAGAATGAAGCGAACTCGGATGAGCAGGAGGATGAGGACGGCGAAGCAGGACCAGCAAGTTCGACTCGTTACCAGCTGCGAGAGCGTCGTCAAGCTGCTTCAAGCAACTCTATGACCACTCGAAGCCGAGCGAAGCCCAGCGCTACACCTGTGTTCGACACTGAGGACAATTCACGACGCTATTCTCTGCGCGATCGCTCCAAAACCCACCGTACGGATGCAGAGGAAGATGCGGGCGCGTCTCCAGAGACTTCAGCGTACGCGGAGTATTACAAACGACAGGCCAATCGCGCCTCTAGGAGAAGTGCTACGAACGGCTCTACGAGCAACCGACGATTGTTTTTGCCGGACATGGATACCTCGCCCCCTCCCCGCTGCCGCCGGAGCCGAGGCCGAAGCCGAGCGCACAGGAATCGTCGCCGTCGCTCCCTCTCGTCTTCTTCTTCAGGATCGTCATCGTCCGACATGTACATGGACGACGACGACTCGGACGGAGGTATGCGAACGAGTAGCCCGTGGCGATCGTCCAAAGGTTCTCGGAAAGGTGCAAGTTCACGCGCTGATATAACGCCTGTGGAAGTGGATCGCAGCATAACGTGGGAGAGTGTGGGTGGCCTCAAGTCGCACATTGAGGCTCTGAAGGAAATGGTGATGCTGCCCCTCCTGTACCCGGAATTTTACGACAAGTACAAGGTCTCTCCACCGTCGGGTGTGCTGTTCTATGGCCCCCCAGGCACAGGCAAAACGTTGCTAGCTAGAGCTTTGGCGAACTCGTGCTCCGTGTATGATGAAGGCGAGCAAGCTAGTGAATCAAAAGGATCTTCGAGCCCAGCTCAGCATGGTGGATCGAAGAAGAAGGGGAGACCAAGACGGCACGTCACGTTCTATATGAGGAAAGGAGCGGATTGTCTGAGCAAGTGGGTGGGAGAAGCAGAGCGGCAGCTACGCCTATTGTTTGAGGAGGCGAAGCGTAACCAGCCCTCGATCATCTTCTTCGATGAGATTGATGGTCTCGCACCGGTGCGTAGCGCCAAACAAGACCAAATCCACGCATCGATTGTGTCGACTTTGCTGGCCTTGATGGATGGTATGGATTCTCGTGGACGCGTCGTCGTTATTGGGGCGACCAACCGACTGGATGCGATTGACCCTGCGTTGCGTCGACCTGGCCGGTTCGACCGAGAGCTAGGCTTCAAGTTACCAAACGTGAACGAGCGGAAAAGTATGCTGGCGATCCACTCGAAGCATTGGAAGCCCCCACTGTCGGACAGATTCCTTACGGACCTTGCCGAACAAACAGTGGGCTACTGTGGTGCCGACATCAAAGCACTTTGCGCCGAGGCGGCCTTGTGCTCTCTGCGGCGCGTGTATCCGCAAGTGTATGCGAGTCAAGATAAACTGCTGATTAATCTGGACAAGGTGGTTGTAGCTCGCAGTGACTTCATGAAGGCAGCGAAGAAAATCACCCCAGCTTCGCACCGAGCTGTGAGCTCGTTTGCGTCGCCATTGCCCCGCGCCGTGAAAGGGTTACTGGAGGGGCAGCTCAAAACGATCTTGCGCGATGTGGCGAATCACTTCCCGCTATTCCCTCTCGACAAAGCCGCAATTGATGATGCAGTCACCTCCACTGACGAAGTAAAAGGCGAATTGCGTGCCGACGAGGACGAAAACGAAGACGAGGACGAGGGCGAGGATATTTATGCCGTTGCGAACCACGATGATTGCGACGTTTGCTACGGAGATGAAGGCGAGTTGCTTTGCTGCGACGCGTGTCCTGGTGCTTTCCATCGTGCGTGTCTTTCGGATTCGGCCACGGCTCAGGAGTCTACTGAGGTCACCACCAGTGGCCTTTGGTTCTGCTCGGATTGCCAGAGCTCCAACGCGGCTGTCGTGCAAAAGGCACTAAACCGAGCGCAAAAGAAGCGCGTCCACTCGATCGCTTCTCTTCATATACCACGCCACTCAGGGTTCCCTCGCGTCTTGGTTGCGGGCAAGGCTGGCATGGGGCAGCAGTACATTGGCCCAGCACTGCTGCACACGTTGGAGGGACTTACGCACTTCTCCCTCGACTATCCGTCGCTTGTTGCCGATTCGAACTCGCACGCCCCGGAAGAAGCTCTGATCCAGAGACTCACTGAGGCGCAGAAGTGTCTGCCGTGTGTGCTTTACCTCCCACAGATCGAGCTGTGGTGGAGGAACACGACCGAGTCGATGCACCTGACGCTGAAGATGATGCTGATGAACCTGCAAGTCCGGGCCAACCTGCCGATTCTGTTCTTGGCATGCACGGCGTCGTCCTCGATCGATGATCAGAATTTACCGGAGGATCTGCTGGCATTGTTCAAGGAGGACCCCAGCGTGTCCCGAACGTCTGTTGTGATGGAGCTGGATTCACCGAGCAAGGCCGCTCGGTTGGTCCACTTCGAGCAAGTTTTTTGCTCTTTCGCTACGCCTCCTTCGGTGCAGAAGACCAAGCGTAACAAGAATGAGCAGCTGGAGGTGTTGCCGCTCGCCCCGCTTCCTCCTGCGCCGTCGTTCATTGACCTGAGTCCGGAAGAGCAGCAGAAGAGAAAGGAGCGAGACCTTCACTTTCTGCGTGAGCTGCGCATTTTCCTGAGTCAGGTGCTGGACTACTGCTATTCGCAGAGGCCATACACGCCGTTCTACGTTCCGGTGGACCCAGCCGCCGTGCCGAACTACTATTTGATTGTGAAGCGCCCGATGGACTTGAGTACGATGCGGGACAAACTGAACGACGAAGAGTACACGTGCTTCGAGCAGTTCATGGACGACGTCCAGCTCATCGTGCGGAACGCCAATGTGTTCAACCCCAAGCGCAGCAGGACGCGTCATATTGCGCACGCAGCTGGCACCATGAAGGACAATATCCTGTCGTATGCGCACCGATTCCGCATCCGCCAGGGCTACGACCTGTTCGCCAAGTGCCGTGAAGTAACCAAGCGACTACGAGCCCACCCAAGTTTGTATGGGGAGTACGGCCAGCGATTCTTAAACTCTGCTGGGAAGACCACCCGCAAGAATCAGACTCGAGCCCACGAGAAGCCCGGCGTGCGCACCAGCGCGCGGCTCCGTGGTGTAAAAGCTCCCGAGATCAGCTTGGATGCAGCCATTTCGCGCGCGACCGCCAACGGCGGCAGCCACAAGATGACCAGCAATAGGGTGACTGTGAAGAAGGAGCCTGCGACGGAAGTGGAGGATCCAAGCGGCAGCAAGGAAGCGGCAGAAGGTGACAAGCAGGTGACCCAGTGGTTTGACGAGGAAGAAGGGAAGAGTGAAGAAGAGGAACCGTCCAACACTGACAGCGGCGAGAAGGCTGACGAGAGAACCATCGAGGAGGCCGATGATAGCGAAGACGAGGTGTTTGACGAGGGCGATCGTGTCTTTGTAAGCAGTCGGACGCATCCGGGAATGAATCGACCGGGCGGAGCTGGCGTCGTGCAGGGTCGCAATAAGGACGGCACGTACAACGTCAAGTACATTCTCGGCGGTACTGAGAAGAACGTGAGCGTGAAGTACATCAAGCGCTTGACGGACGACGCAGTGATGGAGTCGGTGAAGACGCAGCGGGATGTATCCAACAGCTCGGCGGAGGCGGCAGGCGCCGTGCGCTTGATCCACGCGGAGGAGAAGATGGACGAGACGGACTACTTCGATGAGCTCTTGTGGCCCCTCTTGAAGGAGGAAGGCTGGACGCGCGACGACAACTTCGATATCATCGAAGCTTCGGGCAAGGAGTCCGGGCTGGCCGTGCAGCGCGTCGTGTTCAAGCCGAACAAGAAGCGCAACGGCGAGACTATGACTTTGAACAGCGTGATGGAGGCCTTGGAGTATGTCAACCAGGAGCCCGAGCTGGCGAAAAAGTGCTTCGGCAACCGGTACGCGGAAGGCATGTTGACGGATCAAGCGCTTGGTGGGGACAGCAGCGACGACGAGACCGTCGAGGCGGAGGAGGGCAGCGGCGTCACGACGGACGAGAAGGCCTCGGCACCGCAGAGCGAAGTTGCTGACGAGCAGATGCCTGAGGCGCGCGACGAAGAGGAAGAGGAGAAAGTGGCTGAGGATGTGGAGGACACACCGGACTTTATTTATGACGAGGTACGGGCGGCGGCGTGCTTGCTCTTGTGTTGGTTGGAATGCTGATGTGCTTACGGTGTGGTGTGGCTTGTGTGTTTGCTGCAGGCCCGAATGGAGGCGGTCTTGAAGAAGCTGGTGGCGAAGACGGCGGGCTGGTCGGTCGACAAGCTGCGCGACGAGCTGCTGCAGCTGAACAAGCTGGCGTACCCGTTCCGCAACCGCTTCGACCGGGCCGACCTGATGATGGTGCGTCTATGGAGTGTCGAGTGCCATGTCTGTGAAGAGTGTCCTTGTACTGACCGTGTCGAATTGGCGTGTGCAGGTTATAGAGGCGCGAGTGATGATGATGCAGTGATGGATAGCTATAACGGCAAATACACGCATAGACTTCATCCCCTAGTGTGCCATTAGCAACTTGCTTCAACTGGACTCGAGTGAACCCATCTACAGTAGAATGGCAGATCAGCTTGACCATCTTTCCCGTGTAGGTACGATATAACCCATACTTTATTCAAACTTGAACGCTTATCGAGCACAAGAGCGCGATCTCTGGAGCATTCTCCCCTTCAAGGTCCAATTATCATATTCGCGTGTCCCCAGTCTATAGTCTCCAGCCAGGGTCGCCATGCCGATCGTGTACGCGCTCGTGTCGCGCGAGAAGACGGTGCTGGCCGAGTACACGGCCACGTCGGGCAACTTCCCCACGGTGACGCGCGTGCTGCTGGCCAAGATCCCGACGGCGGACGGCCGCATGTCGTACGTCTACGACCGGCACATCTTCCACTACATCGTCGAGGGCGGCGTGACGTACCTGTGCATGGCCGACGACGATCTCAAGCGGCGCGTGCCCTTCCTCTTCCTCGAGGACATGAAGAGCCGCTTCCAGGCCGCGTACGGCGAGCGCGCGCTCACGGCCATCGCCTTCGCCATGAACGACCAGTTCCAGCACGAGATCCGGCGCCTGCTCGACTACTACAACGCCAACCCGGACGCGGACTCGCTCTCGCGGGTCAAGCAGCAGATCGACGACGTCAAGGACATCATGGTGGAGAACATCGAGAAGGTGCTGGACCGCGGCGAGAAGTTCGAGCTGCTCGTGGACCGCACGGACAAGCTCAACCGCCAGTCGGTCAAGTTCGAGCGCTCGTCCACGCAGCTGCGCAAGTCCATGTGGAGACGCAACGTCAAGCTCTGGCTGCTGCTGGTGCTCGTCGGGCTCTTCGTCATCTACCTCGTCATCTCCATGGCCTGCGGCTTCGACTTCAGCGGCTGCTCCGGCAAGCGCGACGACGACGAGTGAGAAATCCCCACGCTCGGGTCATGGATGGAAAAGTAAAACAAGTTTTTGCATATCGTTCCTCTTGTCGACAACTTTCACGTCGACTCACTGCAATTTGTGTTTGTTTGCGCAAAGGTTAGTGGTCTATCTATTCATCTACTTTCTATCTGTGTGGGCTTGTATGTCTGTGGCTTTAGCCTGCTGGCCCCTACGACGCAGTCCAGCGCATGGTCAAAGTTCGTCTCGGAGGAATTGCGCACGCCGTGGTGCCAGTGGCTCTCGACGTTGGCGTGCAGTGCCGCCGTGATGGCTTTGTAGATGACCTCGTCTCGCCCCAAGAAGTGCACGAGCACGAACTGGCAGCCGGTGAAGGCCAGCGCCTCCTTGGCCACGTCGACGTTTGGACTCTGAAGGGTGCGCGCCAGACGCGTGAAAATGCGGCGCTGCAGCACCTCCGTCGGGTCAACTTGGTGGAGCGGCGGCCCGGACATAATAACTCGCGCCACCATGCGGACCGCACCCACCTCCTGCTTCGGGTACCGAGTCGGCCACGCACTCAGCAATCGCTTCAGCAATGGACCAGTCACTGACGGCATGTACGCCACGAATTGGCCGGCACAACTGATGAGCTCTTCGTCGTCGGACCCAGCGGGGTCGACCCAATGCGCACGCCAGAGCGAAACGAGGCTGGTCAGGCAGTTGCGTACAAGTTCCTTCTGCTGCTCCTCCTGTTCCTGCGCTGCATCCGATCCGTCCGGTGGAGTCGCCAGCAAGCTTTCTTCGACATGCTCAATCGAGTAGCGCAGCAGCTCGGTGAAGCCGTGTCCGTGGTCGTGCTGGTGATCGGTGATCACTTGCGACGAGCTCTTTTCGACGCCTAGGCTCTGTGCTCGGGCTGCAACCGCAGTGACGTACTCGACGCGAAGAGCAGTGGCGTCGGCGAGTGCTCGTGCGAGATGCAACCTCTTGGTGGGGCAGCTCTTGTGGATGGCGCGCAGGATGTCGAGTCGCGCGCTGGCTGTGCGGAAGTCCTCGAAGCGCAACGCGTTCACCAGCGCGTGCATGAACGTTGGGGTGATGAGGCTGTCTGCTGCCGCCGCCGGAGACACGGCAGTCGGAAGTGACGACGGCGCGTGCAGGTTGATCTGGTCCTTGAAGAGCGCGTTGGCGAGTCCCCGCTTGACGAACTCCTCGTTGGGCTCGTCCGTGTCTGTTCCTGTGTCGTCTCCGAACGCGCTGAGGGCTTGTCGCGGGCGGTTGCGCCGTCCTTCACTGCGCGCGAACAGCGCCTTGAAGATGGTGTCGATGACGTCGTCGCGACTGGCCACTCGCTGCGGCAGACGCTTCTGCTGGCTGAAGAGCGTGAGCTGCTGCGGGAAGGCGCTCCCTGCCGTCTCGGGGTACACGTCCTCCGCATCCTGCTGACCTGTCGAGGCTGCTGTCGTCTCCGTCTCCTGCTCGCTCGTTGTGTCCTGTGTTTGCAGCTCCGTCGACGTGAGCGACAGCTTGCGCCTGTGTCGCTCGTGCAGCGACGCTGCTGCGGCCTTGGCCGACGGCTGCGCCTGGCCCTGTTTGTTGAGGCCCTTGGTCCCCATGCGCTGACGTCTGGGCTTGGGCTGTGCTGTTCCATTGCCACTACGAGCCGTAGATCTGCTAGTCGTAGTAGTCTGCTGCTGCTGCTGGGTCTTCTTGGCGGCCGCCTCGATGTTCTGGTGCAGCTTGGCAGCTGCCGCCGCGGTGGCCGAGCGCCGCGGCTTTCGAGACGCAGAGGCCGCAGTCGTCGAGGTCGCAGGTCCACGCCGATCCGTCACGAACGCCATCGAGCGCTTGGGCGTGGTAGGCGCCGAGGCCGGAGCTTGGGCGGCGCGTTGCGCAGCTGGCACGAACACGGGCGCCGACAGCGAAAGACTCGCGCGGCCGAAGCGCTGCTCCAGCTCGTCCTCATCCAGGCTGCGCTCGCGGTCGCGCTGGCGGCGCACGCGGCTGGCGCGCAGCTTGGAGCCGCCGCCACGCGCCTTGGCGACGAGCTCTCCAGAGTTGGCACGACGCATGGTCCACTGATGGCTGCGTCGCCGGACAAGTCGCCCTCAAGTTGCAACCCGGTCTGGCAACCAGCAACCTACTTTGTGCGCCACACCAATCAGAACATTCGAGATGAAATTATCGGATGCAAATTTACTAAAATCAGGCTGGTTGTGTACCTTAATTCAGTGAATCGTTATCCATACTTCTGTTAAAGTAGCTTACCTTTTCAGCCTCAGTACTTTGTTTTCAAGGCCAACTTTTGTGGTGGCGCTCGGACGCTGCAATGCCCTGAACATTGAGTGCGGAGGCGAAGTGGAGGTGGAGCAAAATTCGCCAAAGAAGGCCGAGCGTGCCAGGGCGCTCTAGGAAATAGAAGCCTCCAACAATGTGGTTTTGCTGACAAGAGATGCCCTTCAGGAGTTATGCAACGAGTTTGATCCTGCTAAACAACCCGCTTGCCAGTTCTCCCTTGACGACGCAGTATGCAGCGCATTTGCCTTCTCTGCGGTTGTTCAAGCTTGTCATCTACAAACTTGGCCCTGCAAAGTCTAACACAGGCATTGGTCTCGCCACGATTTGCCGCGTTGCTGAAGCGACGCAACCGTCATTCATGGAGCTGCACTACGAGGGTCGAGCGCAGGGCGCGCCGCTAGAGTTCTCGCCGAAGCACCGCCAGCATACGCTGGTGCTGCGCAATTCGTCGATTTCCAGCACCGCCGTGCTCTTCAAAGTGCAATGCACGGCGCCGCGCAGGTTCCGCGTGCGGCCGGCACTCGGCCTCCTCATTGCCTCAGGTGATACTGTCAATATCCAAGTCCAGTTGCGCTCGCAGGTTCGTCTCCCTGGCTGCCGCTGTTGCGTGCATCGCATCCTTATTTACGCGAACTGTGTAGGAATGCACGCCGGCTTCGTGCATGCTCTTGGTCGTGGGCCGTTCCGTCGTAGACGCCCCATTCACTCGGGCCCCATCGGATGCGGAGCAGCTCAAGGCCATGTGGGCTGCAGCAGAAGCATCGGACAGCTTGGTGATCTCAGAGATGATCAACATCCGGATCCAAGTCTCCTCAGTCGTGACAGCAGATCATGACAAAGCGATGGCGTTACCTGTACAGCGCACGACGACGCAGGTTGCCGAGCTGGTGCTGCTGATGATGAAGAGCCAAAGCAGCCGACAAGAAAACGCGCTGACGGACAGTGAGCGCGAGATGCTGCTGACTGCTCGAGCATCGCACCCATCGGACTGGCCTTGCTGGGAAGAGTACGCCGCCCGGATGAGGAAGCTGCTGCGAGAGCGCAACAAACGCAAGGCACGTTGAATCAATCGAAGATAACCAAACGTTTTCCATTAACTTTGCCATTAAATAAGAGGTACTGCCTTCGTATCACTCCGAAGACGTGTTACTGCTCCTGACGCTGCTTTTCGATCGCCTCGGGCGATCTATGCCTGCACGAGGTCCACCACATGTCGCGAGAGCACTCTTTCAGCCTCGAACTCGTCCTCTTCGCCCTCGGATGGGATATCGATCATCGGGATGACTTCCTCGCCGTCAAAGAACTCGTCGTCGTCGTCCAGCGTCACAAACGCCTCCGTATCGATGAAGCTGTCGTCTTCGATCCGGCCGTATGACTTGGCCTCGGGGCGTGCATCACTTGGGTGCTCGTCTTCTTCTTCGTCCTCTTCCAGATCCATGGGATCGATCGAGGTGAGGCGCGGGTGCAGGTGGTCCGTCGGGAGCCAGACGACAGACTGAGGTGCTGAATGCATCATGGGGCCATCCGACGACATGGTACCGCGGCCTCCTTCGTCAATGCGCGACATCCTGCCGTTCCAGGACGACGAACTCAAGCCAAATTGAGACTTTGCGCCATGTTCCTCCACTTGCAGACTGATTCGCTCACTCATGCGCATCCGCGTGGTGGCGCCAGTGAGCTCCTGGGACGCCACCCAGCCAGCGTTCAAACGGCTCGTGGAGACCATGCACTCGGAGCAAAAGTCCATCTTCTGCGGGTGGAACACGCCACTCTCGAACACGAACACCTTCTTGTTCACCTTGCAGTGGTTGCACACGGGCTCTTCACACAACTCGCAGCGCGTCACTTTCCCACCGAAGAAAGGTCGCACGGGGCGGTGGCACACTCGACAAGGGTTCACGCCTGCACCCGCGCCGCCGAAGGACACACTGCTGCGGCTGCTGTCAAACGTCATCGAGCCGCGGAACATGCTGCTGGTGAAGTTGCTCTTGCGTCCGCCCTGCGTCTGGCGGACGTCGTCGTCTACGTGGTGCAATGGCGGCGAAGGCGGACGCAGAGCTGCTGGCTGCTTGGTCCGCAGCGAGAAGGCCAGCTTCTTCATCATGGCGCACTCGACCGTACTGGGCGAGGCCAGCACGGCCTCTGCTGTGAGCGAGAAGGCCAGTCGGTCCCTTGCGCCGCCGCGGGGCAGCATCCCGCCGTGGAAGAAGAGCTCGACTTCGTTCTCGCTGTGTTGTCGGTAGAGGTAGCAGTACGACAAGTGGCCGCGCACGATCTGCATCTCCGGCGCCAGCTCGGGCGCGGACGGCAGCGTCACCGAGTGCACGAGGTGGTAGCCCACGCGCGCGCCGCTGTCCTGCGGGTCGCGCAGCACGCCGGTGGCCTCCAGGTACACGTAGTCTCTATGGCGGGACAGCACTTCATGGTGCCGCAGCGCCCACTTGAGCGTGAGCGATCGGAACGGCGCGCTGGCTGACGGAGCCACGAGCGCGGCCAGCACGCGGCTGTCCAGCAGGTCGCACTGGGCGTGGGCGCTCTCGATCTGCATGGCCTCGGGCGTGAGGTTCACGGTGCCGTGCAGCACGTCCTCGAGCGTGCCGGGCACGGTCCCGATGGCCAGCAGCTCGGCCTGGTCCGAGAGGGCCACGGACGGCGCGCTCTTGCCGGCGCTCATGGTCATGCGCATGGCGTCGTCTGCGTGCTGCTGCTGCTGCTTGTGCTTGGCGCGTATCCTCAGGCCGCCGAACGGGCCGCGCGCCGAGACCTTCTTGTAGCAGGCGATGGCGTCGTGGCGGCCGCCGCCTTTGGCCAGCTTCCACTGCGAGCGGTCCACGCCGGCCGAGCCTCCGGGCGCGTACGAGGCGGCCGCGCGGTTGCTGTGGTACCTGTGCAGCGTCTCGTGGACGCGCGCGTCGGCGAACTGCTGCGCGCGGGCCACGTACTCCTTGGACGTCTGCAGCGAGGGCCGCGAGTTGGGCGTGTCGCGCCCCACGCCGCCGCCGCTCGCCGACGACAGCGAGCGCTGCCGGTGCAGGGGCTTCGTCATGGGCCCGGGGAACGGAAAGCGCGTCTGGGTCCTAGCTCTGGTGGGCTCTGGGTGGGCTCCGAAGGCTCTGAAGGATAAGGATGTAAAAACCGCCTGCAACTATTGTACGAAAACCGTATATTTATACTTGGATTTTGTATGTTGACAATTTGACGCAACACTGGGATCGGAGACCACAGCGGACTGACGCGTTGACTGCGTTGACCTCCTCGGTACTGTATGCCGCCGGTGTGGCAGGCAAGTGCGCTGGCGGCAGGCAGGAAGGCCTGCTTGCCGCCATGGACCCTGCACAAGTCGTGGCCCCCAAAGATGGCTTCGCTCTGTAGGTGGACTCACTCGCGCCGATAGAGACGAGCTCCGCGCTCGACTTTCTTGCCGCCCTTGGCCCGTCCACAGCGTTTTCGATGAGGATGTTCAACGCTTGCAACGCGTGCGTGCCCGCAGTAATGCATGGAGGCAAATCGAGTGGTGAAATCGCCGCCGTCCGAGCTCCATGGATGAAATGGCGAGGAAACGCGCAGCAGGAAATTCGGTTGCTCACAAGCTCGTGCGACGAAAATCCAGGCAGAGCAGCTCAGAGCTACCGAGGCTCGCCTGCAGAAGCGATGATGTAGCTAAGGTGGAGGCTCAAGCCGAACAAATAACTCCAGGAATCGCAAGCGCAAACCAAGGTAACAGACAACAGACCGAGCTCAAAATTGCATTGCTATCCACGGAAGTCTACGCAAAAACTGGAGGCGAGCTACGCGCTGTTGATCATGTGCGCAATCGCTTCGGCGCGGAACACGTCCGTCTCAATGTAGGCGAGGTCCGTCACGTTGGCGTCGAACACGATGTTCTGCGGGTCGTCCAGCGAGTACTGTGGCCATTGGACGTCGGTCACGCCGTTGTTGTTGGGCGTCAGGTCCACGATGAAGCTGGCCCACATGCGGGTCATCACTTTGGCGAGCTGCTTGAAGCTGTCGGGCTTGCCCAGGAACGGGTCCGTGGCCACCGAGTTGTTGTAGCCGTCTCCGAGCAAGTTGTAGAAGACGAACGCGACCTCCTGGAAGTGCGTCGAGCCGAGATACTGCGAGATGCCAGCGGGCAGCACGTTGAAGAGGTAGCTGTAGCTGGTGATGTTGTTGCGCGCCCACACCTGCGACATAAAGCGGCGTGGGGCGTGCATGGTGCTGTCTCCGGCGTAGGCCGACACCCGCTTGTACATGGCGCCGTAGGTAGAGCTCACCGCAGGACGGCCGTGGAGAGTGCCGGGAATGCCGATCTCGGGGATGTCCGGGTACATTTCGAGCAGGAGGTTCGCTTCGTCCTGGCCGTAGCCTTTCGTCTTCACCAGATACTCGACGAACTCGTCGGTCGTGTCGATGCCCGTCTTGCCGAACGCCGTTCCTTCGTCGTTGTTGGTGCCGAGAAGTATCGGCACGCGGACGAACTTTCCTTCGCTCAGCAGGGCGGGGCCGGTGTCCTGGATGTAGTCGCCGTCAACCGCCGGGCCCCATGACGCTGAGGAGGCCACCGAGCTGTTCAGAATGGCTGACAGCGTCTCCACGGGCACTTGGCGAAGACAGTCTAGCGTGCCAGCTGCAGCGCTGCAGTTTGCTGCCGCGGTGATGTTGTTGTAGTAGACGTCCCAATCGGACGCGTTCGTGTACGCCCCAGGGATGTACTTGACAGGCGATCCCGACTGCATCACAGCACCGCGGAACAGCCCATCGTCACGACCGCCATAGGCGATGAGTTGGTACGAGACTCCTCGGCCTCCTGCGCTCTCGCCCCAGATCGTGACTTTGCTTGTGTCACCACCGAATGCGGCGATGTTCTCCTGTACCCAGTGCAGCGCCAAGCGCTGGTCCCGGAAGCCCAAGTTCGTCACGCCAGCCTCTTTGACCGCAGTGCCCCACAAGAAGCCGAAGGCCTGGAGACGATAGTTGAAGCTAACTCCGATGAACGGCATGCCCGCTTCCGCAGCCTCCTTCACAATGTACGACAAGTTGTAGCGAGGGTCGCGCGAGCCACCTTCGTAGAATCCCCCACCATGAATCCACACACCGACAGGTAGATCATCCCCCTCCGAGACGTTGCTGGGGCGAACGACATTGATCGTCAAACAGTCTTCCGAGATCACGTTGCCCAACACCCACTGGTCGCTGCCGTAGCCGTAGCACTCGGGGGAATACGCGGTCGCGTTCTTGGCATCCGTCCACGTCGTATTGAGAGACTGCGGGACGCGGAAGCGGAGGTCTCCGATAGGGGGCTGTGCGTAGGGCATGCCGAGGAAGAGGTCTTGGTTGTAGGTTTCCTGGTAGACGCCGTAGTAGGACCCGTTCTTGATGTTGACGGTGGGTGGATTGCTGGCAGATACCAAGGTGAGGAGGAGCGACCCCAATGCCAGCGCTCGCATGGCTTGTCGACGGCTGGAAGGCTGCGTTCGTAGTTGACTTCAGATTGAGGAATGATGAGAGCAACAACCAGATCAGCGCGAGATCCTCATTTATCCGATCAATGAGGATCTGTTCACGGCTAACTTGATCGTAAACATAAACTGCAACCACGCGTGTTGAAGTGCAGGCAATCCTGATCACATCTGTCAGACCACTGTTACTGCTGCTGGCAGTGCTTTTTTGGTTAGCCTTAGAAGTTCGAGCTGCGCTTCTGCCCCGGACTTGCTACTACGTGTACATCCATCAGAAGGTTGTTAGGAGATACCCATACATTTTAGCTGTCCTTTGCAAGGTTGAATTGCTGAATCGTTTGCACAGAAATGAGAAGACCTTGATCCAACGGAGCTTATTAGCCCTGGACGTTATCCAAGCAACACTACCGCTAGTTGGGGCGAGTTTCTACTCAAAGTACTGACTGTGCAGGTACGCGATGCCTTCGGCGCGGTAGAGATCGGGCTCGATGTAGGCCAGCTCGGTGACGTTCACGTCGAACACGATGTTCTGCCGGTTGTCCACAGTGTACTCGGGCCACTGGAGGGCCGTCACGCCGTTGTTGTTGGGCGTCTGGTCCACGATGAAGCTCGCCCACGAGCGGGTCATGAGACGCGCGAGCTGGGCGAAGGTCTCGGGCTCGTTCAGGAACGGGTTGACCGAGACGGCGTTCTCGTATCCGTTGCCTTGGAGGTTGTAGAACACGAACGCGATCTCCTGGAAGTGCGTGGCGCCCACGTACTGCGAGAGTCCGTTGACCATCACGTTGAACACGTAGCTGTAGCTCGTCACGTTGTTCGCTGCCCACGTTTCGGCTGTGTAGCGGCGCGGAGCGTGCATGTAGGCATCACCGGCATAGGCACAGACACGCTTGAACTGAGATCCCACCAAGGATTCGGCAGTCGGACGACCGTGCAGCGTGCCGGGGATGCCGATTTCGGGGATGTCAGGGTAGACGGCGGCGAGAATCTCAGCCTCTTCAGCCGTATTCCCCATCAACACCAGGTACTCGAGGAACTCGTCCGTGGAGTTGATGCCCCTGGTTCCAAAGGCCGAGCCTTCGTCGTGGTTGGCGCCGTGCAGGATTGGCACGTGCACAAACTTGCCGTCTCTCAGGAGAGCAGCGCCGGTGTCCTGGATGTAGTCACCGTCGATGACGGGGCTGAAGGAGGCTGATGAAGCCACGGAGCTGTTGAAGATCGACGACAGCGTGCCGATGGGGACTTCACGAAGGCAGGCCAGAGTGTCCGAAGCCGAGCTGCAGTTGGCGGCGGAGGTGATGTTGTTGTAGTAGACGTCCCAGGCCGACGCGTTCGTGTAGCTCGACGGGCCGTGGGCTGGAGCGCCAGACTGCATGATAGCGCCGCGGAAAAGACCGTCGTCACGACCGCCGTAAGCCAGCAGTTGATAGCCGACGCTCCAGCCGCCAGCGCTCTCGCCCCAGATCGTGACCTTGTCCGGGTCGCCACCAAAGGCGGCGATGTTTTCCTGGACCCAGTGCAAGGCCAAACGTTGGTCCTTGAATCCGAGGTTGGACACGCCTTCGTCCTCAACTGCGCTCCCCCAAAGGAAGCCAAAGCCTTGGAGGCGGTAGTTGATGCTCACACCGATGAATGGTTTGCCCGCTTGCGTGGCTTCGTTCATGATGTAAGAGAAGTTGTAGCGGGGGTCGCGGTTGCCGCCTTCAAAGAGGCCGCCACCGTGGATCCAAAAACCCACGGGCAGCTTAGCGTCCGCGGAGATGCCGCTAGGTCGAACGACATTGATCGTCAGGCAGTCCTCCGAGATCACGTTGCCTAGCACCCACTGGTCGCTGCCGTAGCCGTAGCACTCAGGCGAGTACTCGGTCGCGTTCTTGGCGTCCGTCCACGTTGAATTGAGCGGCTCTGGGTTGCGGAAGCGGAGATTTCCGACGGGTGGTTGGGCGTATGGCATGCCGAGAAAGAGGTCTTGGTCGTAGGTTTCCTGGTAGACGCCGTAGTAGGACCCGTTCTTGATCGTGACCGTGGGTGGGGCGCTGGCGGAGGTCGACACCAGCAACAGCGTAGCCACCATGAGTGGAAATTGCAGAGAACGCATCTCGAACGGAGACCAGCCTAATAAACTCTTGGTTGAGAGGTGCGAGTGCTGCTCGGCAAATTCAAGAATGAGGGAGTGGGGATAAAAGTTCACGCGGGTGGACTCCTCCTTGGAGGGCAGTATCCACCGAACTGCAACGTAAAAGTTTGAAGGAATGAGGGCTAGACGCTTCAGAGCCGTGCTCAGAGGTGCCGAGAAGAGCGTTCGCGCTGTAGAAAACGTTATACATGTATCCGTGATGAAACACGTGAGCCCAAGCGGATCAGAAGCTTTGGCCTTGACAGCATTGCTTCGCTTGATTCATTCCTGTGGCTCACTTCAACTTGATCACTGCCTCGTCACATTTTCGCAAAGCCTGATGGCGTGTCGACTGACCAAACGCACAACCTTCCCGGTCCTAGACACTTCAACGGCAACCACGCCACCCAACCAACTTGGTTGTAGGCCCAGTCAGTGCTCCACACATACTAGTAGTATAAAATGTAGGACTTGACACCTCGAAGAGGTTCCTGCCATCGATCATCACAAATGGATAGTGCCAATGAAGATTCACAGTAACGTTAGCCATTTTTATTCTCAAAACTCATTCCAATGGCTCATACTTTAGCCACTCATAACTAGGCGGCTCGATCTCAACCGTTTAAATCTGCACGTGACCGCTGAAGACGGTGTCCTCGGCGTTCTTGCTGATGTAGACCGGACGCCCGCCCTTGGCCAGCTCCCAGCTCGTGGTGTTCACGTTGTAGAAGCTCAGCTGCTTCTCGCGGATGCCGATGCTCACTGTCGTGCTGGCGCCGGCCTCCAGCTCCACGTTCGCGAAGCCCACCAGCGCGATGGCGGCGAACTGCGCGTCCAGGTACGTCGTCGCGGCGTCGGCCGGAGGCCCAATGTACACCTGCGGCACCTCGACGCCCTTGACGCTGCCAGTGTTGGTCACCGTGAAGGACACGCTGAAGACGGCATCGGCGTCGTCCGGGCTGCACGACACCTCATAGTTGAGCCCGCTGGAGCTCTGCTGCTGCTGCGCAGATCCCGACGCCGCGAAGTTGGGGTTGCTGTACTCGAACGACGTGTAGCTCAGACCGTAGCCGAACGGGAACAGCACGCTCGTGTTCGTGTGCGCGTACCAGCGGTAGCCGTTGTTGAGGCCCTCGCTGAAGGTGGCGTTGCCGCTCTCCGTGTCCACGCGCTCCGGGTAGTCCGGGTTGCGCGTCATGGTCGAGTCCAGGCTCGCCGGGTACGTCACGGGCAGGCGGCCCTGCGGCACGTTGTTGCCCAGCAGCAAGTCGGCCGTGGCCCAGCCGCCCTCCTGGTTCGGGTACAGCATCTCCAGCACAGCGGCCACGTCGTCCAGCCACGGCATGAGCACGGGCTCCGCGTTGTTCAGCACCACGACGGTGTTGGGGTTCGCGGCCGCCACCTTGGTCACCAGCTCGTCCAGGCCGTCGTCCAGCGTCAGCCCCGTCTCGGCGGGGCTGTTGGCGAACGCGAACACGATGGGCGTGTCCACCTCCGTGGCGACGTCCACGGCCAGCTGGATGTTGGCCGAGCGCTGCGTGGGGGTCACCCAGCTCAGACGCACGGACGTCGGCTCGTCGATGAGACCCACGATGTACGCCTCCAGGTCGTGCCAGCCTTCCTGCTCAAGAACGACAACGACACGCTGCCGCTCAAGGCCGGCGCGTCCATCGCCGTCATCGGCCCCAACGGCGTGCAGTACACGCACGGCACCAACTTCGCCGAGCGCGCGTACGGCATCCCGGAGCGCCAGGTGTCGACGCTGGAGGCGCTCAAGTCTCGACTGGGCGAGGACGTCGCGAGCGCCGTGGGCGTGGACGGACGAAACTGCACCGGAGCGAAACTTCATAGCTGCGGGTGTCACAAAAACTTGTTTGCGGCGATAAGTGGGCAACTGTTAATAACCTTGCGGAGGCTCGTCCTTCGTCTTGTTGATCCTGAGCGTGTAACTTTATTTTATGGTGTATCCGACACTACAAAAATTGCCACGCTATGTTTCGAGTCGCATTGGTACGATAATTCTTGGCACGGCAAAGTGACGGCGAGAGCTCCACATCTTTTCGCTACGGGTGTAACGTTGGTCTCACGTACAATGCTCGTATATGCGCTGCACGCTCTTCCTCACTCTCGGATGGCATTTTTTGACAGGCGCCTCATCGTCAACTGCACTCTATTGATCAAGATCTCTTCTCTGAGCAGCGCCCAAGGTCCATGACAAACTTCCGTGCTGAAGGTATTGCTGGTTGCCTTGTACAGCAAGTATTCAGTGCTCACTGCCAAACAGGAAAACGACGATTTCACGCAGCAAAATCACCCAAAATCCTGTGCATCAGGTATTCGTTATCAAGTGAGCTATCGAGAGTACATGGGCGAAGTCCTACCCACTCGCAGCTCGAGAGCGCAGTGCATCGACGAGTATCGCGTCTAACAACTTGCGGCTGGCGTCAAGTTGATGCGCGCGAGCAGCGGCCTTTTCTGTGGTCATCAGTACCAATTCTCAACAGTTATCTCGGAGCTCCATGTTTCGAACAGACCGTGCTGCGCTCCATGCCTTTCAGGAACTTCGCAATGTTCCAGGTGCCGAAAACTGTTAGGTGCTCCTTGATCTGATAAATTACCTGCAGAACCATTGATGATATATGGTCAGGAAGTCTAGCGCTATTGTGCTAATACAGACAACCCTCGCAGGCATTCGAAGCCCTGCCGCCGGCGCGCACGAGCTGCGTGCAGAGAGCGAGGGCGATGCCCCACGTGATGGAGACCATGGCGAAGGATCTATCTACCCGAGCTCGCAGTGTAGTGTGGGCTGTGGGGTCCGAAGGAAGTTCGCGAATGGTTGAATAAAGCGGTCCTTAAGAATATGTACCTTTGAGCTGCAGTGATCTAGCACATACTGTAGCTGCTCGGTATCATCGCTGTGAGTCCTTGACTTTGCTTGGTTGCTGCCAGCTGAACTGGTCGATTCGTGACATTTTCGATCACTTCAAGTTGAGCGAGACTTGATTTATCCATTTCCGAGGCTCATCTTACCTAAATTGCTGTCAGTAGCTAGAGGTAGCCCCAAGGTTGCCTTGTCACAAGGCTTGTGTGCGTGAACTGTACCACATGTAGTGTGCCGTTCTGAGAGCGGCCAAGTTGAAGTGGTCTGATAACGTGATGATCCCGACTAGCGAATTACGCGGCGTACCGTCTCTGCTTGCGGTAAGCCGGTAACCAGCGCGCCAACGGCAACCACGCATCAGCATGAGCTCCCGATCCATTGCTCGAGGTCCTGAACGTAGAGATCGCGGCCAGACTTGAGCTCTTGTTGTCGGCGACTATCGTGATTTTCTCGTATACGCGCCATCAATGCCTACTGAGCGGCGCCGCTGAGTGCTGATGCGTGTGCTGTAGTTACACTACGTGCACACACGTACGAGTACAGTACAGCAAAGTATCACACACTGTGATTCACACTACTGCAGTCGCGTGCGCCGGAGAACGCATCAAACGTCCGCTGTAAGGTTATGCGCGCGTCTGCACTTGATTCAGAGATGCTGTGCAGATCGCATTCAACAAGTTCAAGTACCGGTGCCGAGCGGGAACGGTTGGGTGGCACTCGAAGGGAAGCAATGTGCATTCTTCAAAGCTCCCGCACGTGATGAACGCTCCTGGATGAGTCAATCTATTTCTTCGAAACCCTGCGGACCGTCGCTTATTATAATAGTTTGGACGCAGGACTACTTGTCCCGGTCTGCTCAAGCGGCGTTGTGCCCCTCGCCGAAGCAGCATTCGTACTGTACGGAACTTCAGCCGAGAGATGCACTTCAGTGTCGAAGTTACAGTACGAGATGCACTCGATGCTACAGTACTCATTCTTTCGAGCGTCCCTGGAGTCCTGGACGACTGTAAAAACATGCAGATCCTGGGCTTCAAAATTTACGATGCAGTTTGGCTGCACTTCAACCGCGTGGTTGCAGTACATGTAGAACCAGCGCCCCAGTCATCACATCAACTACAAGATTACTCAGACGTCATGCTCGCTCTTGCTGAGTGACTCTGACGGGTACATGTACTGTACTTCGCTGTGCTGCAGAAGGCCGCTAGCGCATTGATCGGTACTGTAACCTATCTCTGGTCAAAAACGCGGGAAGTGCAGTCTTCATCCGCCAATTTCAACTCTAGCGCCTACCACAACATCCTCTGTGGCTCGCTTGCAATGAGACCGCTCGCAAACGTTCTCGCCATCGGGGCGCTTCTAGCCGCTCTGGCCTCCGCCAGCGACCCACCCACGGTCAACATCAAGAACGGGTCCTACTACGGCGTCTACCAAGAAACCTACGACGAAGACCTCTTCCTCGGCATGCCATACGCCCAACCACCCGTCGGAGACCTGCGCTTCCGCGTCCCGGAGCTGCTCAACACGACGTGGACGGATGCCAAGAACGCGACTGAGTACTCACTCGCCTGAATGCTACGGCTACGGCAGCGACCAGTGGGTACTGGGCAACGTGATCTCGGAGGACTGTTTGACGATCAACGTCGTGCGTCCGAACGGCATCTCCGAGGGAGCCGAACTTCCGGTCGCCGTGTGGATTCACGGTGGTGGCTTCACCGAGGGCGGCTCGCGCGACCCCCGTTACAACCAGTCCTACATTATCAAGGAGGCCACGGACGCCGGCATGCCGTTCATCGGTGTGAGCATCAACTACCGTCTGCAGGCCTTTGGCTTCTTGTGGGGGACCGCCGTCAAGGAGGCGGGGGTATCGAACCTCGGCCTGAAGGACCAGCACCTTGCGCTGCACTGGGTGCAGGAGAACATCGCTGCTTTCGGTGGCGACCCGGACAAGGTCACGATATGGGGCGAGAGCGCTGGTGCCATGAGCGTTGGCTACCAGCTTCTCGCGTACGATGGCCGCGACGACGGCCTGTACCGCGCTGCCATCATGGAGTCGGGCGCTCCTGCCAAGGTGCCGTCCACCTACTTGAACACGACCGAGTGGGACACGTACTACAACAACATCACGGCGGCGGCGAACTGCAGCTCTGCGGCGGACACGCTGGCCTGCCTGCACCAGGTGCCGATCGACCCGCTTTCATCCATCTTTAACAGCTCTGTTGCGTCCTCGGCGTCGTACCGCCCGATCGTCGACGGCGACTTCCTGACGGACGTGGGCCCGGCGCTCCTTACGGCGGGCAAGTGCCCATTCTCCACGGTGTGAACAACGACGAAGGCTCGGCCTTTGGCGCTGGCGGCGCTACCGTCAACACCACGGAGGAATTTGTGTCCTTCCTGATTGATACCATGGGAGAGACCGAGGAGACGGCCGCCATCCTCACTGAGGTGTACCCGGACATCCCGGCCGTGGGCATTCCCGGCATGCTGCACGGCCGCCCTGCGACCGACTCGGGCTACGGCGTCATGTACAAGCGCGCTGCTGCTTACGGCGGCGACGTGATCATGCACGCTCCTCGCCGCTACCTGTCCGAGATCTGGGCTGCCAACGACGTCCCAAGCTACAGCTACGTCTTCGACGTGCTGACGGCCGGCAACAACGAGTACATTGGCGCAACGCACTTCACGGAGGTCGCGTTCGTGTTCTACAACCTGCTCGGAGACGGCTACAACAACTCGGTGGCCACGGACCCGTTCCTGGACAAGCCCGACAGCTACAAGCAGCTCACGAAGGTGATGACCCGCATGTGGGCGAGCTTCATCGTGCATGAGAACCCGAACGAGAACGGCGTGACGGCGCTCGAGTGGCCTGAATACACGTCTGACAACGCGCAGAACATCGTGTTCGACGCCAATGTGATGGAATTCGCCTACATTGCGCCGGACACGTACCGTGCTGAAGGCATCGCCTACTTGACGAGTCTGTACAATGCCACGGCCTAGATTGGTATAAGTGTTTAAAGTGTGGCATGCTGTTGAGTAAAATGAAAGCAACGCGTTGGTTAAGCATTTAGCGTGTCATCAATGGTGATGACACGCTACATGTTACATGTACGCATTCTTGCTTGCGGCCAGGTCCAGTTGAGCCGTTCCCTTCGACGGGACCAGCTGATAATAGCCTGCAGCAGTGCCCTGATGAGTGGTTGCCGTTCGCTATTCGCTGATGTTGAAGCTGTCGTTGTTTTTGTGTCCTTGGCTACCGATGGGGTGGCCGAGGTCGCATTTCGTTCATCAAGAAATTCGTTCAAAGGACATCAGCATGAAGCGTACGCCAGGTCGCCTGGGAAGTAAATCAAGTCCTTGAGTTTTACATGTGAGCTGGTTTGTGTTTTGTTTGGCTAAGCGTGCACGGCATAAACGTGCTATAAACCCCACAGGTCATGCTTGACTCACTTCAACTTGTCCATAAAACGGCCTGGAAAGGCAACTTCAAGTATGCATTCTTGACGAGCATGGACGTATTCATAATACCCTGGCACAATGCCCCCTCCAACCGTTTTGCTGTTGGACGAGCACAACTCACCCTTGAGGCGGGAAGCCCGAGCAACAGCTCATTCGCAAACTTCCTTCGGACCCCACAGCCCACACTACACTGCGAGCTCGGGTAGATAGATCCTTCGCCATGGTCTCCATCACGTGGGGCATCGCCCTCGCCCTCTGCACGCAGCTCGTGCGCGCCGGCGACCCGCTCGCCACCGTCTCCTGGCGCACGGGCAATGACAAGGTCGACGCCATCGTCGAGGCCCTGACCGCCGAGGAGAAGGTCTCCCTCGTGCACGGCGCCGTCGACGAGGACGGCAACCAGCAGCAGGCCGGCTACAGCGTCCCCATCACGTCACAGGGCATCCCCGCCATCCGCCTCACGGACGGCGAGGCCGGCATCAACATCGTCCAGAACGCCACGGGGTCCCCCACGCAGCTTAACGTCGCGGCCACCTGGTCGCTCAACGCGGCGTACCAGCACGGCGTGGTCACGGGGAAAGAGGCCAAGCTCTTCGACTTGGCGGTGGCGCTGTCGCCCCGCGTCAACATCCTGCGCGACCCCGTGACGGGCAACTACTGGCAGTCGTACAGCGAGGACCCGTTCCTCAACGCTCGGCTCGGCGTGCAGGGCGTCAAGGGTCTGCAAGACCAGGGCTCCATGGCCAACGCCAAGCAGATCGGGCCGTCGTCGACCGGTGCTAGCGCGGGTGACGACAACAGCATCGTGGACCTGCAGACGCTGCAGGAGCTGTACTGGGTGGCACCCGGCACCCTCCTGCAAGAGGGCAACGCCGCCACGCTCATGTGCTCGTACGCGCAGGTGAACGGCATCCCCGCGTGCCAGTACGAGCCGCTGTTCAACACGATGCGCGACGACTACAACAGCTCGGCCATCGTCATGAGCGACTGGGGCGCCACGCACTCGACGGCCGAGAGCCTCATCGCCGGCATGGACCTGGAGATGCCCACGGGCTCGTACTACGACGCGCTCTACGACTACATCTACGTCTCGCAGAACCTGAGCGAGTCGTACCTGAACCGCGCCGTGGGCCACATCCTGGCCAAGTACGACGAGTTCGGACTGCTGGGCACCACCACCGAGGGCTCATCGCCGCTGCCGCAGGACGTCGTGGAGGACCACGCCAAGATCTCGTACGACATCGCCGTCAAGTCGGGTATCCTGCTCAAGAACGACAACGACACGCTGCCGCTCAAGGCCGGCGCGTCCATCGCCGTCATCGGCCCCAACGGCGTGCAGTACACGCACGGCACCAACTTCGCCGAGCGCGCGTACGGCATCCCGGAGCGCCAGGTGTCGACGCTGGAGGCGCTCAAGTCTCGACTGGGCGAGGACGTCGCGAGCGCCGTGGGCGTGGACCAGGAGGGCTCCATCATCCCGTCCACGCACTTGCGCAACCTGCAGGGCAACCCGGGTCTGAGCCGCAACGACACCCTGGGCGGCACCTCGAACGACGAGATCGTCTACTTCACGGGCTCCTCTGCGCTGGCCAAGAACGCGTCGTACACGTGGCAAGGACAAGTGCACGCGGAGACGGCGGGCTACTACACCTTCTCGTTCGCGCGCGCCATCCCCAAGTGGGAGAACCACACGAACCCGGACTACGGCTCGACCTTCGCCATCGGCACCTTCAGCATCAACGGCACGGAGGTGGGCGAAGGCTACCGACTGTACGGCGACGGAGGCGTGAAGCCCTGGAGCAACTCGATCGCCACGCGCGACAACTGGGACAACATCAAGTCGTACGTGTACCTGGAGGAAGGCTGGCACGACCTGGAGGCGTACATCGTGGGTCTCATCGACGAGCCGACGTCCGTGCGTCTGAGCTGGGTGACCCCCACGCAGCGCTCGGCCAACATCCAGCTGGCCGTGGACGTCGCCACGGAGGTGGACACGCCCATCGTGTTCGCGTTCGCCAACAGCCCCGCCGAGACGGGGCTGACGCTGGACGACGGCCTGGACGAGCTGGTGACCAAGGTGGCGGCCGCGAACCCCAACACCGTCGTGGTGCTGAACAACGCGGAGCCCGTGCTCATGCCGTGGCTGGACGACGTGGCCGCTGTGCTGGAGATGCTGTACCCGAACCAGGAGGGCGGCTGGGCCACGGCCGACTTGCTGCTGGGCAACAACGTGCCGCAGGGCCGCCTGCCCGTGACGTACCCGGCGAGCCTGGACTCGACCATGACGCGCAACCCGGACTACCCGGAGCGCGTGGACACGGAGAGCGGCAACGCCACCTTCAGCGAGGGCCTCAACAACGGCTACCGCTGGTACGCGCACACGAACACGAGCGTGCTGTTCCCGTTCGGCTACGGTCTGAGCTACACGTCGTTCGAGTACAGCAACCCCAACTTCGCGGCGTCGGGATCTGCGCAGCAGCAGCAGAGCTCCAGCGGGCTCAACTATGAGGTGTCGTGCAGCCCGGACGACGCCGATGCCGTCTTCAGCGTGTCCTTCACGGTGACCAACACTGGCAGCGTCAAGGGCGTCGAGGTGCCGCAGGTGTACATTGGGCCTCCGGCCGACGCCGCGACGACGTACCTGGACGCGCAGTTCGCCGCCATCGCGCTGGTGGGCTTCGCGAACGTGGAGCTGGAGGCCGGCGCCAGCACGACAGTGAGCATCGGCATCCGCGAGAAGCAGCTGAGCTTCTACAACGTGAACACCACGAGCTGGGAGCTGGCCAAGGGCGGGCGTCCGGTCTACATCAGCAAGAACGCCGAGGACGCCGTCTTCAGCGGTCACGTGCAGATTTAAACGGTTGAGATCGAGCCGCCTAGTTATGAGTGGCTAAAGTATGAGCCATTGGAATGAGTTTTGAGAATAAAAATGGCTAACGTTACTGTGAATCTTCATTGGCACTATCCATTTGTGATGATCGATGGCAGGAACCTCTTCGAGGTGTCAAGTCCTACATTTTATACTACTAGTATGTGTGGAGCACTGACTGGGCCTACAACCAAGTTGGTTGGGTGGCGTGGTTGCCGTTGAAGTGTCTAGGACCGGGAAGGTTGTGCGTTTGGTCAGTCGACACGCCATCAGGCTTTGCGAAAATGTGACGAGGCAGTGATCAAGTTGAAGTGAGCCACAGGAATGAATCAAGCGTAACAACGCTGTCAGGGCCAACGCCAAAGCCTTGGGCTCACGTGTTTGATGTCGACCGAATGGAGTTCTATTACGATTTATGTTTTTTTTTTCGTTTCAAGGTGAGTTCTAGGTGGACTTTATTTTATGGTTCGGGCCTCGTTATCCTCTAAAACTTAGATATAAACCATGATCCTCAAATAGGCGATGCTCATACCAGTTGTGTCAGCATCATCCAGAGACCATCGAGCACATCTTGTGGGATTGCTCGCGGGCGCAAGAAGTTTGGGAAAGCTGGCTTCCCCAGTGGACTGGGCACTATCTTCATCGTGAAGAGCTTACTGCACTACTATCGCATCTAGCTTCTCGCACGGCACCGACCGCATCAGCAGTTTTTCTCGCTGAAGCTACCAAAAGTATTGATGACTGGGGCGTCGAATATGAAAACGCGATGCAAATAATCTGGCTAACGTGGACATCGTGCACTCAGTGCATGTTGTGATCTACTCGCAATCGAGAAATCTTCGATGGGGTCCAAGTTACTATTTAAGAAGCCAAACGTAGGGCATGGAATTCTGCCGACTTTCAAGCAAAAGCCGTCATCCGAGGAATGGCCTCATATCCACGTACGCAAGCACAAGGATTTCGTGTGGCGCAATGCTATGCTGTATTCACAGTAATCAATCCTTCCGATCGACCAGTTGCAATGGAAGACTGGTATCTCCTCCTATATGGCAGATATGTTGTGAATGGCAAGAGTAGGAGAGGAGCGTGGGTTTTATTATGCTTGCAACGGGACGTGAACACGTGCCACACTTTCTGGACGTGTGCGGGAGCTACTACACTCTGGGATGTGTTTTATGCTCCATGGACAGCCCTGGGGGTCGGAACAACGGGTGCCAGGATCTCGTCCACTTTTCGACATCGACTCGAGACCGTACCACCCGGTATCTGGACGCTACTGGATGCCGTGTATCGTCATGAGCCCGAAGGCACGCGTGAAGCCATTCGGGGGCACATTTACACCATACTCAACCTCTGCTGGCGGCTTGGAGGGGTGACCACGTTGCAAGGGATTTGGCGGAGAAGGTGCTTATATCGCGACCCGAGGGAGGACGCGTCATTGAAACGGGCGGCTGCCGTCCTACATGGACGCCTTCGTTCCGCATACCTAACCGTTCGGATCCACTCTACGTCCACAACGGCTAGTCCGCACCAAGGGGCGGCTGCACGGATTTGCCATCTCGCGCTCACTTCGCCATCCCCGGAGACGCAGAGCCTGACGCCCCGCTCCGACTTCACAGCACACCCTGCTCTACTTTGATGGCGGGGCCCGTGGAAACCCCGGCCCTGCTAGCGCGGGGACGGTGATCCTACAACTTGGCGGCGCAAGCCTCCAGCCCGCCGTCCTCTGGCTGGCCAGCGTTTCCTACGTGTCGAAGACCACGAACAACGTCGCTGAATATCGCGCTCTCCTTAACGGCCTGCGTTATGCGGTACGGCACTCAATGGTGGGATTGCATATTGTTGGCGACAGCAATCTCATCCTAACACAATTGCAGAAGCGACGGGTACCAAGGGCTCGTCACTTACGAGGGCTTTACGGACAGTGCCGGGTGCTGGCGGACCGACTGATGGTGTCTTCATGGTCACATCACCTGCGGCACTTGAACAAAACAGCGGACGGCCTAGCAAACATTGCTATGGACACCAAACAAAGCAAGCAGGCGACGGCGGAAGATATCTCCCGCTTACCGCCGCAGTGGACAACCGTACTCGAGTCCCTCCAAGCGGACGTTGAGCACTGGATGGACACCAACCCGGATCGGGAGGGCATTGGCCGGGCCTCCCCTCGCACTGGCGCACCGTAACACGTGTGCATCTGCTGCCACACTTTGGGCGTAGGCAGCACCCTCCAACGATCCTTAAGCGCGGGAGGGCCGGGCATTTCCTAGGTCGCTAGTTAGGCTAAATGACTGTAGTGTACCTCAACTTAAAACGAAACGAATACGTAGATTACACTTGGATTCCTCTCACTCCCCGACTTGGTAGCCGCGGTATGAAACGCATGCCAGCATGCTTTTTCGTGGAGCTTAGCATCGAATGTTGTTCGTGTGATCAGTGGGTCGGGCATTTTTTAGATTGCCAGGCAAGCTAAATAGCTGCAATGCACCCTAGCTTACAACGTTTTAAAAAAAAACGTTGTTCGTGTCCAGCCCCATTACGCAGACAGATTCCTAGTTGTGGCGGAAACTTATAATACATCTACCGTAAACGAGTTTTTGCAAACAGTACATTTCGATCTGTTGCCAAGACCTCAAGCTTGACTTGACCTAGTGAGATTTATCGTGGCCACGCAAAGTTGTTCCTGTTCCTGCCGCATCAGTCATCGCGGACACCGCCATGGGTCTTCAACTGGGGCATTCCCGCTTCAACCACACAGCAAATCGTGATAATGCGGCGACCTGCCTTTCAAATGCAGCTTGGTGCTCGGTCATCAAGTCGATTTTTTCTCTCGAAAAGTCTTTGAGTAACCGTAACGTAGTGGCCAAACTGTACGCCAAGCGGTGCGTTCTACAGCACTGCTGCTCTCGGTTGCTTCGCTCTCTTAGCTCAACCGAACTGTATGACTGCCAGAATCGTTAGCCCAATGCGGTGATCATTGTGGCTCCCACCTGTCTGCTTGGTACAGATGGAGTCGACAAAGAACCCGAAGTGCCGTCAACGCGAACAGCCGGCCAACTTCCAGTTGATTCCCAAGCACATCCCTGCGGACTCAAGTTGCAGTTGGTTAGTCGCGGCTTGTTTCTGCTGGGGCCACCAATCCTTTGCGACAGTGACAGCGAGGAGCACATGGGGCCTCCGCAGACACAGGAGAGCTCGATTCACTCTTTGTCTTCCTCGAACGCGCACAATCGACACCAAGGCAGTGCCATGGTATCTATTCTCTACCCGGTGGCCGCCGCCGCGGCGCTGCTGGCCGCACCGATCGCCGCCTCAGAGGCGCCGGCCGTCAACATCAAGAACGGGTCCTACTACGGCGTCTACCAAGAAACCTACGACCAAGACCTCTTCCTTGGTATGCCATACGCGCAGCCCCCCGTCGGAAATCTCCGCTTCCGCAACCCGGAGCCGCTGAACACAACGTGGACGGAGGCCAAGAATGCGACCGAGTACTCGCCTGAGTGCTACGGCTACGGCAGCGACCAGTGGGTGCTAGGCAACGTGATCTCGGAGGACTGTTTGACGATCAATGTTGTTCGCCCCAGCAACGTCTCGGAAGGGGACAACCTGCCTGTCGGTGTCTGGATCCACGGCGGTGGCCTCATCCAGGGCGGCGCCAGTGACCCCCGCTACAACCTCTCGTACATCGTGGAGGAGGCCGTCAACGCCGGCAAACCGTTCATCGGAGTGAGCTTCAACTACCGCCTGCAGGCGTTCGGCTTCATGTCGGGCACTGCGGTGCACAAGGCCGGCGTGGCCAACCTCGCGCTGAAGGACCAGCGGCTGGCCCTGCACTGGGTGCAGGAGAACATCGCCGCATTCGGCGGCGACGCTGGCAAGGTCACCATTTGGGGCGAGAGCGCCGGCGCCCGCAGCATCGGCTACCAGCTGATCGCCTACGACGGCCGTGACGACGGCCTGTTCCGCGCCGCCGTCATGCAGTCCGGCGCCTCTGCGTACTGGCCCAAGAGCTTCAAGAACGCCTCCGCCTGGGACGTCTACTACAACAACATCGTCGACGCGGCCAACTGCAGCTCGGCCGAGGACACCCTCGACTGCCTGCGCCAGGTCCCGATCAACACGCTCTCCGCGGTTTTCAACAGTACTGCGGGCACTTCAGCCTCGTACGCGCCTTCGGTTGACGGTGACTTGCTGACGGACGTCGGCCCGAGACTCATCGACGCGGGCAAGTTCGTCCACGTGCCCATTCTCCACGGCGCCAACTTCGACGAGGGCACAGCGTTCGGCAAAACGGGCATCGACACTACCGATGAGTTCTTCCAGTACCTGGTCGGCACCATGGGCTACAGCGAGGACGAGGCCGAGGTGCTGCTGCTCATGTACCCGGACATCCCGCAGATCGGCATCCCCGCTACGCTCCACGGCCGCCCGGGCAACGACACCTCGTACGGCTACATGTACAAGCGCGTGGAGGCGTACGCCGGCGACAACAACCAGCACGGGCCCCGCCGCTTTATGTCGCAGGTGTGGACCCGCGAGGACGTTCCGGTGTACAGCTACCGCTTCAATGTGGTGCCTGCAGGCATCTCACAGTATCTCGGCTGCACGCACTTCCAGGAGGTCGCGTTCGTCTTCTACAACCTGGAGGGCAACGGCTACAACAACTCGGTGGCCACGGACCCGTTCCTGGGCAAGCCCGACAGCTTCAAGCAGCTCGCCAAAGTGATGACCCGCATGTGGGCCAGCTTCATCGTGGACCTGACGCCCAACAACAACGGCGTGACCGACGTCCAGTGGCCGCAGTACTCGCTGGACGACCCGCAGAACATCGTGTTCGACGTGAACGTGACGGACCTCGCCTACGTTGAGCCCGACGTGTTCCGCGCCGAGGCGATCGCGTACATCCACAGCCTGTACAACGCCACAAGCTAAGTAGTATGTACAGCTTCGGCCCCAGACTAATATGACAAGAAGAAAATGTAATTGTGAGTCTTGATCGGTTGCTGTTCCTCGCGGTTGAAATTTTGTGCAGCGTGAAAGCTTTGCGGTGTGGCGATGCACTCGGAACTAATCGAGCTGGGGTTTGCTCCGTCGAGGCCGTAATCGGCCCTTGCAGCGGAGAGACGAGTGTCCTCATCCTGCCAACGTCGGAACATGGCTCCGAGGCGCTTCCGCAGTGCATGGACGCCGGTAGAGCGCATTATTAATACATGTACACTTCGAGGCCCTCGCATGATGGCGGGCCCAGAGCTTGAAGGGCAGACATCTTGCTTGCTTGAGCCTGCTGCTGGCTCACGATCTCGAGAGTCAAACTGCAGCAAGTGCTTGGTGTCGCCGTGTGAAACGATGCGCCTCGTCTTGCTGGCTACACGCCCCGCCCTTCAACGGGCAGCGGTGCCACGCCCGACTCGATCGTGAGCACGCGAGGGCGTGGAGCTCGCCTTCGTCCACACGGCGGGCCTCGTGGCGCTCTGGCCCAAGGCGTCATGGCCTGCAAGAGGCGGTTCATTTAACGAGCCGCTTCTGCAGGTCGAGCGAGGGCTTCCCGGTTAGAGATTGGGTAGAGCGCTTCTACTGAGACCGCGAAGTGCTGGTCAACGTGCGTGAATTGCATGCCATTCCGCTCGCAGATGCCGTGGCGGCAAAATTTTCCCCAAGGCTGGCAAGCTCGGCGGCGGGTCTTCATCTCGTCGAGGAATGCAACAGCACTACACGAGCGATCCTTCCTGCCATACGAACGAATCAGCTGAGCTCAGCGCTGAGGCGGAGCCACCGCCGGGTGCAAGCAAGACGCTCGCTCCATCTGAGACTCTCAGCAAGCTCACAAACGACACAGCGTGGACAGACGACGGTGCAGCGTCGTCGCGTTGTCGGGCGTGAGTGCCCAGGGATCTGCTGGGCGCTGCAACTTTCAGCGCGGGTAGGCGTCCGCCGCAGCAGCAGGAAAATTGAACGTGCACGGAGCCAGCACGCTTCTTCCGCCGGCGGGTCATTCGCCAAACGGCCCGCGAACAAGACCGCCCCACTCGGTCCTTCCGCCACTAGCGTCCTCGGTGCGCTAGTACACTTGCACCTGCACCTTGCACCTTGCACCTGCACTTGCTAGTCGCGCGTAACATTTCATATCAGGGTCTGACTGCTTCAGAAACTGTGACAGCTACTTGACCGGCGCAACGGCCAGCGGACGCGTCTGTATTGCTTGGCATGAAGTTCCCGCTGCCCAAGAACATCTTCCCGCCGCTCGAGCTCTCGGAGGGCCAGGAGCAGGGCTACGAGCAGCTCGCAAACGCGCTCATCAAGGCCACGCTCACTGAGTATGACCAGTTCGTCATGCACGACCGTAAGCGCGTGGACGCCCGCAGGTGGAAGGCCATCCGCACGCGCGACGGCGTCTCCATCTACCGCGAGCGCGACGTGGACGGTGTGCGCCGGCCGGCCCCGGCAACCCTCGCGCTCTACCAGAGCGCCATCTCCACGACCAGGCCCAGTCAGAACGCGCGCGCATCAGGCGGTGGCCCCCACGTGAGCTCCGATCTCTCGGACAGCAGGAACCACACAATCTCCATTAACGGCCCGCTCCACTTCGGGCCGCCTATGACGCCCAAGAAGAGCAAGTCGTCCTCGGACACGGACTACAGTCGGGACACCAGCCGCAACGACAGCTACAGCAGCGGCGGCTTGCCGTCCGAGCCGCGTATCACCACGGGCGCCTTCTCCAGCACCGACAACGAGAGTGCGGGCCTGCCGCGCCTTCTAGCGGTCGGTACACTGCGCGGCTCGCTGGACGACGTCATGTACGGCGTCGTGTCGCCCAACGCCTCGTCCGTTCGCCTGCGCAGCTCCTACCTGGGGGAGCACATCGCCGACTGCGCCGTTCTGCGGGAGATGAAGAGTCCGTCGCCCTCGGACCCGTTCCGCTTCCTCGGCATCAAGTGGTTCGTCCGCGCCAAGCACCGTGGCGCCGCTCGCATCGTGCTGCCTCGTGACTTCGTCGTGCTCGAGTTCTCCGGTGTCATGATGCGTCCTGACAACTCCCGCGTGGGCTTCCACCTCATGCACTCGGTCGAGATCCCGACGTGCCGCGAGCTGCACGAGCACCGCATCTTGCGCGCCAAGCTGTCGAGCTGCTACATCTTCGAGGAGACGCGCAACAACCGCGTGCAGGTCTTCATGACAGCCTCCGTGGAGCCAAACGGACACGTGCTCAACCGCATGGCGCTTCGCTCGGCCGCCACGGCGCTCAGCAACTGCTGGAAGTCGGTGAGCTGCGCGCACAACAAGAAGCTCGCGTTTTGTCTGCAGAACGAGCGGCCGTCGGCCATGGGGCTCAGCTCCATTGCGTCGACACGAGGTGGCCACTCCCTGGGCGGCACCGTCATCAGGTCGTCCCGAGGCGGACTGTCGGCGTTGACGCCGGTGAACGAGTCCATTGTGCGCGAGTCGATCGCGCCCGAGCCCGTATCTCAGCGCAGCAACTACAGCTCGACGGTGCATCGTCGCCAGTGCGGCGTCTGCCGCGGTAAGCTCGGGGTGCTCTCTAAGTCGATTCTGTGCCAACTGTGCTGCGAGCAGATCTGCAGCCGCTGCCGCATCGTGCGCAAGCTCAGCAGCGACACCCTCAACTCGCAGGTCACGCAGTCGTCCATCAACTTTTGCAAGAAGTGCGTGGCCAGCGTGAACGACGAGAGCGCGCTTGAAATCGCTCGCCAGGAGCTCTGGGTCCGCTCTCGTGGCCGTACGCGCGCGTCGTCCGCCATGTCCAGGACGAACGCGAGGAACAGTTTCTCGTCGGAAAGGAACACGTACGCCACTGTGGTGCTTGGCCGCGGCAGTGAGATGAACAGCAGAGGTAGCACAGCGACCAGCAGTCTCGGCCTCAGCCGTGGACCCAGCAGCTACAGTCAGCCGAGCAGCTTCAGTCAAAGTCGCGGCCCCCAGCAGGAGGAGTCCTCTCTAGGATTCTCGGTCGGCCCTCGCCCGTCGACATCAACGCAGTCGTCGACACCGCTGCAGCGGCCCAGCTCAGGAGGACGTCTGTCCAAGAACTTTTCGCTCAACACCTTCAGCTTGAGCGCTGGCCCGTTGTTGGGCAACAGAGTCGCGAACGACGCGCTATCGCTCTCTGACCTGGACAACAACAAAGGTGTCACTAACGTTGGGACGGAGAAGACTGAGGCAGAGGAGCCCGTGGTGCTGGACCACCGCATGACCATGACCATCCGCAGTCTACGCCACCTCGACTATGTCTTGTCGGTTGGCGAGCAGGACCTGGTGGACGAGCTCGAGAACGAGGACACCGAGGAGGAATTTGGTGGCTTTGAAAGCGCCGATGAAGACGAGGGACGATCAAGCTACGCGTCTTCCGTGGCCGTGCTGGACGACAACTACGAGGCGTGCGAGACGCCGATGAGCAATGAGCCACAGTCTCAGCGTGAGGCCCCCATCGTCGAAGGAGAAGAAGACGAGGAGGTGGGCGAGGAGGACAATGAGGAGCCTGAACAGAAGGAGGAACAAGAGCTGCAGCAGGCGGAGAAGGAGACCGAGGTTCAGGATCAGTCGAGTGAATCAGTACATGAAGAGCAGGAGCCTGAGGAAGAGGAGGAAGGCAGCGAGCAGACCCAAGTCGAGGCCCAAAAGCCCGAGCAGACGGAGAGCACGACAGTAGCGATGGCAATGTCCGTGCACGGGGATTTCATCCACGCGGATGCGGCCATGGCCGAGGAGGTGGAAGTGGTGGAGGCTGCTCCTATCGCCGAGGTGCACGCTATGATGCTGAACCAGTACGAGTTGCAGAAGAACGCCAAGCCCGACGCTGTCGATGAGCAGGAGCCGAAGCAGCGCCTGCAACGCGCGCACACGACGGTCCCGTCCTCGGACAAATCCAACTACCAGAACCAGCTCCTCCAGCAGATGCAGGACCTGCACAACGTCGCCGAGACGACGTACCAAGTGGCCCGGGCCAATACTGAGGCGGCCTTCAAGGAGCGCGACAGCGGCCGCATCTCCAACGGCACCGGCAGTCTACGAGGCGTGCGAACGTACTCGCAGCCCTTCGCCTTCAACGTGGTGGGTCTGCGCTCGACGCGCGCAATGACCGTCGGCATCGACAAGTAAACGAGCCCGAAGCGCGACCATTATGAGCTGAGATATTTATCGTGGAGCTGAAGGATGCAAGCTATGCTATCGAGACCCTAGTGCTGAATGTAGAGGGCAGAGCATTCCGGAATAAAATATGTGCTAAGCTTTGCAAGTCTGCGTGCGTGGTGCTTTCATCCTGATAGTTTCTTGCCGGCCGTGCTGATCTCCAAAACTTCAGTTTGCTAGGTAGTGAAGGCGGTGGGACGGAGCCTTTCGATTCGGGACATTCGCGCAGGCGATGATGACGGGGGTCACCTAGCAGCGGTAAACCATGCGAGCATATGCGCGCTCGACATGGCACAACCGTTCACTTGACCATGGGAGTAATGCTGAAGCACAATTACAACAGGTCATGTGGTTGATTGGCAACATTGCGGCTCGTGAACGTGCAATACAGCACATGTAGCTCCGTTGGCATCGCGCCTAGACGAGTACCCGTGGCCCCCACAAGTCGTGGAGGGTGAACGCGGGTGGATATTTCGTGCAGCAGCGACCTGAGCGCGGTCGAGGTGACCCAACTTCGACATTGAAGAGACGGAAATGGACGGTGCTGTCAGATGCTGAGCACACGCGGTGGCAAGGCAACCAGAAGCTGTCGCGGCTCAATGCCTGCCACCCCAGAGCTCCGGCTCAGTATTGTCGCCACCAAAATATCGGCGGCTTGGGGTGGACACTTTGCGTCCACTACAGTACCACGACTACGAATTCATGGGCTTGGACAGGTCTCACTTAGCGTCGGGCAGTAGCACCGCCACCAGTGCTGCCAAGGGGAGAATCCATTTTTTCGCGTAGGCACGCGAACGCTTTGGTGGTTGTCGGCCATTTAGCGTTGGGGCCCACCCGCGACAGTTGCATCGGAGTGCGCGGAGCGACTTGTGGCCGAATTGAGCCACGACAAGCCCCGAGCTCGTCGAAAGCCACACACCGAGACTGGAACTTGCCTGCTGGTGTCTCGATTGAGTTTATTGCGCAGTGGCAGAGGCACCACATGGCTCAAGGACGATCACCATCCAGGAGCCCGTTGTCGGCAGTATTGGCAATACTGTATTGCGCTTCGGGGTAAACAGGCCGAGCACTGCCGCCCCACGTGGCCGGAACGAACTCAAATTGCCAAGCCCTGGACGCAACAGCTTGCTCGAGTGAGCGCATGTGTCGCACCGAACGTCCAAAGGTTGCAGCCAGCGGTGCAGGTCGGACGCCAAGCTCATTCATTACACAACCTTCACGCTAGCGCTCAAAGGTGGAGAAGAATCGACACAACGATGAAGTTCCCGTTGTCACGCGCACCCTTCGGTGCCTACCCGTCGCTATCCGCAGCACAAACGGAGCGGATCGAGCTAATTGTTCAGCAGACTTTAGCAGAGACCCTAGCAGAGTACGAATCGCACCAGCACAAGCAGCGGCGGCTGCTACCCCGATCACACTACAAGGCCGTCAAGAAGGTGGAGAACCTCATCTGCTACCGCCAGCGATCGGGAGTCGCACCCGAGTCAATGCTGACCCCTGTATCACGCCCCAGCCCAGTCCGCACCAACACATTGTCACGAACATCGACGACGGCCTCATTCGCGTCCGCCACCGACGGCGACACGACCTGGCGCATTCCGAAGCTGGTGACGGTTGGCACAATGGTCGGGACGCTGGAGGACGTGATGCACGGATTGCTCGCTACGGACGCGACCTCGACCTTCATTCGGGCCTCGTACACCAACGAGGAGCTGCTGGACGCTGAGCTGCTTCACCGCATCAAGTCGCCCACGCCCGAGAGGCCGTTCCAGTTCTGCGGCATCAAGTGGCACGTGCTGGAGCTGACCAAGATCACCTCTAAGCGCGACTTTGTGTTTGTCGAGGCATCCGGAGTCCTCGACCGCCCCAACGGCGAGCGCTTGGGTTACCACATCATGCACTCCGTTGACCTTCCTGGTCTCGGCGAACTGCCGGAGCAGTACCAAGTGCAGCGAGGTCGCATCGTATCTTGCCACCTCTTCCGGCAGCTCCAGAACAACACGGTTGATGTGTACATGAAAGGCCTGGTGGACCCGAGCGGCCACATGCCTGCGGCCGTGGCCGTTGCGTCTACAGTTGGTGCGCTACTGAAGCTCGGCCAAGCCGTCGAGTGCTCGCACAGTAAGAAGCTCGAGTACTTGCTGGAGCAGGAGCAGCTGAAGAGCGTGGGCGCATCGGACAGAACCAACGCGATCGGCCGAACCAGCGGCTCCTTCCGGTCTCTGAAAGCCAACGGGTCCTCCGCACCCTGCGGCGTCTGCTCCACCACGCTGCACGTGTTCCGCAGCGTCGCTCACTGCGAGCTGTGCACCAAAGCAGTTTGCTCTCGGTGTCGCGTGACCAGGCGTCTGAGCTTCCGAGTCGCCCGTCCGAAGGAGCTCAAGCAGAAGAACACCGTATTCTGCACAACATGTATCTCCAGGGGCTCTGCGTACAGTGCCGTCGAAGTTGCTCGCGCCGAGGTGAGTGCACAAGCCTCGGCGAAGAAGACGAACCTGGCCAGTCTCAACTCGTTCACTTCTAGCCAGCCCCGGCGGATCCTGGTCAACTCAACCCGCTCCAGCAAATACACTGTGCTGACCTCGTCCAACTACTCGCGACTGGAGACGTCTGCGGAGGAGGACGAAGAGGAGGCCCAGCGACCCAGCTTGAGCAGCGGCGCCAACAGAGTGCGGAGGCGGTCGCTGACCCACCCGGCCGTATCGAACGACAAGGCTGTGGGCGAGAAGCTGGCGGACCTGGACCTCACCATCAGTCTGAGCGTCGTGAGCTCCAGCAGCGACTACTTGGACGAGGACTTCTACGAGAGTGAGGCGGGGCGACGGAAGACGCAGCCGCCAAGCGCGTTCTCGGACCTGCCTGAGTGCGAGCCCGTGGACCCGCTTGCGAGCTCCATGCCGCCCAAGCCCAACGCGCCGGCGATGAACAGCCAACTGCGGCGGCAGCGCGAGCTCATGCGGCGCATGGAGGAGCTGCGGCAGAACGCCGAGAGCGTCTACCAACTCACGTGGCGCAACACGCAGTCCATGCAGCTGCAGTCGCAGTCCGTGTGCGGCTCCACGGCCGACACGGATTTGGAATTGGACTAAGTAGTAGTAGGACGCCCTCGAAGGCAGGGGCGCCCGCAGTATTGCAGTAAGCGTAAGCGCTATAACACGGAAGTTAGACGATCAAGGCTAAAGATGAAGACTGCATCGTACTCGTCGCGCGTTGCACGCAAAGACGACGACAGACACCAAGATGTTCATGTGTATCCGCCAGAGCCGGCACCGAGGCGTTCTCCTCCGCCATGTGGCCAGGTGCGGCGAGAATCCATTCGTGCGATGAATGGATTCTCGCCGCACCGGCCAAAGACGGAGGGGAGGGGCGCTGACTCGAGACCACCACCACCAAGGCCAACGGCGCTCGGTCTCCGTTTGCGTTGGCAGCGTCGCAGCTACGTCAGGGCCGGCCCTCGGTCCGCCCTCGCTCAAAGATGGGCTCGCAGCAGACCTGCCCTTCTGAACGCCATCCAAGCGCAGAATCCGTGCTCGAAAGACCGCAACACGCGCGAATCCAGCGCCTTCGCTAGCACAGCGACAGCCGACGCAGACGCCGCGCAGTCTTTCGGTCTCGTCCCACTCGTGAGCGCAACTCCCATAGCCAGCCAGCAATCACGTCCGCAGACGCGAGACATTGAAGGCCAAGCGGCAACGGAGAAGATGAAGCCTCCACTACAGAAGCAAGCAGCAGCGCCATTTGAGCTGGCACATTGGCAGTCTTGATCGGCATCTATTCATTCCTACCCAAGCAGCAGCTAGGACTTCGACGCCATTGCATCCTTCGAGCGACAACTTCAACTGTGCTGCGTCTCCGGCTGTTTGAGGCATAGTGAGCTCCTGTTGTAAACACGTACCCCCCCCCCCCCGATCTGGTTGACGCCACTCACTCGCGAATCCGCCGCCTGTCGCGCAAGTCGAAGTTCCATCCCAGCAAGTCGAAGTTCCATCCCAGCGTAGGGCGGACCATGAAGAAGAGGTTCCCGCTGTCTCGCGAGGCCTTCCCGAGCGTGCCCATGCCCGCGGAGCAGCAGGACGCACTGGAGGCGCTCGCGGAGCAGCAACTGGCGCTGGCCGAGTTCCAGCTCGACCAGCACGTGACTCGGGACAACCGCGTCGTGGACAAACGACGCTGGAAGCCGCTCAAGACGCGGGAGCGCGTCACGGTCTTCCGCGAGCGCTCGAGCGCGGCCTTCCACCGCCAATGCCACAGCCGCAGCCAGGGGCCCACGGTCTCAGCTGGAGGTTCTCCACACTTGCTGGGCCCTCAGAACGAGGAGGACTGGCCGCTGCCGCAGCTGCTGGCGGTTGGCACTCTAGAGGGGACGTTGGAGGACGTCGTGTACGGCATCCACACGCCCACCGCCGCCCACGTGATGACCAAGGCGGTCATCTCGGACGACGAAGTGGTGGACGCGCAGGTCCTCCACGAGCTGCGCGGACCCACCATCGCGCACCCGTTCCGCTTCTTGGGCGTGAAGTGGCTCGTCAAGGCGCACCCGCCCGCCATGGGCGCCGTCGTGTTGCCCCGCGACATTGTGTACATTGAGCACGTGGGCATCAAGAGCCGGCCGGACGGCTCCAAGCTCGGCCACTTCCTCATCCACTCGGTGATGCTACCGCAGTACCCGGAGCTGCGGCGCGAGCTGGGCCTTGTGCGGGCCCGAGTGTCCTCCTGCGTGCTGCTGCAACAGCGAGAAGGGGACCCAAATCAGGTGGACGTCTTCATGACGGGACGAGTGTCCGCCCAGGGGCGAGTGCTGGACAGTCTCGCGCTGCTGTCCACGGCCAATGGACTCACGTACTTCTGGAAGGCAGGCGTCTGCGCGCAGCGTCGCAAGTTGGCCTGGAGACTGCAACACAAGCGCAAGCTGCCGCCGACGGGGGCGGTGGTGCCACCGGAGCAGTGTCCGCTATGCACGAAGGGTCTGGAGCGAGCCTTCAGCTCCCCGACGCGGTGCGAAATGTGCGGCGTCCGCATGTGCGCGCGCTGCAGCGTGAGCCAGAAGCTGCTGTTCCCGGGGGCGTTCGGCAGCAAAGAGACTCACGCGGTCACGGTGGAGCTCTGCCCGCCCTGCATCACGCGCACGACTGAAGAGGACGCGATGGCCATCGCTCGGCAGGAGATCCGAGCTGGACAGTACGGCGCGCTTAAGTCCCCCAGAGGCGTCACGCAGCGCAACCGCGCGTTCAACGTCGTCAAGCCTCGTCGCCGCAGAGTGGACTTCTCCGCTTCGGCTGGCCCGCCGGTGTCGACAAACCCGCTGCGTAGACAACCGAGGCCGGACTTTGCTGCTTCTGCTGGACCTGCGCGGACTAGAGGCGACGAGAGCGAAGATGACAGTGAAACAGTGACGCGGCAGTCGCTGCAGGCCCTGGACAACTTGCTAGAGAACTCCAAGGGGCCCAACGACCAGCAGGAGGACGTTCTCACAGGAAGTGAAGGTGAGCCGAGCTATCCCGTGACGCCGAAGCAAGCGCCGATGACGCTCGCAGACCTCGAAGGCCCCGACAGTGGCGACAAAGTTCCAGCACAATCTATTCCACAAGCACCGGCCAAGAGCAGCTCAACTCCACTCTGGAAGAGAATGTCAGCGCTGCAAGTGATGGCCGAGTCCACCTACCGCTACACCAAGAAGACGACGGAGAAGACGCTGCACTTGAGTCCCAGCGGTTGCTCGCCAACGTACACATCATCTCCGCCAACCAGACCCTGAGGCAGAAGAGCTCAGGACTGACAACTTGTGGGCATTGAAGAGACCAAATATCCACGAGTTACTATCTATCCACACAACACTGAAGTGAATAAAGAGAATTGAGCATTTTACTGCATTCAAGCTCCAGTCATCTTGCGGAAGCGGAAATCGAGTGATAAATCCTCTTAATAATATCGCTGCAAACACTAGTTGGGTCTTGCTGGGGCCCCTCATCTTCATTCGAAAACCAGAAACCATTAAACCTTCATCTCTAGGAAGCAGCCGCTCCACATGACAAAACGTGAAATGCCCCTTCCAGTCGGCTCAACATGAAAGTCGCTGGTATGAAACAAACGACATTCCTCTTCATCTCACGGAAACCCATGATCGCATTGACCAAGGACAGCAGAAGTGCTTCACTCCCTGGTTCGGAACGTGATGAATCGAGACACCTGGTCAGTCGCAGTGCAAACCAAGTTGCTCAGCCTCCGTCTCAAAAACGGCATTCATAGCCCGTCTGTCAAGAGCTTGCGTCTGCAACCGCTTTGCGATGAACTCCGGTGTGTTTGCATTTCCCTTGAAATACAGCCATTCTCGTTTCGACTCGCTGGCCCCGACACCACGAGCCCCACCTCCACGACGATGGAGCTTCCCACTCTCGGCTCGATCCTCAGTTTCCTGGGCGACCTGTACAGCAAATACGAAGTGCTGGATGACAGCAACGAGCTCTGCAAGAGCTTGCACGAGCGTCTGAGGAGGTTCCTAGACATGCTGAGCACCATCGACCCTGCCACCATCGAGGCCAACGGCCTCCTGTCGAGCCTCAGCAAACTCGTCAACGAGTTCTCCGCTGCTGTCAACGAGTACGCGGATCTCGACTGCGTCTCGCGCTGGCTCAGACCCAACACGTTCCCGGACAACGTCAAGGTCTTCAACGAACGACTCGATGGTTTGTGCCTCATGGGGCTCAAAGAAGCGACCAACCTCCTCGAATGGCGCAGCAAGTACGAGCAGGACGTGGCGAATGCGCTATCGTCGTCGACCCACGGACTGCGCGACAAGATCCGGAAGGCCCTGGACGACGACAACAAGTGGCCGTCAAGCAAGATCGAGGAGCTCGTGCTGTTCGTGAAGCGAGACCTGCCCGAGTCGCCCGTGTCCATGCGTCACAAGCGCCAGCAGTTGATCCTCGAGGTGGCCGAAGAGCATTTCCTGTCTGGGAAGAAGCTGGACAAGCCCCCGTCCTGGTTGATCGCCGCCAACGAACTCTCCTCCTACACTGAGGCCATCGCCAAGTCCGAGTTCGCGGAGATCGTAGTGCGCAAGTGGCAGGGCGCCCAGGTCGCAGTCAAGAAGCTCGTGGTCGCTGTGGACACCAACCCGGTCTTTGAGAAGCAGTTCACCGTGTGGCGGACGCTGCTGCACCCGAACGTGGCTCAGCTCTACGGGGTTGGGACGGATCGTGGCGCTCCCTTCTTCGTCTACGAGTACGCGAGCAAGCAGAGTCTGGATCGCTGTTGGGGCCAGTTGACGCCCAAAGAACTGTGGGGGGTTCTACTCCAGGCGTCCTCGGGGCTGCTCTACCTGCACAGTAGGAAGGTCGTCCACGGGAACCTCAGCAGCTCCAAGATCCTCATCAACGACCACGGTCACGTCAAGTTGTTCGGCTTCGGCGCGTCCTACGTCCGCGAGGACAACCAGAGCAGCAGCACGTCGCCTGGAAAGAGAGAGGAGTTCGCAGCCCCGGAGTGTATCGGAATCGGAGCGGATGGCAACGCTGATGACGTCCACAGTCCTGGCTTTGAGAGTGACGTCTACACCTTTGGCTTGACCATCATGGAGGCGGTCGGGAGGAAAAGCCCCTTCCAGGGCATGGAGCTGAGGGATATCCGCAAGATGAAGGAGAGCAACCGGGTGCAGCGACCGGAGGGCATGAAGAAGGACGCGTGGCGACTCGTGCAGCGAATGTGCGACCGCAACCCGAAGGAAAGAGTCTCGCTGGCGCTCGTAGCGTACGAACTCGAGAAGTTGGCGCAGTAGATTGGTCGCAACCCCACTCAGCGACTCTATGCTAAGGAATTCAAATACACTTACGTGTTACTCTTGGTTGTTTGATGGAGTATCATCGATCGACACCGATAGTACAAACAATGACTGCGGGTTGTTTGTTGCTGGGGCTTGTCCTGGATCGTTGGCACTCTCATCACTGACGATGTTGGACTCGGCTGTGACTCGAACGAGTGCCGGACTACCTGCCAATCGCCTGAAGAACGTCATCAATGGTTCAACTACCAGTCGAGGCCCAGTTTGGGCTGAGCCCCCACTGCTGTCACTCTCGCCAATCCACGACGCCCAGGGACTCGCGTTCGGAGGCGACAATGGGAGCACAGCCAGCATCACCAACAGCAGCTGAAACTTCTCGAACGAGATCACCTCCGTGTGTGCGCTGCCAGAGATCCAGTTGACCGCTTCCAGTAAGAAATGCAGGGCAGGCAGACCGGCACCAAGAGTCAACAGGTTGAAGTCGCTCGCAAACATCGCTAGCCCTCGGAACGTGAGCATGACCAGTCGACGAGGAGCTGCCGCCTTGGGGGTTGACACAATGGGAACACCACCGTCCGCGTCTGCGTGAAGCTCGCGTCGAGAGTAGTGGCGATGCAGCAGTTGGATCGCAGCTCGGTTGGCGGCTAGAAGTTGTCGTGCAGCAGCTGCAGTTGGCTCTTGAGATCCCGTCAGCTGGAGGTCGAGCTCCTTGCAGCGGCGGATCTGCGTCAGAAGTCGAGCGCCAAGCCGCAGCGATAGAGGCACCAGGAACCGAAGCATGAACCACTCCTCGTCGTCGTCGATCTCGGGGTCTTCTCCGCCTGCTTGCTGCATCGACTGCTCCGCTTGGGCCACTACGCGTTCTCGGACGATGAGCATGGCGGCTGTAAACCCACTGAGACTCAAGTGAGTGTCTGCACCAGCGGCTAGAGGCGCTGCCTGGCGATGCGCCATCCTCGACGCGTTGGTCGGCGAGCCTTCTTGAGCCATTGTTCGTTCGGCCTGAGAGAAGATGAGGTCCGTCACGTGAAGTTTAAGCGGAGGTGCGTTGGCTCCCGCAGTATGAGACGCCACTAGAGAAGACGCCGACGTTGTGGACGCTGGAGCGCCACCAGGAATCACGTTCATATCACGCAACACGACGCGGAATTGGCTCTTGCTCATGCCTCGTTGGTGGACAGGGTCCACCAGCGCCACGTAGTAGTGGAAGAGGCAATTACTCAAGCGCTTCTCGGTCGTGAGCACCTGCAGATCCCGGACGCCGCGCAGCTTCAAGTATGTGCTCAGGAACATGTCAAGGGCTGGTTCGTTAGCGCAGATTTCCTCCAGTCGCGCCTCAGCTCCTCCCTCTTCATCACTTGGCTCTTCATCGTTAGGGTCTTCATTGTCGTCTTCGTTCTCGTTCAGTGCCTCGCTTAGACTCGATTGCCTCTTGCCCTTCCCGTTGAGCACCTTGGCGGTTGTCTTCGCAGCCTGACGGTTGTGTGTCGTCACTTTCATCATCATCGACTGCTTCTTGCGACGCACAAACGAGGAACGGGGGAGCAACTGAGCCAGTCGAGCCTGCTCCTCACGCTTGGCAATGTCTTCTCGACGCTGACGCACATGGAACCTTGCTTGGAGTAAAGTCTGCTCATGAGCCTCAAGTTGCCTCCGCTTCTCCCGAGCGATTGCGGCTGCGAGGGCTGACCGAGACTTGTCCAGTCCTTCCCACACCCGTGACGCTTCTTGAGACGTCCGCGCGCCAGCAGCGTTCGCGAGTTCTCGCACTGCGTCAGGCTCTTCCCACTGCGACTGGCCTGTGCGAGTGTTCTTGTAGTAGATCGCGCGTGACACGGGGTCTTGCACTGCAGTCCACTCGGTTTCCTTGCTGGTTACGACGCACACTGTCTGCTTCTTCTTCTTAACCCACACGTACTCTTCGTTCCCATCGTCCACTTCACCCGCGCTCTCCGAGTACGTCTCGTATTGCTGCTGGGTGTTGGTCGCTGAGCTTTGGGCCTGCTGTGGCTGTAGAGAGGCATCGAACCCGGGCGGGACTTCCCACTGACACTTGCCCGTGAGGTTGTTGTAGTAGAACGCTTGGCCGCTGTCGTTGTCCAAGCACTGGACCCAGTCGGTGGTCGCGCCCTCAGCTTTTACGTCGCTGTAGTTGTTGTCTCCGCTGTCTGCGGCGTTGGCAGGGGCGAGCCAGGAGGTTCCTGCACTCGCTGCCAGTTCCCTTTCCGCTTGTGCCAGCAGCTCTTCGCATTCTGGATGCTTGTTCGCAGCAGCCAAATCCTTCGGGCTCATGCCTTTGGCGTTGTTCGTCAGCGGGTCAGCTCCGTAGCGCAGTAGAACCGCCAGAGAAGCAGTGCTGCCGTTGCACGCCGCTGCGTGGATAGCTCGGTCACCACGTTGGTCCTCCAGCTCCAGCATCCAGGAGCGAGACTGGTTGTTCCAAGCGCACAGGAACTCCACACAGGCGACGCGATTTCGAGCACAGGCGACGAAGAGGGGGGATCGACCCAGCTTGTCTCCTTGAAGGAGATCGTCACCGAAGGCTAGCAGCGCCTCAAGACACTCGGGCGTAGCCGCCAGATGCGACGGCTTGAAGCCTTTGGCGTTGCGTCCGTGAGGGTCGGCGCCAGCGTCTAGCAGTAGCTGCAAGCACTGATGCCAGCCAAAGAAGCAGCACACGTGCACGGGCGTATCCATCTGACGATCCGCCGTGTTCAGCCACAGCCGACGCACACGCGCCAACAACGCGCAGCACTCCAGTCGGTTCGCCGCGCACACGTAGAACAATGGCGTCCGCTGCTTTTTGTCAAGCCACGTCGACTTCTTCTTCTTGCCTTGATCGTCTGCACTCTCCGCCTCGACGTCAGCCTTCTGGAGCAGCAGTTCTAGACACGTGACGTGCCCAGTGTACGCAGCGCAGTGCATCGGCGGCATCTCTCGACTCTTGCTGCACTGCGCGCACACTTGCGGCGCTTGTTGAGTAGAAATTGCTTCTTCCCTCTCGGGCGTAGTGAGCAACGCAGTCAGGCGAAGTGTCGAGTCGGGAGAAGCAGCTTCTGCGTTTCGAGCGGTGGGGCTCCCAGGCAGAGGGGCGAGCTTGTGCGCTCGAGCTGCTGGTCGCGGCTCCATGGACGACGCGGAGCTCGCCTCTGCGGACGGAACCTTCTCCAGATACTTGGCCTCAAGTGAGCTGAGAGCCGAGTGCGATTCGATCCGGTACATGCGTCCCTCCTTGGCTGGACCCTGGTGGTCACCATCTCGCGAAGCTTGATCGTCCGTGTCGCTACCAGAAACGGACTCGTCATCCTCCCCGTCCGCCACCTTCCCGTCGATGAGTTCGTCGGAGAATAATTGCTCCGTTGATATGTCGTGCGACAGCCTCGCCACCAGCTTCCGCCTCGCCTTCTTCTCAGCCGCTGTAGACTCCGGAGTTGCAGAGGTAGAGTCGCCGGCCTTGACGCTGCCGTCCGTGTCGCCCACGTACACCCTCGATGACTTCTTCACCATGCTCCCAGGTTGGTCCAATGCTGCTAGCTAGCCCCTCCAAAGCGTCGTAGTGGCCTCCAGACACGAAACCTTCAGCAACGGTTAAAGTGGTCAATGCATCCTAATACACCACCAGGAGATACTTTCAAGACGGTAGAACGCCTTCACCTTTCATTGATTTGCACCGAGTTCTGTGAGTACATCAACACTGGGAAAGATCCGTCAAAATCCACGCTACATAATGGCAAAACCCGAGGTGCCGGACGTTAAGTGGACACGACGTGCAGCCAGTCGTTCGGCGCGAGCGAGATGGTGTGCTTGAGCTCCTCCACCACGTTGTCGCGGATCTCCGGCCGCGAGAGCATGAGCTGGCGCGCGCTTTCCAGCACGTCCGAGGCGTTCCAGAGCAAGATGCCCATGATCTTGTTGCCCTTGAGGTAGTACACGACGCCGCGCTCGTAGGGCATTCCTCGGCCACCGTTGGAGCCGGCACTGATGTTGGGCGGCTGCACCCAGACGCCCACCGTGCGCAGCGAAGAGTCCACCTCGCCGATTCCCTCAATAAGTACGCCTACACCAGTGAGGTGGCTGCGGAACAGAGGCTGGTGTCGGTACGTCTTCATCTTGCCGGCGCCGCGCAGAGATCTGGCCATGTTGCGCCCCGCTGTGAGGCCGCTGTTCACTGCGTGGTCGTATCGGTCGACTCGCCGTCTGCCCAAGTACGGGTCGTAGTAGCTGGCGGCGTTGCCAGCGACAAAGAGGCCCGACACAGCCTCCAGCTGCGCGTTCACGACCAGTCCGCCGTTCTTCTCGTCGCGCTCGAGGCCTCCGCCAGCGCGCGTGGCCCGCCCCATCCGCAGCGTCGGGGACGGGTCCGTGTGGGTCGAGGCCAGCACCACATAGTCCGCGTCCAGCGCCGCCTCGGGCTTGTCCTTGCCCAGCACGCCGACGGTCACGCCGCTATCGCTCTCGTTGTCGTCGTCGTCCACGCTCGGCCGCAGACTCGTGACCAGCCTGTCAGGAACCACCTCGACGCCCGCGCGGCTCAGGCGGCGCGCCAACTCGTCCGCCAGATACGGCGGCAGCGTGCGCGCGGCGGGCGCGTGCTCCACGAACACGAGCTTGGTCTTGAGGTGGTCGTTGCGCTCGTCCGTGGCCAGCGCGCAGGCCACCTCGCAGCCCAGGAAGCCCGCGCCGATGACCAGCACGCTCTGCACGCCGCAACCTCCTTCCTCGGAGCCGCCGGCCGCCAGCTGGTCCAGCCGCGCGAAGTCCGCGCGCGTCGTGCACGTGTTGACGCGGTCCTTGAGCGCGTACGAGACGCGGTCGCTGTCCAGCACGTAGAAGTGGCGCGGCCGGCCGGCCGACGCGATGAGGCAGCGCTCGTAGCGCACCTCGGTGCCGTCGCCCAGCAGCACGCGGTTCTTCTCCACGTCGAACTCGAGCGGCCGCTTGTCCAGCAGCAGCGTGAGTGGCGGCGAGCCGCTGGCGGGCGACGCGGAGGACGCCGCGTCCTCCTCGAAGCGCGCGCTCAGGTGGCGCCGCCACTCGTTGTAGCTCTCCAGCAGCGCGGGCGCCAGCGGCTCCTCCGCGTCCTCCTCGTCGTCGCTGTCGCCCGCGCTCGCTGCGTCCTTGGCGTGCGCGCCGAAGTCGAGGCGGGGCAGCGCGTTCTCGTCGCTGAGCACGAGGATGTCGGCGCTGGCGTCCTCCTGGCGGATGGCCTCGATGGCCGCGTTGGCCGCCGTGCCCGAGCCCACGATCACGTAGCTGTGGTGCTTGGTCTGCTTGCGGCGCGTGAAGCGGCGCGTCAGCCGCATCTTGTCGCCGCCCGGCGGGCCATCGGACGCGCGCTGCACGGGCTCGCAACGCGCGGAGGAGGCGGCGGCGGCGGGCGTAAGACCAACGGCCAGTGCCGCCGCAGGGGCCGACGCGCGCAGCCACGAGCGCCACATGGAGCAGGAGGAGGAGTGCGGTTGAAGGAGAGGAATGCTATCGAGAATATTTTCGTCAAGATTTTCGACCAATCCGCGGCGTTTTTGCGGATCGCCGGAATTTGGGAACTAAGTTGAAGTGAAGCAGCTGTCAGCAAACATCATCGTACTCATCAACCTCAAGCGTGACGACGCCTTTTAACCGATGCCACCGCTGGGTTGGGCCGAACCGCTCGGGAGCAACCCGGCGCAGGCCAACAAAGTCGACCAGCTCGGCTATTGTTGTGTTTGTAGCCAAGTTACCACAACTGACGATTTTGTGTGTACTGCTATACCACAACTAGTGCCGCGACCCGGGAGCAGGGTGGTTTGTTTTCGTTGGTACCAAGTCAACCAAGTTTCGAGTACTGAGCAAGATGGTCAAGGGAAGATCGTTGCCGAGCTAGGCCAGCCCAGCGACGGCTGGGGGTTCGCTTCACACGAAGCCGAACTCAGCTGGCGGAAGGATCGCCGACATGACGATGGAAGCGGTCCCAACCGTTCGGTTTGGCGACGACCGCACCCAAGACCGAGGAAGAGATGGAGATATTGGAGATTATGATGAAGAATGGAAGAAAGCCGAGTTGCTCAGCGGGGCAGCTGGGACAGCGGGTGTCTCGCCTCTCGCCGAGACCTGCCAACCAAGATCACTCCTCCTGAGAACCGCCGAGTTCGACGGCCTCCGTTCACGCAACCCTGTGCCCTCCACCAAAGGATGGACGACAGGGCACGGAGCGCTTTTACAGGTCGCCGAGAGCAAAGGCTTCTCGACTCAGCAATCAGTGCCCGGGACGTACGGGAACACCGGCTCGCAGCGGTGGCGAGACTTTCCTTCGTGCTTGGCGAGACTCGCGCCCAACCCGGGCCGACCTTAATCTCTTGGCGCTGCCAGCCGAGTACCCTACAAGCTATGCCTCTCGGGTACCGGCAGCAGACATAATCCGGCCCCGTGCAGGGACTTACCGGAACGTGTACACGTGCTTTAGGCCTAGCAAAATTCTGCTCTGTTGTTTGTTATCTCTGTCGGGCGCCCTGAAGGGGCGCCTCCACTATTACTAAGCTCCTATACAAATACCAAATGAAAGTGGGCGGTTTTGGATCTCGGCCGACTCTTCACCGAGCTCGGCGACGCTTGAGCTCGGCTAAGCCGGATAACATGTCCGGATAATCCCTTGAACTCGGCTGAGCCGGATACGGCGTGTCCGGATAACCTGGCGAACTCGGCTGAGCCGAATAAGATGTCCGGATAACCCAGTGAGCTCGGCGGAGCCGGATAAGGTGTCCAGATAACACGGCGAACTCGTCGGAGCGACCCTTGGACTCGACTGGGCGACTCCCGGACTCAATTGGACCCGGTTACCGTATCTGGATGGTACGTGGTGCCGTTTAGCCGAGCTCGGCGGCTTGAACTCCCCATGACCTCGGCTGAGCGTGTCCAGTGCCTTCCTGAACTCGACTGGGCCTTCATCACCGGGCCTGCCACGTGTCACCAGGTCGGGGCCGGTGTGCCTTGAGTTTCTGACACCATCAGCCGAGTTCAGCGGTTCATCAGCCCACTGAGCTCGGCGGACGGTCATCCCGCCGAGTAGTACTTGGCTCCTGGTACGTTGTTCCACTGCGGCCTTGATGTTCCCTACACCACACGTAAAACGGTACAATAAAACGAAGACGAAGTGAAGCTAAAAGTGTGTTTAAAGCTTAGTGTTTCTGAGGTTTTAGGCGGATAAGCCCGTTAATCTTCGCAGCAATGTTGTCCACGCAGCTCTTAAGGTCGAGAAGAGCTAAGTTGAGTTGCCGATCAACCTTACCCTCAACGCTGTCGTCCTTGATACCCCAGACCTCTTTGCGGAACTTAACCAAGACCCTCTTAGCGGTTTTGACCTGCTTGAGAAGATCCGATTACAATTTCGCACTTTTCTCCGCCTCGACCGGCGAGAAGAATAGATCGGTGTCAATAGCCGTTACAGGAGGAGGAGTCGGCGTAGACGTTGATGATACTTTAACGTCACGCGCTTTTTGGTGCTTCCTCTTACTGCTGTGGTTATGACCCTTTTTGTCCCGGGCCATGGATCGACTCCAAAGATCGAAAGAGGCAAGGGACTACTACCTGGTAGCCAGGGACCCTTATACTTCTACAATGTCCCGCGTTAGCAGACACAAAGCAGGCGCCCTGTTACTGAACCGACTTCTAGTAAGAGTACAACACAACCCCGAAGGTTAGGTACTATCCGGTCTAGGCGTGGGCCAAGCCCCAATGCGGTATTTCCACCAGCCCACGGCATGATGTACCCACTTCTTCGAAGTGTGCTCCCACAGAAAACTACACGTTCGCAACCTAGAGCGTCCCCACTATGTAGCTAGCTCCAATAGTCACAGGTAAACTCGCTTCGGAAGGTATCCCCACGAGCAACCTTGTCTTGAACTTGAACCAGAGCTTGACACGACAAGTGCTATTATGTCACACAAGCCGATGCGAAGACCCGAAGCTTGATGAGCGCAGTGGCGAGCGCTCGAAGAGCACTTGAGACGATGTTGGAAAGTTGAAAAGTGATTGATTGATCCGATAGTTTAGCGTCGGCGCGCCGCCGCCGCGCAACCAGTAGTTCTCGGCGACCAGGGCACTCAAACAAGTATCCAGGTCCCATCCTAAAGTCTATCAATCTCAAATCCTAGATCAATCTTTATCTACCAACGAAAAACTACTAATCCTATTCGTAGTTTGGCCAAAATTTGTGACTTGCGTCCCATAATCAAAAGTCCGGCTGGAAAACTTGATTGCTGCACATCTCAAGGATTTACAGCTAATGAGGTCGCGCGAATGTCCATGTTTACGCGTCCCATAATCAAGTTTACTTTTGACACCAGCCAATAGGATACCATATAATGAATACAAGCAATGCATCCCCGTATTACGCTGTCCAGCATAAACTGAAGTGCTGTGCAGCAGCACTTGACGTGGGAGCCCTCTACCATCTCATACGTCCAAGTCACACTCATAGTCTTATTAGGGTCAGCGTAGAGAAGTTCTTAAAATGGTACCATACCTCAAGAACAACTGGATGCCTAGATGCGTCCCCCATCAAGAATACGCTTCAGAAGTAGCTCGAAGACGCCTTCGTTCCGAATGAAGCATAGTCCAGAAGCACCAGTTTGAGTGTCCGATTTACTGGCCGATTTCACTCAAAAATTAACGAAAGACAGTGTGTCCTCCTCGTTGATGACTTTTCTCTTACTGACACTAGCTCTACGGTAGAGCCTCTACCTACACTAACGAGTTGATGGCTTCCAGAGACCTCCGAAGTGTTGGCCGCAAATACGCAGCCTTCATTTGGTTCCAGCCATATCAGGGGCCACGAATGAACCCATTGCGCACTTCCATCACCTTCACCTTCTTGCTCATTCTTCGATTCCCCTCGTCGGTCTCAAGTGTTCCAAGCCCCCCCCCCCTCCAATGCTGAACTTGTACCCGCCAGCCAACCACGCCGTGCACAACGGGGCGTTCCTCAACTTCTCGCCAGACATCGACCAGGCGTGTCAGGCCATCCACGAGGCCTGTCGGGGCCTGGGCACGGACGAGAAGACGCTCATCGCCGCCCTCGGCGCCAAGTCGGCGGACCAGCGCTACCTCGTCTCGGTGCGCTACCAGCAGCTCTACGGGAAGGAGCTGCGCAAAGTGCTCAAGTCCGAGACGTCGGGCGACTTCGGTCGCTTGCTGCAGCTCATCTCCCGCCCGCTCCCCGAGGGGGAGGCGTCGATTCTACGCAAAGCCACCAAGGGCTTCGGCACCAAGGAGAAGCTGCTCTACCCCGTTATCATGGGTAGAACCAACGTAGAACTAGCCATCTTGAAGAAAACCTACTTTGAAAAGTACGGCCGCGACCTGGGCTCGACGCTCGACGGCGAGCTGAGTGGGGACCTCAAGAAGGTGCTCCTGGCCGCGCTGCAGGCCCCACTGGAGCAGTTCAACCCGGCGCTGCACACGGCGCAGCGGGCGGAGGCCGACGCCGACGCGCTCTACAAGGCGGGCCAGGGCCGCCTGGGCACCGACGAGCGGACGTTCATTGGCATCTTGGTCTCTAGCCCGCCGCAGCATCTGCAGGCGGTGAACGCCTGGTACGTCAAGAAGCACAAGAACGACCTGGTTAAGGCCGTCAAGAAGGAGTTCGGAGGGGACGCGGAGGACGCGCTGCTGTTCCTCGTGCGCATGGCGCTGGAGCCGCTCGAGCTGCTCTCGGAGCTGTTCGAGAAGACGATGAAGGGCTTCGGCACCGACGAGGACGCGCTCAGTGCAGCGGTCGTGCGCTACCACCTGGTGCTGCAGGACATTAGAGCTGCGTACAAGAAGAAATTCGGCAAGGAGCTGCGCGACCGCATCCACGGGGAGGTGAGCGGCGACTACAGGAAGCTGCTGCTGGCGGTGTTCGACGCTCCCAACCACTAGGGCGGATGGAGGAGAAGGTGTAGCAAGACTTCATGTTTAATAGTCTGTGATTGGGTTCTAATCCGTTGTACGATCGATGTTTAGCAGGCGTCGGCGAGGGTCGACGTGGCGTAGATGTCGGACTGTCAGATCATGAAGGACGAGACTTTCTCGGCCATGTTTGAAGTCGCAAAGTCGATCACTCCCGATTCGTTCAAAAAATTGAAGTCGCAAAGTCGATCACCCCCGATTCGTTCAAAGCACCTGACGCATACTTCCCCTGACACTTCTTGGACCCCGTGTAGAAGACGATGCGAGCCCCAGACGGCAGGCCAGACCAATCTGCCGCGCGAATTTTGCCGTCCCAGCAGTTGCTGAGCGAGTAGCATCGCTGTACTGCCGTGGAGGAGAAGGCCTTCGTGGGATCAATAGGCCCGTTGCCGCTGTAGAGCCGCAGGTCCCATGCCCAACTTGCTGATGCTGATGCGGTCAATGCGATAAGCACGTTGTACAACCGCATTGTACTAGAGGTAGATAGAATTGATAGTGAAGATGGAGATGGAGTGCTGCTTGGGTATGGGCTCGTACGATCACGGGTCGAGCAACACCCAACGTTACTTGATCCAAGCTAACCACTTAAACAGGGTGTCGAACAAGTGGCTAGGAAGCTCTACTTGCATTGCGTACATTTATTTACAAGGAACTCGATTCCGGGAGAACGATAAAGCAAGAGATGAGTACTAGTACTCGTGCTATGACATAAGAACAACTCTTTGTTTTTTAATACATGTACCGCCCGTCGCGGACGAAGGTCAAGGCGATAAGGTTATGCAGACTTGCCGTTCGAAGCGTATTGCGGGGATGATGGTACGCTCGTACTCGCGTTCGCTAACAGCAGCAGAAGAGCAACCCCGAAGTCAACAGAGCCGCTCGCAGCAGCCAGCATTACAGTACAGTCTCCATCGCGCTGCGAGTGCCGATGCCAGCCACTTTATGAACGTATCGTTTTTGAGGGTGAACCTGTTTGTAGGAAAAGATGAACAAAGCTCCTGTGGGAACGGGAAAAGATAAACTGCGGAAATTCTCTATTGTCTTTCTCCACCAGTGCTTTATCGGTTAACGTTAGCCGAATGTTAGCCCTAACGTTTCTTCCGTCTGTAGGGATTATCAACCCTGTTCGTTTCTTATCGCCTGCTGGCCAAGCGATCTATGGGTACTGTCTAGTGTTCCTGTGAAGACGAGCGTATTCGTTGTAGCGTGGGCGGTATTTCTCTTTCTTTTCGACCTTCAGCAAGTCCCAGGCCCTCATAGAGGACACGTTTTCCTTCAGCCAGTTGTCGAAAATTTCTTGGCGGTAGCTCTCGTTATTCAGCATCTTGCTCTTGACCGGGATCCTGACGCCTCTTTCTTCTTCCTCGCTGTCATCGAGACCGTCCGCAAGTCTGTGGCCTCGCAGGAACCTCGTGCATTCGCCAGCGTTCGCCACCGACCGAGTCACCACACTGGAGACTGCCGCCTTGCCGGGGCCCGCTGACAAGGCGTTGCCACGTGCGAGCAGCGTGGCTGCAGTAACTACGAGCAGGACGAAGGAGAGACGCATTGTTGGTAGGTCTTGGATCAGCTTGAGCTTCTGCTCGACGAGGTGAATTTTGGAATGAGGCTGCTGAGCGTAAGAAGTCGATTTCTGGCCTTTCATCCGTAAGAACACGGTGATCGACAGATCTCTCACAGCAGCATAAGGGATAGATTGAGCTGTCTCTAGATACCTACACTGCAATAGGTCATGAAGGTTTATTTCGCAGAAATCGTAGTTTGCGTGAGTTGTTTAGGTACTTGGTTAGTGATCTGCCGTAAATTAAGCGGTCACCGGTCATTTGAACAACAGTTAATCTAATTCGTGTCACGCATGATACTAACGTAGAATACCGAATAGTGTCCGGTAAGGTATTAGAGTTCCCTGCGAATACAAGGACCCTATCTGGGGTACTGTATAAGAATACAGTACCCTCAAATACAGTCTCCCATAAATAAAGTACCGTGTCATCAAAACCACGAGTTGATGCGGTGCTGTGAATAATTCACTCAATAGCACTTCATTGTACCACGGTGCTGCGAGGTGGACAATTCTATGCCGTTCATTCAGCCCAACTTACTAGTAGTTGTCGCGGATTCGATGGCGTCTAGCGGCATCATTCGCCACGATGACAGAGACTAAAGAGCGGGGCGTCAGGTTCCGGACAGCGTTGGGAGTCCCAACTTGGGACCAAGAGTATCAGGGAGTGTGGACCCCAGCGACTGGCTTACATGTTTAGTTTAACTTTTGCTCAGGTACATTACACTGGCTTATTATTAGTGGGCAAAACGCACGGAGCCAGGTTTCGCCAATCTTTAGCCGGGTCTGCTGGGGACGAGCAAATTGCTGGAGGGTACGGCAGCGGTGAAGAATCTGTCGCTCGATTATTCTGACGAAGTGTGAACGAATCTCGGCCGCTTTATTGCGGAACACCAACGAGTTTTCGCTCTTCGTCCATAAACATTGTTGCGGGTGCTCAAAGGCTACTTCATGGTCCACCTCAACCATCTAGCTACCAAGTATAGACAATTCTATATTAGACTAGGAATCACAGGACACATAACGGCAATTTCTCTCTCTTCTGACGAAGTGTAGATCGAAGACTAGTCGCTGATTTGAACTGCAGCTAGCATCATTTGCTAATCCATATTGCTGGTGTTGATGGTAAATTACTTGTCTGCTCTCTTGCTGCATTTCAGTGATCGTCCTAAGAAGCCTCCTTCACTCTTGGGAACATAGTACCTTCGAATATAGTATCCTAGGTGCCTCTGTAGGGTACGGTATAACATTAGTAGATGGTATACTATTCGGTATTCTACGTTAATATCGTATCACAGTTCCTTTGTTGTGAGTTGTCAAACGTACTCATCTAAGTATATCTAACAGAAGCGAACGTTCTAAATGTTAGGGTTATTGTGGCTTTCATCCGTTTTGGCAAATCGGGTGGTCCAAGATCCGATATATCGGGTCCGATTTGCTGGAGGGCTCCGATTTAGCAGGTGGGGCTGAGGGAAGCAAACTATATCTGGCCCGACTTGCGTCTGGGGGCTGCGAGTTGCGAAGCAGGGGCCAGAAATGCCGCTTTTCGCCGGCAAAAAGGATCGCCGCGAAAACATGTCTGGGGCCCTCTCAGATCGAGGTTGTAGTGGCCGTAGATGATCACACAGGTGATTTAGCTGGCCATAGTGCTATGAAGTGGCTATATACAGTGTACTATAGTCCCCAATTTCTTGCCGTTCTAATGCGTCATGAGAGGTGAGGAGGTATGGCCAACTTGGAATGCCTCCCCTCTGAGCCTTATGCTACTAACTCAGGTCAGATATAGCTAAATTGGACTAACCGATCATGTCCATTTTATAAAAATCGGACTCCGAGATAACACGCCAAATCTCTGGAAAATGTGTTTCCATGTACAAAGAGTAGCGGCAATAAGAAAGGGTTCAACGATTAAAGTACTGAAGGTATATACAATAATCAAGTCAAATCAAATCTTGCGGAGCTTTAAACGTATTGACTTGACGAAATAAATGAAACACGTTAGGGACGTTATTATTATTTGGCCCGATTGACGATGGACTTCGACGCTACAGGCTCGTCGTACTCGTCTTCCTAAGACGCACGACCTTCAAATACACTGGCTGCGACTCACTACGACGCCCTGCTTGTCCATGGTCACCGCACATTACTGTAGCTACGTCTCGGCGGTGTGCTTGCTGAGCTTGTGCAAACCCAACATGTGCACGTAGGACAACACCTCCGCATCAACCTGCAGGCGCTCATGGTCTTCCTTAGCGGTAGTTTGCGAGGCAATGTGGGCGAGAAAATAAGTGTGACGGGAGCACTGGGGCGCTGAAGCACAACGGTCGTTGATGCACACGCAGTGGTTGAGCCACTGCGTGTACACGGAGCCACTGTGAAAAATGCGACTGCTGTGTGTGTGCCACATCACTTTGACAAACTCAGTACCTAAATAGAGGCCCTGTGTAATTCAATATTTATGTGTTGTCAGAACAAGTTGCTGACCCTTTCTTATTCTTTGTACTTGTATTGTAATAACCGGCCAAAATGCCCACCTGTAGCAACCGCTTATTAGATCTCAATCACCTAATTAATCAGAGTATAAAAAAATCAGGGTATAAATCGATTGTGATCCATATGCATCGCTAGGCTCCAGTAAAAGGTGGGCATTCTGCTCCAAACGCGTCTATATCGACTGGTTTCACATAAATCCATCGTACCCACTCACGTATGCATCGCAGGGACGCGATCGATTTACAAATCGATCGAGCTAAATCAGGGTGCTAATCAATCGATTTACGACCAAAATACAGGCGTCCCCGGCCTATTCGCCACAGTGGTACTAATGATGTTTGCGAATCAACAAGATTCACGCGGTCTGAACATAAATGAGTATGTACTGACTTACTACAAGCTTAGCTCAAGAATCGGTGGAGGTATTCCCGCAACGTGCCACTTGTCGCAGTAGGTATCGCTGTACACTCATCTAAATCAATATATTTGCAGAAGTAGCGCGCAAATCTTGGGAGCTTGTTGTACTTCCTGTGCAAGGTACATTAAAATATACAGCCGGGACTAGCCCGGGGACGCCTGTAGGCAAAAGAAGCGGTTTTCACACTTGCTTAGTACTACGTAGAAGTTTAGCCTCAACCATATGCCATAAATCAGGCTCTCGCATTGGCCAAAATAGAAATTCGCTTAGGAGAAAACTTCGCTTAGCCTAAGGACAGGAGCGATACGGTATACTCCAAGGTGCTGTCCTGTTTGTGAACCCGCTCTGGAGGAGATAAATGTCGGTGAAGCCAACATCGGTAACACCACCAAGTTATGGTGCAGGTCAGGTCTTGAAGGAGGCGGAGAACTTCGTGTGGATGTTGTATATCAAGGAGAGTGCTGTAGGCAGCTTCCTTGCATGTCCTTCATAAAAAAAAACTGATTGAAACTCGGTCTACTTAGAGCGCTGCGCGTTCATGGCGCAGATAGCTCGCTTGTTTTAAGCAATAAACAAACGGCGCCTCCTTTGTACCCGGTCAAGTTGCAAGTTTTTCAAACCAAGGTTCAAATGAACTTTCCATGCAGATTTTAATTTTAGGCTACGTTTTTCGGCGATTATCAAAAAAGGACCACACTGTTCACTAAGTCATGAAAAATGTTACATACGCCACGCAATCTGAGCTTACCAGCCACTTTGTTCAGCTGGTTGTTGCCTCCTCGACAGCTCACGCAAACCGTGTCTTTGTTGTTCACTGTGATTCAGGATTGGTAAAAGGATTTCTAATGTAATCGTGATGGCTTCGATTCTCGTTCTTTTCGCGATGAAAATATTTATTAGGCTCGAGCTGGATAGCAATTAAGTATACGACGCTTCCTCTATTATACATGTAATGAATGTACTTCGTAAGTAAATATACGTCGTGCTGAAGCGACTTGCACAGTTCTAAACTGTCGTTATACATGTATAACCAACGTTGAATGAAATCACGGCTTGCGTGCATTGTCAAGGCTACAACACGCAGTTGAATTAACTGGCTGGTCACCAGCCTGGTGAGCTGTGCATCAAATGTATGTATAATTGTCTGCCATTGCGTCCCCGTGTTGCCGATCCAACAAGAGCCAAACAAATTTCTACACCAGACCGTATCCACACAAAGCGCAGTGTACAGCACCGGAAGCCTTCCGGCGGAAGGTAAGACACAGAAGTATATGCACAGTGCTGGTACGTCATAGCACGAATGATGCGATGGAGACAGAGATCGAAGAAACAGCACCTACAGTTTAAGGAATGCATTAGGATTCTTGGTAACGTTCAGAGAATTGCTGATCAAGGTCACCAACCTTACGATCCGAAGGCATCGTCGCCTTCCTTGATCATCTTGAACTGGTATGAACCGCGTCCATCAAACTGGCAACGGATCGCAACACGTTAGCTTAAGACAAAATCCCCAATAATAATTCCGAGAATCACACGAACCCACCTGTAGGACGTATTCGTGATACTGCCAGAGCGACCGGCGGTGCGACACCGTGAAGAGCGTGATGTTCTGTTCGCGGCAGTAGCTGTACATGGCGCCTTCAACGTCCACGCTGACGGCTGACGTACATTCATCAAGAATGGCGAACTGGGGTTTGTGGTAGAACAACCGAGCCATGGCCAGTCGCTGCTTCTCACCGCCGGACAGCACGTCGGTCCAATCCTGTACAGCATCCCAGCCGCCCTCGCGCTCGACGAGGTGGGCGAGCTGAACTATATCCAGGAAGTGCATCAACTCGTCGTCGCCTCGACCACAGGCTTGCATGTCAGCGAGGGAGTGAGGGTAGATCACTTGGTCGCGGAGACTCCCCAACGTCAGATACGGGCGCTGGGGGATGTAAAAGAGTCCGTTCTGCTTTGGCTTGGTCAACCTGCCGCCACAGAGAGGCCACAACTCGCCCAGAACTCGGAACAGTGAGCTCTTGCCGCAGCCATTGGGACCTGCGACCACCACATTCATCCCCGTCGTGACCTTCAGATTGAGCGACGGCATCAACACCTCACCGTTTGGGGTGACAAGAGGCACGTCTTCGAACTGAATCACGTGGTCACGGTACTGCAGCACCCCACGACGTTGCAGCAGTTCCAACTTCACTGTAGCTGGACCAGTTTCAGTCTGATCGTCGTCCACTGACGCGTATTGGTCGCCGTTGAGACCAGCTAACACGTCGATAAACTCCGTGATGCGAGCTGTAAACCCGGCGAGTCGTGTGAGCTCTCGACCCGAGAGAACCAGTCGACCCGTTGCCTCTGCCAAGTTGATCATCATTTTTCCCGATCGGAAGTAGTATTCCATTTGCTCTGCATACGTCAAGCCTGCAAGCCGGACGTTGTTAGGATCCATGAACGGCTTGGACACGACGTAGTAGCCGACCACGATCGCCAGGTACTTAGCCACGACGGTATCCACAGCGCCCACTGCGGTTCGGCAGTGCTGACTCGACCGAATGCGATCGATGAGGACACGGAACGACTCGTCCAGGAGATTTTTCTCCCTCACATTGCCGTCGTAGAAGGCGATCTCCTCGCTGTGCGTTATCAGCCTTGAGTTCATGAATCGGAAAGTGCCTTCCGCTTGTTGCTCAGCGATGGTGAAGCGGCCCATCGGCTGCCTCAACCATGTCAGAAAGACCCCCGACGTCACCAGGTAACTCAACATGGTGATTGGAGCTTGGACTCCCACAGAAGACGTGAGTTTAGCAGCGTAGATGGCGATGTCCAGCAGCGGCTTGGACAGGTTCAGGTAGAGTTCCGTCACGGAGTTGCTGAACCGCTCGACGTCGACCGTCAGGAGCTGGTCGGCGTTCGATACCTGGGTACTGAGGTTGGCTACTTTGTAGTAGACGAAGCCTTTGAGGTATTGCGCGTACAGGTACGAGGTCAGTCGCGCCCGGAAGCGCAGACTAAGCTCCGACTGGCCGTACTTGAGCAGGCAGTTGATGCAGGACATGGGCAGCATGACGGCTATGAAGCGGCGCAGGTGGAGCAGGAAGTCCCGCTGCGAGCGAGAGACGATGGCCCGCTCGATGGACGTGAACAGGTGCAGCACCGCGATGTCGAAGGACGTCTTGGCCGCCAGCATGAGCGCCACCAAGGCTGCGAAGCCCACTTCAGCAGAGAACGGGCCGGGGACGAGCACGCGGAAGAGCCGAAGAAACCGACGGAAGAAGTCTCCGTTCACCGCCACGTTTCGCTGGGTGTTGGGAGCACTTCGCTTTCGCGCCACGAACGCCGAGTCTTGGTGGGATGTAGCGTTGGCCTTATGACGGCCGTGCTCACGGATTGCGATCGCTAGCGCGACCAACGCACCGACGCTGGAGACTGCACGCGCCTTGGACAAGACTGCCATCGGGTTTTCGAAGCGCTCGGTTGCGGGCTGGAGATCAATTTCAATTGTGAGGTGAGCTGGAAGCGTTGCTGGCGGCTCCGATTTCGCCGGGTCGCCGAGCTCGCGACATCAGCGGGGTGGAAGTGCTGGTTCACTTCATCTCGACTCCCGCTGATTGTCCGAGCGGCAATTGGCAGTGCCACCCCACGGTCCGTCAACGACAAGACAGCGAAGCGTGTCAAGGCGGACACGGTACAAGTAACAACGGCTAGTAGCAGCGAAAGCATTTTTTTTTGCATGAACTCCATATTGACAGATGAAAGAGCGACTGCTACAGCACATACATGGCTACGAGTAGCTCGTTAGCGCAGCGCACGGCGAGCCTTGCGCTTACTCTTGGTCCTCGTTGACGAATTGAAGTCGCCACCGCCCGAGACGCGGATGATTGCACGTCGGCAGCGGTACAGCAGGTAGACGAGGGTGCCCATGAGCAGCGCCAGCACCAGGAAAAAGAAAATGAGCCCGAACGGCTGCGGCACCAGCTCAAACAGCGTCAGGAGGACGTTGATCAGCGGTCCCGCAAACAGCACAAGCATCATGAACACTGTGCACAGGAAGAACGACGCAAAGGCGCGGTAGTACTTGGGGCCAATGAGTGCTTCTAGCACGTAGCACGGGTTCCACATGGCCGAAAGGTGAAGGCGGTCGGCGGGCTCAGGCAGGAACGGGAAATTGTTCGGCTCGCCTCGCCCCAGGCCAGCGGATCGGACCTCCGCTAGGTGCTTAGGAAGAATCTCCACTGATACTAGCAGCTCGCCAGCACGCACACGGTCACCAGTGCGCGAGTCTCGAGTCGTCATCGTAAGCCAGCTAGCATCTTCGGGGTCATCGCCCATGCCTAGACGATGCATAAACGACTTGACGAGAGACTCAGCATTTTCCATGTCAGCGTCCACGTCCTCTGGCTCCGTCTCATCGGCATCGTCAATGTCAGCAACATCCGCAGAAAGTAAAGGCTTTCTGTCCCCTCTTTCTTCCTCTTTGATGTTGATAACCACCTCTCCAGAATGCGGCGGTCGTTGACGAGCGGCTGAAGTAGCATCTTCCGTAGAGGAATACCCTGAGCGTCTCGAAGCCCCTTCGTATGGCATACTTTCGGTGCCTCGGATGCGGATAGGCTTTGGCTTTGCGAAGACATTCACCGCCTGTTTTGTTTTGAACGCCGTCTTGAGGAACGACGTTAGGTCAACCACTGCATCTGCAAGACAGTCGTCATACACGACGTCTCGGTCCCACATTTGGAAGTGGAGGTAGCCGCGATCCGCCTCCTTCTCCGGGTCTAGCGGCAGCTCGACATCAAACTTCATGCGCCAGTTGAATGAGGCGCGTCCGTTCCTCGCCCGCCAGTGCGTGTCCGTACTCTGAGACTTGTCATCCCGATTTTGAAGCCAGCATTTCACAAGCAGGTCGCTCAGATCCGTGAAATCCCCGGGGGTAACATTCTTCGCCTTGTAGATGATAACGCGCACTTCAAACATCTGAGGTGGAGGCAGCGAAATATCCAGCGGCCTTACGACATTCATTTCCGCTCCCGTGAGGATATCTACCCACATACGGAGGCTTCCTTGTGGAAGTGTACTTGAAGGGGCAAACAGTGGCCGAACCTCCAGTGGCTTGCGCCGTTCGGCCCGTTCTGGCGAAAGACCAAGCTCTTGCCACTTTGCGTCGAACCACCTGTCTTCCAAATCGATGAGCGTAGCACCAACGAAGTCATCGTCGTCCACAGTAGTCCCAACTGCAGTGCTCAGCGCTTTACTTAATCCGGCCGGGAGTGTGGGAATCGCGAAAAAATCGTAGTCCAGAACCTCCAGCTTTAGTTCCGATGCGCCGGGAAGGTCTGCCTTGAACTCGTACATTTTGTGAAATTTGGGCGTCAGGGTCTCGGGCCGGTAATTCTCACGGTCGTTGAACATTTGCTCGCGACGTCGTCCATCTCCGAGGCTCACACGTAGGTATGGGTCGCATCTGTTGTTGGCATCTTTCGGGTGCAAGTTTAGTGCATCTAGCACATATACTCGAACTAGGTACGGCTGCGGGTTGAGGAACTGATCCAAATCGAAAAGAGGTGGATCGTCGCGTGATTTCAGAACGCGGACAATGCCTTTAAACTTTCCGACTGGGCGGTAGGTGTCCGAAGCGTGTTCGCTTGATTCACACCCGCTATTCGAGGACATCGACCCGCGGAAAAGGGTATAGGTCTCGAATGGAGATTTGAGCGTGTCTTCCAGCTCGCCATCGACGATCTCACGCTGGTGCATGTAATGGGGCAACTCATCTTCGTCGTCGTCGTACATACCGAAGCTGCCCGATGAACAGATTCCACCGATGCGAATTGTGTTTGGCTTCTTCTGGGACTTCTCAACGAGAGCACTCGGAGACCTGTCCGCCATGATCTCCGACGGAACTGTGCCGGGGAACGTGGAAAGATCGTCGCCATAATCAACGTACGGGTTGCTCTCTCGAATGATCGGCTTGCTAGATTCCTCGATGTACAACGGGTTTGGCTCTCCATTCGACAACGGCATCTTTCGGCTTAGATCCACCGCGCAGACACCGATTACTGGCTTGTAGAAGCCGCCAAGTAACTGATCGTACACCGTAATGTTAAGTCTCGGCGCAAACAGCGAGTCCAGTGGCATCTTCACCGGAACGACAATCCGCTGCAAGAAGTTCGGATTGCGGCTGCTGGGTTTCGAAGAGGGGTTCGTGAACTTCGGTTGGTTTGTCTTGGTGATTTCACCGATTTCAAACTTCGCGAACGGTGTGTTAATGGGCATAAACCCCGTCGGTTGCAGCCCGCGGCACCCCAAACACATAATTTCAACGAAAGCCTCTTCAGCAGGCGGTCGAATCGACTCAGGAGGCTCCACGATGACACCCGGTGTGTCCTTCTTGATGAGATCAAACGACAGCAACAGCTCACCTTGCGTATCGCCCGGTTTCTCGTAGCAGATAGGATACCACTTCGGGCGAGGTGCCGAGTACTCACCGCTGGCTCGGATCTTGGAATACTCCGAGGATGACATCTGCGGGAAGTCTCCCAAGCTGAACTTTAGCCCACCGACGTAGTCATCTGCGTCGTAGCGATCCCAGTCGAACACCTGCAAGGATACCTTAGGTAGGAACTGCTCGTTCTGCGGCAATTCAACGTCGAGCACAACCGTCTCATAAAAGCAAGGGTCTCGCGTTGACATCCGTGTACTGACTTGGCCCTCGGATCCAACGCAAGCCACCTTCACGTAAGGATCTAACAGGCCGTCGAAGTCGGCAGATGGTAGGCACTTTCCTTGGAAAACGTGGACGAAAAGCACGTATTTCATGTACTGCACCGTCGTGTTCGCATGCTGGCGCCACTGCTGCGCAATTTCCTCCTCGGGGCGCTCTCTGTGCTCGGATTCTTCCAGGCGAAGATTCATCAGGATGTTGCCAGTAAAATCATGGTCCTTCAGCTCGTCCAGAACCTTGTCTTCGTTAAGGACAACCCACTGTGGCGGTGGGATGGCCTTTAGCGCATCGGCGTCTTGGCAGAAGAGATCTTGAGCTTTAAAGCGAGCGAAACAGATGCAACGGGACTCATTCATTGTCTGGTGAATGAGGTGTACAAACACGTCAGGGACTTGATCAAGGTCTGCAGGGAGCTCCACGCCAACGGCGTCAAGATATTGGTTGAAGTGGCAAATCCCAGAGACGTTGTGCGCCCGCGAACTTTCAACGCTGTGACGGCCCACTGAAATCTTCAGTGACATTCGCGTATTTCGGTTCCAATTCGTTTTGCTGGTGAAAACAGGGATTTCCGTTCCATAAAAGAGTGCCGCTCGCAGCGTGTATCTCCTCGTCCTAGGCATGACGGACGTGTTCAATAGATTCCGGACGTGCGCTTCATCATTCACGGACTGTAGACCATCTTCAACACGAAGCGACATCAAGAGACGCCCGCGATACGTGCTGGCATGTGCAGGGTGCTTCTGCATCAGCTGCAGCGCACTCGATTCAGTATCGTATCCCACCGGCGGCCCGTACAAGTTGGCCCAAACGTGCTTGAATTGGTTGGGGTAGTTTAACACTTGCTTGAAGGAGAACGGCTTCAAAGTGTTGGCGACGAGCTGGTCGGCGGTCATATCCCAATCCCACACCGACAGGAAGATGTTATCGCTCATTGTTGGCAAAAGGACGGGGAACCACAATTCCTGGTTGAACGCCACTGTAAGATTTTCACTGCCCTTCACCGTCACCTTTTTCGTTTCCAGCACATCCTGGCCTGCGAAGTATGCTCGAACATACCCGTCAATGCCGCCATGCATCATCATACTATAGTCCATGTCTGGCAGCTCTTCAGCTCGATAAATCGTGATCACCAAGAAGCTCAACTTTTGAGTTACACGCGGCGGAACCAGCACCATTGAGTTAATGTCCGCCTTTGACTTTACTGAGTGCTCGTCTGGATCTTTGTCTTCGGCAGGGTCATACAGCTTCATTTTGTCGTTTGGCCCCAAGACGACAAGCGAAAGTCTGTGCGTTGAGTAAAAGAAAAGTGTCAGATACGCTCTCGAACCATAGCATAGGATATGAAATGAGTCAAACTTACAGGACGTAGCCTTGAATGCTGTCGCTGTTGGTTGTCCCGCTGCCGACTAAGGCTACCCACTTCCGTTTCAATTCATGGTCGGGCTGGAAGTACACATACGGGATGTCCACAGAAAAGAAGCCAACGAGATCATCAAACGCGCGAGAAGCAGCTGACCGATTCGCAGATGTACCAGGTCCATCAGCGTCGAATACCGAAATCTTGATGCTTCCTTGCTGTACGGTATCTTTGTCTATCTTTCGGAAGTTGAAGTAGAGGTATTCATCAAACACACACGACAGCTGCTTCTGCTTGACGACCGTGTGCTGGCGCTGACCAATGCACTCGACCGACACAACAGGGTCGCAGAGACCATTGGCGTCCATCGGCTGCAAGTCACGCACTTCAATGATTCGGACCCGAACCTGATAATCTCCTGATTGAAACTGCACGCTTGAGAGTTCAGCCAGCATTTTTTGCCGCTCTTCTTCTCGCTGCTTTCGCTGCGCTTCGGCCTCCTCCCTTCTTGCATCGGCATCGTCATCATCGCCGCCTTCGTTGGGGTCTTCATTCGCTTCTTCACCGTAGTTGCCACCATTCTCACCTTCGTCTTCTTCAGGCGCATCGGAGCTGCCTTGGTGCCGCAGGCCGCGGCCACTTGGAACCTCAGTGACGTTGTCAATCTCTCCTTGCTCCAGGCTACCGATGTCCCTGTCCAGGTACTGCAGTTCAATAGCCAGACAGATCTTGCCATTGCCATAATTCATCTTCCGCTGTGGACTCAAGTCACTCGGACCATCCTGTTCCTTCGACTCTGGTTGTTGCTCCAATGCCAACCAGAAGGCCTGCTTCTCTCCTTGGAAGCGCTTTGTGAACTCATCCAGGTCGATGACGCATCGCCCCATGAAATCGCTCGTGAGCAGATCGCTATCTTCAACCGTCAGCTCCAGAAGCTGCTTTTCTTCGGGCACGATCGTAAAATAAAACCTCTGACGCCACGACGGATGCAGCGTCTGCTGCTGCGTTTTCGTCCTCTGCGACTGGTTCTTCGAGCACGAAATGCGCACATACGGGTCGCTCGTAGCTTCAATGCCCGTGCCATCGCACGCAAGCAGCCCAGTTGCTTCCAGAATCGTCACCACATAGAAATTTGGCGGCTTTGGCGATTGCTGTTCAGCTTGTCCCTCCTTTGCACTCACCACCGGCTCAGCAGTCGAAGGTTCCGCAACAGAATTCCCCGCAGGGGCCTCTTCCTCACTAGCAACAGGCGTTCCAACGCTGCTCTTGGGTGAGGTTGGAGCCGCAAGCTTCTTCGGCGATGCCGGCTTCTTCTTGGACGTTCCACTGTCCTCTTTCCGCGGCGGCGCCATGAACTTGGGCTCGTATGTCGCCTCCACTGTCAGTTCCCCGCAACTCTGCACACATCAGCCCATAGTAAGTAAAAGGAGTACTATAAATTTGTGCAAATGCAGACGACCCACCTTCCCGGCAGAGTCTATCAGCGGCAGCTTGTGCGTTGTGGGCGTGTCGGGGGCCAAAGCATCGATCTGCAGCGAGGCGCTGCCAAGCAGCACGTCCCGGCCGCGAGCGTTGAGTCCGAAGACCTTGAAGTTGACGGCGTCGCCCAGCGGCTTCTTGACGCCAAATGTGAAGTTCTGCGCCCATTCTGGCGCCGTCGCCTTGGCCTGAGCAGCTGTACGCAGCACTACGTCACCGCACTGCGCCTGGCAGTCTGGAGGTTTGCAAACACAGCCACACAACGTTAGCTACAGGTCAAGGCAGCGGAGAGAGGGGCAGCCAGAGCACACGCACAGGGGTCGAAGGCCGCGTCGCCGACCGCCTGGGCGCCGCCCACGCCCGAGGCGCCCGCCACCACGAGCCGCACGCGCGGAGTCTCCACTAGCTCCGCCATCAAAGTCTCTGCGCTTCACTATGCCAGTCCGCGAGTACGGAAAGATCGCCCGCTGATTTACTTGAAGCCACGACCGGCCAATCAGCGTGCGGCGGAGTGATGGTCCGTTTGGTGTACGTGTGGTGTAGGAAACGCCAGGAAGGATCGACCATGACGCCGCGCCGGTTGCTGCTGCTGCTCGGCGGCGCGTTCTTCGCTGCCGTTGCAGCCGCCGCCGACCTCAAGCTGAAGCTGGACGCGGAGCAGCCCGTGACCGTGACGCTGGCGGACGGCTCTACACGCGAGCTGACGGCCGCCGAGTTCGAGCAGCTGGCCCGCGAGCGCTCGGAGCAGCAGGCGAAGCTGCAGCCCCAGGAGGAGGAGTCGACGCGCTGGAAGCGTCGGGAGCTGCGCGACATCCAGGACCAGGACCCGCAGTTCGCGCTTCACATCGACCTGGCCAAGCGCACCTTCAAGGAGCTACAGCGCCACGGATACGCACAGGGCTACGCGCTCACGGGCTTCAGCGAGCAGGACGCGCGGCCCAGGAAGCGGCAGGTGACGGCTGACTACTACGTGGAGCTGGTACTAACCTCCAAGAAGGACCCGAGCAGTGGCGTGCCGGCTAAGACGGGCACCGGCACCAGGAAGAACGACGACGGACCGCTCAGCTACGAGGTGCAGCTGCTGCTGGACGAACAGGGTGCGTGCAGGGCGCTGAGGCGGACGCTCGCTATTGCAGGGTTACACTCTTTTGACATGTTCGTACTGTGCTTTTCGGTGTGTGCAGAGCGCTTTTCGGTGGTGGCGGCGTGGGAGCTGAGCGAAAAGGAGCCGCCCAAGGGACAGCGCAAGCGGCGAGTGGTGCGGCTGTCCATCCAGCCGACGCCGGCGCTGCTGGAGCGCGAGGCGAAGCGGGCGCTCATGAGGCCGGCCTTCGCGACGTGGCTGCTGGCCGGAGGCCTGGCACTCGTGGCTGCGGGCGTGCTCGTCATGTACAACACACGCAACCCGATTCCGGCGCCCAAGCCGCGGCGGCGCTCGAGCGACATTTGGGAGCTCGTCGACGAGAATGACAAGCCCATCAAGCTTGAGGCCAAGAAGACGCAGCAGCCGGTGAAGGACAAGAAGAACGACTAGCGGCGCGTGACACGTAGACCCAGGCGGCCAGCTGGACCATGTGCGGAGCTGTCCGCCTTTTTTGAGACGAGTGAATGGAGTGTCTCGCTTGGTGCAATGCCTGTTAAAGGATCCTGCTGCGTTGCAGCTTGGCTCGGCTCGGCTAGTCGCTACCCTTGCCGCCGCGCAATTGCACGACGCGACGGCACGAAGGTAGCCATTACGGCGGCGGACTGCGCGCGCTTGAAGAGCGTCCGGTCCAAATCGCAGGAGCGTGTTCAACGTGGGCGGCGGATGCCTTCGCCTCATAGAGAGTGAGCGCTGCGCTGCATGGACACGCAGCAGCTTTCTACCATTTTCACTACGAGAAGCCGCAGCGAAGCAATACAAGCAGGTTTACTGTACATCCTGCGCAGACCCGTCCATTACGTCGGGCAGCAGACCGTACACGCATTGCACGTGTTGCATGCCTGCTCCATCTGATGGTGTTTCACACCGGTCAAATGTGCCGCCAATATTCGCCGCGAGGCAGTGGGCCATCTGGCGTCTGGATCTCGCTGATTGGCTGATAGTTTTTCCTGCCAATGGGCGCGCGCCGAGTCGCGGCCATACTGGCGTTGAATCAGACCGAGTGCGCGGCGCCAACCAGCCAGCCACTCTTGATAATAACTTCCCGGGGCGACGATGGCGACGCTGAGCGTGCTGGTCACGGGCTTCGGCGTGGTGCGCGACGGCGCGCAGCCGGACTGCGCGGTGTTCCTAGGCACGGTGCAGCAGGGCGGCGGCGCCTCGTGGACCGTGTACCGGCCGTTCGAGGCCTTCCAGCGGTTGGGGCAGCAGCTCTCGCTCATCTTCGGTCAGGCCGTGCCCGCCTGCCCGCCGCGCATGTTCGACGTGCGCTTCCCGGACTCGCTGGAGAAGGCGCGCGTGGACCTGAGCATGTGGATGATGCAGCTGCTGCAGCACCCGCCCATCTACCAGTCGCACGTGTTCGTGGACTTCGTGAGCGCCGACGCCAACGTGGCGCCCCCGGGGCTGCAGGGCGCCGCGCCCGCCAGCAACATCGGCGACCTCGACATGGACGAGATGTTCGACTCCACCACGGACGACGACCCGCGCTCGCACGACGAGCTGCACGACGACGACGTGGGTGGCAGCAATGGACTGAGTTGAATGCGCACATTGGTGCCGAATGACTGACGTGTTCTTTGGGGGGTTATTGGGTACAGATGTTCCAGTTCGACTACAACACGGACATGTCGGGCGCCGGCCTGGACCAGCAGACGCTGCTGGAGGAGACGCAGCTGCAGCACGCGCAGCAGGTGCAGGAGCAGAAGAAGCGCAGCGAGAAGGTGACGCTCGAGGACTTTGTCATGATCAAGGTCATCGGCAAGGGCAGCTTCGGCAAGGTGCTGCTGGTGCGCAAGCGCGACACGGGCCTCATCTACGCCATGAAGGTGCTGCGTAAGGAGAACATCATCAAGCGCAACCAGGTGGAGCACACGCGCACGGAGCGCCACGTGCTCGGCTACGTGCGCCACCCGTTCATCGTGGGGCTCAACTACGCCTTCCAGACGTCCGAGAAGCTCTACTTTGTGCTCGACTACTGCGCCGGAGGAGAGCTCTTTTTCCACCTCGGCAAGGTGCAGCGCTTCCCCGAGCACCGCGCGCGCTTCTACGCGGCGGAGATCACGCTCGCCATCGAGTACGTGCACAACCTGGATGTGATCTACCGCGATTTGAAACCTGAGAACGTGCTGCTCGACGAGAACGGACACATCCGCCTGACAGACTTTGGCCTCTCGAAGGAGGGCATCCAGGATGACTTCTCGGGCGCCAACTCGTTCTGCGGCACGCCCGAGTACCTGGCGCCGGAGATTTTGAACCGATCGGGCCACGGCCGAGCAGTGGACTGGTGGTCGCTGGGCGCGCTTCTGTACGAGATGCTCACGGGCTTGCCGCCGTTCTACTGCCGCGACCGCGACCGTCTTTTCGAGAAGATCCGCAAGGGCGACCTGAGTTTCCCCAAGTATCTGTCGCCGAACGCCAAGGACCTGCTCAAGAGGCTGCTGGAGCGAGACCCGACGCGCCGTCTGGGAACGGGACCCACCGACGCAGGTGAGATCAAGAACCACCCATTTTTCGCAGAGATCAAGTGGGACGCGCTTGCGGGCGGTCAGCTGCCGCCTCCATGGCGCCCGACGTTCTCGGGGGCGCTTGACACGTCCCAGTTTGACCGCGAGTTCACGGACATGCCCGTGGTGAGCCCCGACAACAATGTGCGCGGCATGGCGATGGCTATGGGTCGACGACCCGCGAACGGAAACGCGTACGGCAGCAGTCTCACGGGCAATGATCCGTTCAAGGGCTTCACATACACGGAGGACTCCTATCTGCAAGACGGTCTCCCCGGCCGTAGCCCTGCCACGCGGGGAGGCGGCCGTGTCCGCCACCACAACATGTAACAAGGCGGAGGGTAAATGTCGTATCAGAAAAGATGAAGCGGGAGTCAATAGCAGGAGGAGAGGCAGGAGAAAGATTCGGGTATTCGAGTCGGCGAAAGCACTGTGTTGTATGTGTAACAAGACGATGCTTACGGCTCGGTCGAGGGACGCCAAGTGCAAGAGTGACGCACCCTCAGGCTGTAGGGACAGGAAAGAAGGCAAGGTGACAAAGGGTATGTACATATATTTTGCTGAACTTCCGCTGCAGCTCGCCAACGTCAATTAGAGAAAAGTTTTTGGGCATTAAGATAAGGTCTTGCGCTTGAGCAAACTCCCGTTCTCCTCTTGGGTTCAGCTTATGGCAAGGGATTCAACCAACTCAGAGGTTGGCTTTGTCGAGGCTTTGTGTACTTTCGAAGTGGTTTGCCATGACTCGAAAGAGCCGTTGAAACAGTGCCGGCGAGTCCCTGTCGAAGTGTGTTCCAGCCATGTGATTCTTCTCGACGCGATGGACGTACCAGTTTCCTCGCCTCAGCTCGGAGTAGTTGACCGGATCCGTTGGGTCTAGGTCTGACCCAGTTTGGTTGATGTTCAGGTTTCGGTCCTCAGTGAGCTCATTCGAAGTTGAAGCCGCAACTTCGGTTGCTTCGACCAGGCCACTGAGTGAAGACGCTGTTGATGTCGTCGACTCGGTATCGCTGTCGGCGGATTCCTTGGATACCTTGCTGTCGATCAATGCAGTCCACGGTTGCAGCATCGAGTGGAGATTCACAGCTCCGTCGTTTTCACTCCACAGCTCCCGATCAAAGCCCTCAAAAATCTTGTTAAGTGTCCGTACGTGGCGGCGCATGACCAACAGAAGAGCGTACAACGAGGGGATTGAGGCGTAGTCCAGTGCTCGAACACGCTGGCGCAGCGCTGGGAGAAGTCCGAGCAAGCTCAGTATCGATAGAGTGGTCAATATCGTGTTCCCGGTGGAAATGTTGAATGCTGCTGCAAGTGCCAAAGCGATGACGAGTGTACTCATTGCGATCTCGACCCGGGGCAGCGTGACGTGACTGGAAGTGGCGACCGAGACGAGGAAGATCTTGTCCATGTGGATCAACTGCGCGTTTCGCTTCATGCGCTCCCGAGGCAGGATGTTGAAGACTGCCAGGTCGGTGGAGCCGTTGATGCGTCCGTAGGGCGACAGAATCTCTCGGAACGAGGTCACGCACTGCCACTGCGGCATCTTGAAGTCGAACACTCGACGCAGCACGGGCCAGTCCGTTTGCAGCTTGAACCAGACCCCCAACGCTGCTCCAATGAAGTGTCCGAGGGAATACGGTACCATGCGCAGCTCGTGCAGCCCGAAGAGGTGCGTCACCGTGGAGCCTGTCAGGGGCCCAGCGATGGAGACCAGGCTGACAACCCACCGATAGTCGCTACCGACACCGAAGAAGTCCGAGCAGATCAATTGGTACAGCTCCAGCGCTGTGGTGCCTCCGAAGCTGTGGCCTACGAGATGCACGGGGTTGGCGGCACTCCACGTCGGATGCAGTGGAGCTTCGTACGTGGCACCGTAGCGGTTGTGACCAGCCTCGCGACTGTGCTGCTCCCCGTAGTCGACGCGACCGCCGTACAGTTGGTAAAAGGCTTCACACGCGCGGTCGTGGTCGGACGACAAGGCCCCCACGTCCACCATGAGGTGGTTCTGGTTCATCTCGCTCAGGGCCGTCTCCGGCCAGTACGGTGACCAGGTATTCCACAGCGGACGGGTTTTACCATAGCCGAAGACGCCGTGGATCAGCACGACTGGGTGCTTGGTGCTGGTGATACCGGATGTCATTACACTGTTGTACTTCCGCTAGACGATCGCAATGCGGCTTGGTGCTGCTCGACGCTCGCCGTAAGATGTGGAAATGAGAAGCTTGGCGGTTGCAGCACCACAGGAATGTTTGCTTTGCATTGTCGGACCCGATGCAGGTTGCGCCAGCGCAGCGAATGCCGCCGAATTCGTCGAGGTCAAAGATAGGCCTAGCGTTGAGCGCTTAACAAGATGGCGCGCTACCTCGCATGTAGGTGTGCATGTAGCTTGAAATGGCGACAAGAAACTTTGGATTTGGTAAGTTTGGCCATCGCTGCAACATGGACCGTGGTAATAAACTATTTTTGCTGGTACATTAGCAAGTCTCGAGCATCGATTTGACCAAGGATCATTCACGCAATATGGCCTACTCCAGCCATCTACCTATATAATAGGTAGTACCTACCGGGTGCTTCATTCCCCACGAAGGCTTTCTTGACTTTGGTTTCTTCTGAAGATCCACGTCGCCTTCGCATTCTGCCGACAGACACGGTGCTCGTGGCTATTGCTCCGTTGGCGTGACGTCGCGTAGTCGTGTTCGTATTCGCTGACAATGCGCCTGAAGAGGTCCTTCTACAGCTCTGCTGCGTCGTTGTCCCAGTACGCCCCGGCAAAGTGGTTGCCCCGCACATGCCACACATACCAGCGACCCTTTTCCAGGCCAGTGAAAGTTCTCTCTCGAGAACTACGTGTACCAATTGCCGCCTCAATTGGGCGTGGGAACCACGGCTCCAGCATCGAGTGCGTGTTCACACAGCCGTCGTTCGGCCCCCGGGTTACAGCCATCGAAGACCGGTGGCAGGTTTCTGGCATTGCGGTGGCTGATCCACTTGAAGACGTCCAGAATCGGCAGCGTCACCACATTCGTACGCCTCACTTTGAGCAGCACGTAGAAGCCGAGCAAGAAGCGGAACCTCAGCAGAAGAGCTCGCCACTTCCGGAAAGCTCCGTGGTAAAATATCACCGTCTCGAACCGGAGGAGCCGTGATCTCCGGGGACGACACGATAGTCAGTAAGTAGAGCTTGTCAAGGTGCTCGAGTCCAGCGTTGCGAGCGATGCGACTCGATGGTACCGAGTCATGGGCACCCAAGTCTTGGAAGTTGTTCACGTGGCCATTCACAGCCAGCATTTCTCGCAGCGATAGGTTACTCCATTGACCCAAGTGGACGTCGCACGCGGGCTTGAGCACGGGAAATTTCTTGTGCAATTGGAACCACAGCACACAGGCGACGTACGTAAGGTAAATGGGACTCCCTCGGGTCATTTTGCCGTCGCTCACGCTGATCCAGTGGGCCATGGAGAACCCCGTCTGGCTCAGCAATTGACACGATGCTTCTTACCCAGCGATAGTCGCTCCCGACGCCAAAGAAGTCTGCGCACACAAGTTGATACAGCTCCGTAGCCCCAAAGCTGTGCCCCACCAAGTGCACAGGGTTTGAGGCGCTCCAGTTGGGATGTGGCGTCTTGTACGTAGCACCGAAGCGTTCGTGTCCAGTTCGACGACTGTGCTGCTCGCCATAGTCGACTTGGCCACTGAAGAGCTGGTAGAAGGCCTCACAAGCTCGGGCTTGGTTCGAGGTCAAGGGGCCGACGTGCACCACAATGTGGTTCTCGTTCAGCTTGTCCAGGATCTTCTCGGGCCTGTATGGACACCAGCGATTCCACATCGACCGTGTCTTGCCAAAGCCGAAGACGCCATGGATGAAGACCACTGGGAACTTGGTGGTGGTGGAACTGAGGGGAGGTGGCTCCATGCGTCCTAGACGACGCGATTCCAGTTGTGAAATGACGAGGAGAAGATGAAGTAGATCACAGAGATGTTGTTCTTGTGGTTAACAAGGTGGTCTGCCCCCGCGTCCCATACGAATCATTGTGTCTGATCTCATTCAGCTATAGAATGGCGCACGGATGCTGGTGCCGCTGCCGTGGCGATACATTTGATGGTGTCCGCCATTGGTAGAGGAAGTCAACTGCCGCTCGTACTCCTTGCTCATGAGCGTGAACAAGCTCGTGTACAAGTCGGCCGCGTTGCTGTCCCAGTAGGTCCCTGCGAGGTGGTTGCTGTCCACGCGGTAGACGTACCAGCGGCCCTTTTCAAAGCGTCGAGGGCCGAGAGACTGCTGCTCGTCGTCCGTGTCCCGGGTGAATCCGTCGATGGAGATGTGGGACTCGCAACGTGCCAGGGCTGTGTCTTTCAACGATGAAGTGGACGACGTCGCTGGCAGGGACGGAGCTGGCGGGCTCGAGTCGCTGCTGTTGATTTCCTTCTCCATCTCCTGTGGCGACGGGAACCACGGCCTCAACATCGAGCGGATGTTCACCACGCCGTCATTGTGCTCCCAGCTGCCAGGCTCGTAGCCGTCGAAGATCATCGGAAGGCTACGGGCGCGGCGCCGGATGAGCCACTTGAGGCCGTACATTGTCGGCATCTTGGACACGTCGAGCTTCTTCAGCTTGAATAGCAGATAGCCAACAACCAGGACGCTGGCCACTGATCTAACGACGCGGTTCCTCGCCAACGCCGGACACCACTTCGGAAATCGGCCCCAACGCAGCAGTATCAGCAGTGCAATTGCGACACCTTCGCCGTACGGACGGTGAACGGTCTTGGGCGACGTAGTGATGCTTAGCAAGTGCAGCTTGTCCATGTGCTGCAGCTCGGCGTTGCGCGAGATGCGGTGCTCGGGCAGCGTACCGTGGACGACCAGATCCCGCGACGAGTTGACCGGGCCGTTGGCCAGCAGCAAGTCCCTGAGCGAGTACCTGCTCCAGTGGTCCATGTGCAGATCCGCGGCGTTCTTGAGCATGGGGAACTTCCAATACAGTTTGATCCACGAGCCCAGCACGATCCCCAGCAAGTGGACGGGTCCTCCGTGAACCACGTGGACGCCCTCCATGCCGATCAAGTGGGTCAGCGTGGAGCCCGTCAGGGGCCCAGCGATGCACGTGATGCTGGCCACCCACTTGTGCGAGCTGCCGACGCCGAAGAAGTCGGCGCTCAGCATCTGGAACAGCTCGATGGCCGTCGTGGACCCAAAGCTGTGGCCCAGCAAGTGTACGGGGTTGTCCTCGCTCCAGTCCGGGTGCAGCGGCGTGTCGAACTGCTCCCCGTAGCGGTCGTGGCCTAAAACGCGCAAAAATGACCCGTTTTCAATGGGAATTTCAGGCATCTCGAGCTCTAATAGCACTGCTACCTGTGTCTTTGGAGTGCTGCTCGCCGTAGTCAACGCGGCCCCCCACCAATTGGTAGAACACCTCGCAGGCCCGATCGTGGTCCGAGGACACGCCGCCGACGTCCACCAGCAGGTGGTTGGGGTTGACGCGCTGCAGCTCGCGCTCGGGCCAGTACGGGACCCAGTGGCCCCACAGCGGCCGCTGCCGGCCGAAGCCGAAGACGCCTGCACACAACGCACGCAAATTCAATAGAAAAAGAGGCTCAAAGCGTCAGGAGATGGCTACAGTACACTGGTGCAGTGGATAGAGAAGGTGGGGCTTCTTACCGTGGATGAGGACGGCGGGGAACTTGGTGCGCGCGCTCATGGGGCGCTAGTGGCGACGAGTGACCGACCCGGGAGAATGATCTGTGTATCCCAACTTCAACGAGTCCGCCGTGAAGCGCCAAATTGACCAATCAGCGGGCTTGAAAGTTGACGCTGGGGTGTCAAACAGATACTGTGGCCGTAGCAAGCACTGCGAAGGGAGGGCAGGAAAAAGGTAAGTAAGCGTGTAACAAGGCGCTCTTCAAGTTTTCTTCCCGCTTGTGTGAGGTTATCATGCCAATCAGGCGTACAGAGGTCAAAGTCGCTGATCGGGTTGTCGGCATGCCAGCAATGCTGCAACCACAGCACTTCCTACCGCTAAACTGTATGCCAGAGAAGGCTACAGTAGTTCTCCTCGTCCTCGTCGGTTTCAGTACACATGTACTGTCATCACCATTTACAAGTTAACGGCGTTTGCCACACGACCTGTTACCTCGCTTCATTTGCTAAGTTTGAGAGCCATCGGCAATACCTCGGCAGATTTCACTCTGCCTGCAATGTGGCAGGACTCACGACGGCCGAGAAGAGCTCTACTTGGCAGCAATTGGCAAAGCTGCGCGGCAAGAGGCACGCGCCTGCTGTCTGAAAAGAGACAGCCAGAGGCCGAATCCCTCGGTTTACGGCATCTGTGATGTACCTGATCGAAATTTATAATCTGCTGAAACACCACAATCATCGTGCCACTATTTTCCAGGTCCTTAAAGCGAGTCTGCAGTCTGGCGTCATGCTGGCCTCATCGTTGCCATCACCGCCGGCAAACCCGCGGGAAAACTCGCAACGTTAATAATGCGATCGCCGCGCGAAACGTTATGCCGTCGCACGTCGAAAGTGAGCTTACGCCGCGGCCGATCTGCAGCAATCCTCGCCGCCACCTGGTATCAGACGAAGAGGCAATGTGCCGTGAGACTCCAAGGATATCCTCTCGGGGACTCGTCTTTGCCCGCTTTATCGGCCAATCACGGCGCGTAAATCCCTTTTTGCGCCAATCGCCGCGCTCATATGATTCGCACTTAGCCGAGTTTGTCTCATTACCGCTCCGTTATCATGTTCATTCCCTCCCTGTAGTTCTCTACCAGCAGCAGCGGCGCCGCCATCCCTCCCTCAGTCGCGGACTGACTGCTGCCATTAGCCGCCATGGACACGCCCATGCACGCCATCAACGAGTCCAGCCTCATGCTGGGCAACGCCACGGGCCACGCGCAGGTGCTGGGGCTGCCGCTCAACTGGGTGGAGACGAACCGCGCGCTGAGCCTGCTGCTGGCCTTCGCGTGCTGCGTGGTGGCCACGCTGCTGAGCGCCTACAACATCGTGCAGCACCTGGCGCACTACTCGCGGCCGCAGCTGCAGCGCTACATCGTGCGCATCCTCGTGGTGGTGCCGGTCTACGCGCTGGGCTCGCTGCTCTCGCTGACGTTCGTGAACCAGGCGCTGTATTTCGACTCGATCCGCGACTGCTACGAGGCCTTCGTGGTCTACAGCTTCCTGGCGCTCGTGCTCAGCTTCGCCGGCGGCGAGTCCGTCTGCGTGCTCAAGATGCAGAGCGAGCCCGACATCCGCCACCCGTGGCCGCTCAGCCGCTGCTTCGAGCCGGTGGGGCGCGACGGCCGCCTCCTGCGGCTCTGCAAGCGCGCCACCATCCAGTTCGTCTTCATCAAGCCCATCTTCGCGGCGCTGTCGCTGCTCATGCTGGCCTGCGGCAAGTACCACACGCTCGCGTACCAGCTCATCCTCGTCGTGGTCTACAACATCTCGTACTCGGTGGCGCTCTACGGTCTGTGGCTCTTCTACCTGGCCACGAGGCACATCCTGCAGCCGTTCAACCCCGTGCTCAAGTTCTTCGCGGTCAAGAGCGTCGTGTTCCTCACCTTCTGGCAGAACAGTCTGCTGGACTTCATCCCGGGCATCACCAACGAGCAGACCTTCGCCTGGAAGGACTTCATCCTGTGCGTCGAGATGGTCCCGTTCGCCTTCGTGCACCTGCTGGCCTTCAACTCGAGCCAGTTCAAGAAGAACCTCGACCGGCTGCCTGACTCGGAGGTGCTCAACAACATGAAGGAGGTGCTGAGTCTCTCGGACATCCTGGCGGACGCCTACCACAACTTCATGCCGTCCTACCGCGACTACATGCTGCAGCGCGGCGGCGAGTCCACCGGTCGTGCTCGTGGCAAGAACAAATCCTCGGGCTTCGGCGACACTTCCTCGTCTGAAGGCAGCCCCACGCCCATGGCGCACAACAACCCGCGCGTGCCGCGCTTTGTGATCGACGACGAGGATGACGACGAGATGGAGGAGATCGACCTCGAGTCGAACGTCAGCACCACGACGTCGTCGGCCGAATTGCCGGCGTCTACGAAGAACGCGATGCCCGAGCTGAAGCTGCCGGCCAAGAAGCAGGCGGAAGCCACTGAAGAAGCGGACGCGGACGTCACCATGGCCAACCCGCAGGACGACGACCAAGTCAAGGCCGAAGAAGCCGCCCTCGAGGAAGGAACCAGCACAGCGGCCGATCAACAGACAGAAGAAGGTGAGGCCCCATCAGTAGAGGCATCAACTCGACAACGCTCCAGCAGCTCGCCCAGTGCCGCCAGTGCTCATGAACGCACGCGGCACGGCGAGGACAGCGCTACTTTGTAGACCGAAACCCTGCTATCTAGTTAGTAAAATCATCTTATCGTATCGCCAATAACCAACCAACTTTAAAAGATTGCCAGGTTAGCTTTGTGTCGTGGTGGCTGGCAACCCTTAAAGGCACGAAAGGCACGAAAGGCACGAAACACTAACGTACTGGACGAGCCAAGTGATTAAGTTCAATCCAGGCGTCAAGGAACTGAGCAACATGCCCGCGGTCCAGTCAGGTAGATCAGGGTAACGTTGTTGCAGTACCCAACAAAATTGTTGTTGGCAACTCTTGCTGGCAAACAAGCTGTAGTGGTGTCCTAGCAGTAGCGTAGCGTAATTAAAACTGAAGCTGCGCGTGCTGCCACCGACTGTCCTGCCGTATCAAAAATGGTCCCAATATGGGTCCACTGCCTCCAAAGTCTACGTGAATGCCCCCAAGCAGAGCTGCCATGTGAACAACGCAATCTGTGCGCCATCTTCATGCGTCCTTCACGCGTCCTTCACGCTTGCGCGTCCTGGTTGAAGTCAATGATGCTCAACAACCGTGCAGGATCTGCACTGGAACTTTCCTCCAGGGCAGCCAATCGCAGCGCGAGAAAAGACTTCTAGTCCAGAGACCTCGACTGGATGACGACGGCGACGTAAACTGGGTACTTTAAAAAGGGTAACTGTTCGATCTTCAAAGGATGGGGGCGCAGAACTCATGCGCAGCCTGCGCGGGCAGCATTCGGTGGCGTTCGCTGTCGATAGTGGGGTTTGATAAAAGGCGGATGTCGTTTACGCCTTATCTCCCTGAAAGTGTTGTTTTGAGGACTGGCATCTTTTAAGATTAAGATAATAAGAACTCTATTCATAATATCATACGCAGAACGAATGCTGTATTATGCCGAGTATTTGTGTTTGCTACTGTAGTTATGCGTTACTAGCTCGGCGCTGCATTTCGATCGATCGCTCCAGGTTGGGACCTACTTACTGTACTTGGGGCCCGACTTTGATTTCCCTATATAATTTAGGTGCTCCGACAGCTAAGCGCAATGGACTCGTACGAAACTATGACCTTGAAAATTAAGCAGATTTGACCCTGTATGGCTGGCTGCCATATAAAGCCGCCAACTCGCGTGAGAGATCGTCAAACGTTCATTAACGAACTCCGCTGCAAGTGTTCTTGCACTTGTCCGCTTCGACTAAAATGTTGACGTGCATTATGAAATAGGGCCATCTATTTGGGTAAATGCCCATTTCAGCTTCTCTGCCGACTCATAATTCGTGCGTCATCGCAACGATAGGACGGATACTGGCGGTCTTGCGCTTCCAGCGTCGCCGCCGCCGCCGTCTGCGCAGCTCATTCCTGCATTTGCCGTCCAGCGCGCACACGCCCAGCACCACCCTCTGCTCCTCCGCCAGTACATCATGGGCACCGACATCCAGAAGATCCACGTGGCCAACCCGGTCGTGGAGCTCGACGGCGACGAGATGACGCGCATCATCTGGAAGGACATCCGCGAGAAGCTCATCCTGCCCTTCCTGGAGCTGCAGATCGAGTACTACGACCTGGGGCTCGAGCACCGCGACGCCACCAACGACGAGGTGACGCTCGAGGCCGCGCGCGCCATCAAGCGCCACCACGTGGGCATCAAGTGCGCCACCATCACGCCCGACGAGGCGCGCGTCGAGGAGTTCGGGCTCAAGAAGATGTGGCTCAGCCCCAACGGCACGCTGCGCAACGAGCTGGGCGGCACAGTCTTCCGCGAGCCCATCGTGTGCAAGAACATCCCCAAGCTCGTGCCCGGCTGGAAGGAGCCCATCATCATTGGCCGCCACGCTTTCGGCGACCAGTACAAGGCCATCGACTTCGTGGCCAACGAGCCCGGCACCTTCAAGCTCACGTTCACGCCCGCGCGCGCTGGTGCCGAGCCCGAGGAGTACCACGTGTACGACTTCCAGGGCTCGGACGGCGGCGTGGGCATGGGCATGTACAACACGACCGAGTCCATCACGGGCTTCGCCAAGTCGTGCTTCGAGTACGCGCTGGAGCGCAAGATGCCGCTGTACATGAGCACCAAGAACACGATCCTCAAGCGCTACGACGGCCGCTTCAAGGACATCTTCCAGAACATGTACGAGAAATCGTACGAAGCGCAATTCAAGGAGCTCGGAATCTGGTATTGCCACCGTTTAATCGACGATATGGTTGCTCAGTGCCTCAAGTCCAAGGGCGGCTTCGTCTGGGCGTGCAAGAACTACGACGGCGACGTGCAGTCGGACATCCTGGCGCAGGGCTTCGGATCGCTGGGGCTCATGACCAGCGTTTTGCTCACGCCCGACGGCAAGACGCTGGAGGCCGAGGCCGCGCACGGCACCGTCACGCGCCACTACCGCGTGCACCAGAAGGGCGGCGAGACGAGCACCAACTCGATCGCGAGCATCTTCGCGTGGACGCGGGGGCTGCTGCACCGTGCCAAGCTAGACGGCAACAGCCAGCTCAAGCTCTTCTGCGAGGAGCTCGAGGCCTGCATCGTGGAGAGTGTCGAGGCCGGCCAGATGACCAAGGACCTGGCGCTGCTCGTCCACGGAGACGCCATGAAGCGCGAGCACTACCTCGACACGTTCCAGTTCATCGACCAGATCGCCGCCAACCTGCGCGCGCGCCTGGCCGCTAACCCCAGCTTCCAAGTGTAAGGCAGGACGGCAGCTCGTCCACCCACTAAATACAATGTAATGTCCATCAATTCAACTGCAACCACTTCAACTTCCACTTTGCGTTTCAACGGAATGGGTACAATGACACGCCGCTGTCGACGATGATAAGCATGTGACATGAGATCATTGGATATTTGTATGCGTAGCTCGGGGGGGGGGGGCTGTTCACTATGCTGCTGAAATGGTGTCCTTGAGGGCGTAGATCCGCAGCGCGTCGGAGACCTCGCGCTCATCCGGTTTCATGTCGTTCAGCCTCACATTTCCTTAACCAACCATCGAGATTTACCCCTTCAACCTGGTACGAGTACTTTAGCCCCCCCGTTACCGTTTTCTTTCTGCGAGACCCACCGACCCAAGCTTCGCTCGGACTTCGTCCTCGGTGGTGGTCACCGGGTTTTTGGCGTTCGTCACTAGCGACTTGACTGGCGACAAAAAGCCCCTTTCCTCATCGGTAATTTCCGCGACTCGCAGTAATCCTGTGTCGATGGCGCCATTGCACTTAGTGCTAGCTGCGGCGAAAATATCGAGGATAGTGGTCAAGACGAATACTATTAAGACAGTATCGGACTTTTGTGTCACGATGAGTGAGATCGTGAGCGCTGCTGCAACAACTAGCACCGCAAACGTTGGGCGTGGGGAAGCAGATAAACGGAGACTTGAGGCCCTGACGGTATTTCACGAAGCTAGGGCGCAATAGCAACCGCATAGCGCAGCGTACGACGTACTCTTCAATGCGTTTTTACTTTCTTGTTGTGAAAAACGTAAGGCATTCACGAAGTCGTTATCAAAAATGTATACCTAGACACACTTGAGGAGTCGTCAGCTGCAACACGCAACGAGATTGGCCTCATTCAGCGAGCAGTGCACTAAGCTGGCTCAAGATGCACCGATTTACTCCCCGCTCCATTGTATTCACTGTTACGCCTGTAGCCACCTCAACGGTCTCAATTCTCTCAAATGGCACGCTAAAACAAACATTGGTATGAACTTTTTGCGCCTCATTACTTGGCATGAGGCACTCGAAAAATGCAACGATCATGCGTGCACGGTAGCTTCAAACTTCTTCGTAGTCACGTAGCTACGTTGGAATAAAGTGTCTAGAAATCCCATGGTGAGGGGACCATACGACAAGGAGTCCCCCTCGAAGCGTACGCAGGTACGGAGTCTCCCTTGCCGGCAACGATATTGTGTCGACAGGGTTGCCGAATATTGCATTTTTATATATTGCGCCTAGAGCAGACCAATAGATAATCATATTGGTAGAGAAAATCAGGTAAATAAATTATTATTTGCCCTTTCTCTGGTGACTAATTACAAGTGCACTTGGCTTTTGTATGAGAGAATCGAACCGAGAAATAGATTATTGATACGGGTCTTGAAAACCAGGTCAATAAATATATTGGAAATATGTATTGCAATTATTTCAGCATCAATTTATTTTTCGGCATCCCGACACCCCCAAAACAGCAAATGATTCCTACTTTCCTCCGACGGATTCCAATGTGTGTGCGTCAACTCCAGCCCATGGAGCGTCGTTGTGTTGGTGCGCACGTCCGTCACGGCACCAGCAAGCCCTTCAACCGCAGAAAATGGGTACACTTTGCATCCATGTCATTCTATCGCGGTAAAATGTCACTTTTTTTCTTCCGATCTGTGTTCTCACCCGCCGGCGCATTCTGGAAGAAGCCTTCTGCAGCGGGAAGATGAGTGCGCGCCGCTCGCTGAGCGACGCCAGCGACGCGAGCGCCGACGACGACGAGTTCCTGAACGCGGCCTTCGACGAGCTGGAGGCGGAGGAGCAGGAGGCGCTCGTGCGCGGCGGCTTCCTGCGCAACAGCGACGCGTCCTCCGCCGCCTCGTCCCCGCCATCCGCCGCCTCACGCCGCTCAGGAGCAACAGGAGGAGGAGGCGCGCGCAGATCCAACGCCGCGCGCATGCTGGAGGCGCTGGAGGCGCTCAGCCACGAGGCGGACGCCGAGGGCGCGGGCGTGCCGCAGTCGCTGCGCGGGCTGCTGGAGCAGCTGCAGGGCGCGGGCGACGGCTCCGTGCTCGGCGGCATGTTCCCCTTCTCGCAGCTGCTGGGCGTCCCTGGCGGGGGAGGCGCGGGCAACGCGCGCTTCCAGCGGCTGCTGACGCAGCTCGCGGCCGACCAGCCCGTGCACGCGCAGATGGAGGCGCTGTCGGAGCTCTGCGAGACGCTGTCCATGTCCTCGGAGGAGGCGGTGGCCGTCTCGGGCTTCAGCGTGGACGCCTTCGTGCCCGCCGTGGTGACGCTCATCCGCCTGCCCAGCTCCATGGACGTGCTGCTACTGGCGGCGCGCGCGCTGTCCACGATCCTCGAGCTGTTCCCGGGCGCGGGCGTGCAGAAGGCGGCGGCCGAGCAGGTGATCCCGTCGCTCTGCGAGAAGCTGCTGGAGATCGAGTATATGGACGTGGCCGAGCTGTCGCTGCAGATCCTCGAGCGCATCGTGTGCAAGGCGGAGGCCGCGCTCATCTCCAGCAGCAGCAGCAACAACAACAACAGCAGTAACAACAGCAATAGTTCCAGCACGGCGGGCCCCAGCGCGGCGCAGCTCTGCGCGCAGTACCGGCTGGAGGTGATCCAGGAGAACGGCCTCGTGGCGCTGCTGCAGTTCGTCGACTTCTTCCCGCTCGAGATTCAGCGCCGCGCCGCGCGCATCGTCTGCCAGCTCTGCACGGACTTCCCGCTCTCGATGGAGGGCAAGATGCGCCAGGGCCTGCCCTACATCACCAACCTGCTGCGCTCTTTCGACAACGAGATCCTGCAGAGCAGCTTCGCGTGTCTGCAGAAGCTCGGGGAGAGCACGGCGTTCTCGGAGAACGCGGAGTTCGCGTCCATGGTGGCGACGGAGGAGATCTGCGGCCTGCTGCTGACCAAGCTCACGTCCTACGCCAACTTGGAAGGCTCCGCGGGCAGCAGCGCGTCCTCGCAGTTGTCACCGACGGGGTACACCAGCATGCTGCGCTTCCTGTCGTGTCTGTTGTCCTGTGTTCCGAGCGATATGAGCGCGTCCTCGGTCATTGCGACCGCGTCACACTTGCGCTTCGTGAAGCTTCCGCCTATCGTGACGGCGCTGCTGGCCAAGCCGGAAGTGATTTCCGAGAACCAGCTACTGCGTGAGACGTTGAAGCTGATCATTGTGGTGCTCCCCATTGCCGAAGAACTCACCTCGAGGGACGTGATCCCCCCTGAGATGCTCGCCTTGGCGCATGCAATTTTGCCGCTGATTATTAAGGTCTACGACGTGACTTCGCGCGCTGATTTGCGCTACGACTGCCTCGGTGTCATCTTCAGAAGCTGCTCGCTGATGCATGCCAGCCAGCAGCCTTTCACAGCCCAAGAACGCACCGAGTTGTCCAGACTTGCAGCTTTCCTTGCCCGTGTACTGCGTCCTAAGCGCAACGACTCGACAGCAACGTCCGTGTCTGCGCTGGTTAAGGCCGAGAAGGACTTCGTACCCGTGCAACTTGCTCTGCGAATTATCGAGGTGCCTCTGCAGCACGCTGGCGCGCAGGAGGCAGCGACGGGCATTTTCGAGCGCCACGGTGTTGCAAGCATCATCCGCTTCTACGCGTTCAGCCCCAAGCAGGACGATGGGGCTGAAAGCGACTTGCAGGAAATTCAATCCACTTCAGCCCGGCTGGCTCGCGAGTATTTCGGCAATGAGAGTTCAATCATTAGCGTGATGGCTCAATTGGAGGGCCTCGTGGAAGAGCTTCAAACAAAATTGACATCCACCGGCTCAACCGAAACTGATCAGCCTTCGTCACTACTCGATGCACTACTGAAGCTGCGGGACTTTGTTGCTCAAGGGGACGACTTCCTGACGGCACACGAGCTCGCGTGCAGCGGTCTAGTGAAAGTGCTCATTCAGATTCTGTCGAGCGATCAAGGCCAGCAAGTCTTTGCTAGAATGCTGGAGGCGCAAGGAGATGAGGGTGATGGCGCGGGTTTCGTGGCATCGCTGTTGCGGTGCTTGCAGGACGCCATCTCTTCGGAAAAGGACGCGTTCTCGGTTTCTGTCGCATCGCCTGACATGGGGCTTTCATCGGGTAGCGTCGCAACTGACTTGGATCAGTTGACGCAGCACATCAAGGTTCACGTACTGATTGAGGAGACGAAGCCTGCAGCGGAGCCGGACAATGAAGATCAGAGCACCCAACAGGCCGACTCGCGCGAGGAGCAGGAGTCGGAAGAAACCCCTCTTCGCTGGATGAAGAAGACTTCGTCGAAGCGGAATGGAAGCAACTACAAGTCCAACAAGAGCACGGTGCATGACACTGTTGTGCTCGTGGAGCCCCTTGCTAGGATCGAGACGATGGAGGACTTTATTGCCGACAAGCTGTTTGGCAGAGGCGGAAGCGCTGAGTCCATTCTGGATGAGTTAACCGGTACAGATGCTGAGAGTGAAGAAGCGGCGGAAGACGAGAGCGGGGAGTTTGCAAACGATGTCGTGAAGCCGCGGAGAGTCGTGGCTACATACAAGGGGCAGGTTCTTCCGTCTGACATGAGCATCCTTGAAGCGATCGTCAAGTTTGGAGGTGTGAAGGCGGATGGTAAGGCGAATGTGGAGCGGAGTGACTCAGCGACTGCGACTTCTTCATCATCTCGATCGCGTATCTGGACAGCGTCGCCTCATGATATCACGTTCCGAGTAGCTGCTAGTTCTTCTGAAGACGCGAGTGGCTGGGAGTCTGCTGGCGAGGACTTGAAAATTGCGGCAGCATTTACGGCCACTTCAGACGCAGGAGTATCTGTAGTGACGGGCCAGTGGTGGGATGATGTGTGGGACTTGTTGCTTTTGCTGAAGCTTGTGCGTAACCAGTGTGTTGGGAAATCGTTTGGAGCGCCGCTCAATTTTGTGAACAGCTATCTCAGTCTCCAAGTTCGGCGCGCGTTGCAGCAGCCTGTCCGTGTGGTTACGAACTCCCTTCCCGAGTGGTGTTTCCGTCTGGTGAATGAGTTTGCGTTCGTGCTCGAGTTCGAGACGCGGTGTCATTTCATGTACGCGACGACGTGTGGATGTTCGAGGGCTATTCAGTATTTGTGTCGGTCGGTGTGGAGGAAGGCCGTGATGGAAGAACCAGCCCCAGTGCACCAGACTCGGCCAACCACTAGTGGCGGCCGGCGCCGCTACCGTGACGGATCAAGTCGCACGCGGACATCCGGCTTAGACAACATTTCTCAAATGGTGAAGCTTCCACGGCTGAAAGTGCGAGTGGCTCGATCTCGTCTCCTGCAATCGGCAATGAAGTTGGTGGCAATTTACGGTGGAAAGAAGGCGGTAATCGAGATTGAGTTCCTCGGGGAGGTCGGTACGGGTCTGGGACCAACGACCGAATTCTTCACGCTTGTCTGTCAACAGATTCAGGCAAAGCAGTTGCAGTTGTGGAGAGATGACGATCTAGCAAGTGCAGCGTCCGACACAATAGACACGGAGCAAAAGCGTGAGGCAGTTGGAGATGATGCAGAGGGTTCTAAGACAGCCCAAGCCAAGAGCTCTCTTGCGATTAGAGGGTACCATCGTGTTGCAGTGTATCATTGTTCAAAGTGCAAGACGCTACACATTCCGAGCTGCTCGGTGCACCACCAACTGCTTACGCATGAGAAGAAGGTTGCGGACAAGGAGACCTCAAGCGAACGCGACGCAACTGAAGCTAAAGCCAAGAGCGCTCCTTCTTCCAAGTCAGCACGGCGGAAGATCTCTAGAAATTCGGTTCCGCAGTGCGCTCAGTGCTTAGATGACCACGACTGGCATTCTGCGGCTGCGGCGTGTGAGTGCAAGGGTGAAGAAGGCGATGACAAGACATCAGCTGGATGCGCACTCAAGTGGTGGATCTTGAGTGACGAGGAAGTGCAGTATCTGGCCAAGGTTTTCCCTCGGCACACGAAGAAGGTGAACCATCCAGTGCTGCAGTGCGCGCACTGTGATACCGTCAACTTTCCCGGAACGGACGCCGGCATCGTGGTGATGGATGGAGACCGCATGGTTTCGCGCTCGGGTCGCCGAATGTTTGAGCGGGATTACCGAGCTGTGACTAAGCATGTATCGCCGCTGTGTGAGGGCACGCCTCTTAACGTAATGACGTCCGCGATCACCCGAAGCGATGTGGATATGCTGGTGGAGAACCTGGCGCAGAGCCCGGAGGTGCTGGAGTCGGAGGTGGAGTCTCTCAACTACCTCAGTGAAGCTTCGCTCGCCGGTGGCAACGTCGGCGGCGGGCCGCCTGTGACAGCTCCGTTTGGTTTGTACCCGAAGCCGTACCTGAACGACCCGGCGCTGGACGAAGCGAAATCATCTTGTGAGTCAAGTGATTCTTCGAGTTTGGAAGCTGATGCGTCGTCTCTCAGTGGGGACGAAGTGGACGTGCTGACGTGGTTCCGATTCCTGGGCCGCTTTGTGGGGCAGGCCATCCTGGACGAGCGGCTGCTGAATTTGCCGTTCGCTCGGCCGTTCCTGCGCGCGCTGCGCGGCGAGAAGATGGTGGGCGGCGGCGTAAGCGTGGAGAAGTCTCTCTCGTTCGTGGAGGAGCTGGATCCTGCCGTCGCCAACTCGCTGCGCTATCTGCGCGATTTGGCCACCAAGTACGCGGCGACGTCGGGCCAATCGTCGGCGGAGGTGGCTGCGTGGACGGAGGAGGTGGATTCTCTGTGCCTCTCGTTCACGATGGTCGGCGCCGACGAGATTCCGCTCGAGGCCGGCGGCGAAGACGTCTCTGTCACGCTGGACTCGCTGCACCGGTACGTGACGCTGAACCTCGAGTTCCTGCTGGACCGAACGATCACGAGTCAAGTGCAGGCGTTCAGGCAAGGCTTCGAGCAGATCTGCGGCGGCGACCGGCAGCTCTTCCGCTTCCTGCAGGCCTTCGAGGTGCGCGAGCTCGAGGCGCTGCTGAGCGACCGCGGCGCCGGCAGCACCATGTGGGATCGCGACGGCGTGGATCTGCGTGAACACATGGTGTGCGACCACGGCTACACGGCCGACAGTCGTGCGATCGCCAACCTCGTGTCCATCCTGTGCGAGCTGACGGTGGAGGAGCAGCGGCTCTTCGTGCGCTTCGTGACGGGGGCCAACCGCCTGCCGCTGGGCGGCCTGCGCAGCCTCGAGCCCAAGCTCACGGTCGTGCGCAAGCTCACTGAGGCGGGCGACTCGGAGCTGAACGACGCCGTGCTGCCGTCCGCCTCCACGTGCACCAACTACCTCAAGCTGCCGGATTACTCGACGCGCGAGATCATGAAGCAGCGCCTGCTGTTCTGCATCCACGAAGGCCAGTGCAGCTTCCACCTCTCGTAACCAGCACAACCAGCGACGACGATGATAAGGGGAGAGGTGGCAGGCACCTTCAGCTTCAGCTTCAGCTTGAGCCTCGGTGTTGACGGCGATGACGCCGCTTGTTGCCATGTTGGTGCGTCCAGCGCCCAGCGTCCAGCGCTGGAGCGTGCCGACGCGAAGGTGACCCCGTGCCAGCTGGCGCTCCAGGCTGGGTTAAATGAGCATTGATTCCTTCGCGCTTTCCCGCTTCCTTTACCGAATGTCCGGCGCTTTCCTTCTATTTACATCATGGGGCCAGCAAGCGGCCGAAAGTGTCGAGGTGTCGAGGCCGCCCCTGTCTGTCTGTCGGCCTTGACGAACTTGTTGCGCTCGACGGTTGAAATGAGTGAGGAGGAAATTGAGCAGACCAAGACGTTGTAGTGAGGGGGATAAATAAAGTTGCATGTTACAGAGCTTCGCTTGTGCCTTCAGGAGTGTATTTCGCATGTAGGGATCCTATCACTTCGAATCGCTTGCCAACAATGCACTACCTGCCGACCTAGAGTAGTAAAGTAAGTAGGTGGGGTGGGGTGGTCTGCGCTCGACTCGATAAATAAACAACCAACTGGCGCCGCGCGACTTCCAGGCCTCGAGCCACGTGAGCTCGAACGGGGTTGTACGTCGCGCCGGCAAGCTCCGCTCTCGACGCGACGCCTGCAGTCTGCTGGGCGCCACCTGAAGGAGGGAAGATCCTCCGATTTCCGTCTCTCTCTCTTGGCTTGGCCAGACGACTCCATCCGTTTGGGTCCGGGCCACCACGTCGCCAAGAGGAAGAAGAGGAGTTCCATCTCCTCCAGGCCCGCGAGGGGGTTGCGTCGTTTGCTTTTCTTGCGTCGTCTGCGCCGCCTAGCAGCACTCCTGGCTGCGGCGCAGCTCGTCCTGCGAGTACCAGACGCGGCGCTTGTAGTCGGCGTCGAAGCTCGAGCGCGCGGGGATCTCCACCACGTTGACGTCGTCGTCGAAGCTGATGCGCCGGTCGTGGCTGCACGCGCGGACGCGCAGGATGCCGTCGTCCTCCTCGTCGTCCGTGTCGTCGTCCGTCTCGGCCAGCGAGTCGCACGTCGACGTGCGCGCGCGCGCCTTCTTGGGCTTGAGCGCGTCCACGCCGACGGTGCGAGGCTTGCGGGGCGGCGCGCCCTGCATGGCGATGGCCATCCAGTCCTCGGCGTCCTCGTCGTCGCTGCCGTCCGCGCGGAAGTACTCGCGCACGTTCACGACGCTGCGGGTGCGCTGGCGCATGGCTGTTTTGCTGTTGCTTTAGTGCGGGTTCGGGCCCTTTGTTGGGGGTTCCTGCGTATCTGCTGGGGGCTGATGTACCGACTGAGAGCTTTGAGCGGTGTGCTATGAGGCCTCGAGAGGAAGGAAGAGCACTGTGTCGCCACGAGTCCTTTCGGTAAATGAGCGTCCGAGAGAGAAGAGGAGGGCGACCAGCAATGACAGGGCCGCGACTCGGCGACGAGACGACCAGACGAGGCAAGTTCCGACCCCTAGCCCCGCGTTCTATTTCTTGCACGCCGCGACTCGGTTTCACTATGAGCTGATGCCGTCGCGTTGTGCCGCCAGCCGCTCTGGGCGCTGGGCTCGACTCGTGGGCCACTCGCCCTGGGCAGCGGCCCCGCTTTCTGCGCGCCGGCTGGGGCTCGGCGGCGCCCTGGGGAATCCACCGCCGCTCGCTGTCGCAGTGAGTGAGTCGAGCGCCCAAAAGTTTCGGCTTGGTCTGCGAGCCTTCGCGGGTGGGTGGGTGGTGGTGGCCACCGTTGAGCTGAGCTCGAGCTGCTCGAGCGCATTGTCGTGGCCCGTGGCGCCCAGCCCGGAAGCGCCCGGTTGGCCCGTTTCGTTCGGGTTGACACGGCCCGGGGGATCCCGACGCGACTGCAGCCAGCAAAAACCAACCAACGCGTTGGTGCCGAAGAGAGCACACCGCTTCATGCATGTACTTCGTGCATGCGGGCCGCCGCGCTCGCCGCCACCTACGCTTTCCAACGCCGTGTTTTTGCAGGGGCCGGCGACGTTCCCTCCTTCCTCGTCTGCGGGCGGGCGGGCGGCCCGGATGCATGCATCGCTCGCCTCGGCGGCGGCGTGGGACGTGCGTCAGTAGGGATATTAGCAGCGAGGGCGTTCCCTTCCGGATCCCAAAGCCCATCGGTCCGCCGCCAGCAGCAGCAGCAGCCAGCCAGCGTTGGATTTTCAACGCCCGAAACACTCATTGAGCGCTGCAACGACAGCGAAACGAGCACGGCGGCGGCGCCGTTGCCCAGGCACGCCAGCGATCGATCGCTGCCGCTGCCGCTGGCGAAAGATATTGATGATACTCGGGTAGAATCGCCGCCGCAAGCCAGCCCCCGTTTCGCTCGATGGCCCGTCGACTGACTCCATGCCGCGTCGCGTGCATAGACCGCGCCACTGGATAGCGGGCTAGGGTCGAGCGTCACCGGACTCAATCAAGTGCTTCAACTTTCGGGCCCGGGACACGGTCGCCGCTATTTGGGCGGAGGGCGGGGGGGGGGGGGGGGGGGGGGCAGCAAGCAGCAAGCAGCAAGCTTGCAACGCTGGAAAACTTGCCAGCAGCCGAATCAGCTCGGAGGCCGCGAGCGCCATGAGCTCCGATCGGCGTGGCCGGCGGCAGAGCTCGCGAGCGCCGCTCGACAATGCAAAAAAAAAATCAAAAATTAGCGCCAGCGCTACGTGGGCCATGCAGTCTGCAGTGCAGTCAGCTCCGCCCGACGCCCATGGACCGCTACGCGGGCGGCGTCGCCCACCGACACGACACGACTCGGCGAGCGCGCCGCAACCCGCCTTTGGCTTCCATCGACTCGCCCCGTTCCCCTACTATCGCATGGTCGAGCCGTCGTCCTGCGGGCGGAGCTGAGCAGCCCACACCTTCTACGAGCCCGAGCCCGTCTACTTCAAAAGTTGGCTCCCCCTAATACGAGAGCCAAAAGTCGCACAAAACGGGCTCCCTCATGGTAAGTACGAGATCAAGGAGCCCTGGTTCGGGCTCCCCATTGGCTCCCCTCCAGAGCTCCCCAAATTTAGCTTCAAATCTATGACGGGCTCTTCATAGTAATATCTGATTGGCCAATTTTACCTAGACTTAAGGCGAGCAACTTCGCGTGATTGATGCGCCACGCTACAAGATCGAGCTCAAAGATAACCACACTAGAAGGTCTCGCGCCGCTCATATGTGGACAGCCGCTCCGAGGCCACCCCAGCGTCGCCGATCGTCCTTCCTTCCCCTCAAGGAGAAGTCCTCTTTCCTATGCCTTTTCAGGTTAGAACCTGGAGATACTTCAATGACGGCCAATCATCAGCGAGATATTTAACACAGGTGAGGGGAAGCCCTTAACGAGGGCTCACAGTTCTGGAGGGCTCCTTTCACTTAACCTATTGACCTCAAGAGCCCAGGAGCCCGAGCTCGCGACTTTTTGGGTTCACCCAAGAGCCCAGGAGCCCGGCTCTCCCCAGGGCTCGTAGAAGGTGTGGAGCAGCCTTTGCTGTCTTCAGCGTGTAGTGTACATTAGCGGCGTTGCGTTGCGGTATACCATCCGCTCGACGACAGTGCATGCCTGCCTTGCCTTGCATGCTTGCTTGAGGCTCGTTGCCCGACCGGCGGACAGGCCAAACAATATACACGGAGGATCACGAAGGAGGATCCTCCGCGTCTTACGCTGTCGTCGCCGGCGAGCGCACACATCGCACCGGACCAGCGAGCGAGATCCGGTCGCGCAGGTCGCTCTCTTGGCCTCCCCCGGGCTTGCGGGCACCCAACCCCCTATATGCACTTTTGTCACATTGACACTGCCGGTCTCTGGTTTCGCGCAGACTCGGCTTGCTCTCCCCTTTGCCTGCTTGGTGGCGAGCAGTAACAGCACCAAAGCACTTGTAGCACCGCCCGCGGCGTCGCATACAGCGCTGGCTGGATGTTGGGGTGATTTCTTTCGCAGCGCAGCGCGTGCAGGAAGGAGCTCGCCAACAGCTGGATGACCCCCGTCGGCAATGCGAGGAAGGAAGCCTAGGCTAGGGCTCGGCGCGTTAGGCAGCGAAACAGCGGCTTGAGGCCTTGACTACCCGCTGGCGCTACACCCGCGCTGTAACGGAACCAGCGGCGTACATCGCCACGAAAGCGAAGAACAGCAGGGCAACTCAAACGTGGGCAGCGCCGACGGTAACGACACCCGGTTGGTGGGCGGACGGACGGCTTCAGCCTCAACTTCTGCCACGACGGCGCGGATGTATGAGCATGAATAGGTATTGATACAGTATGTAGAAGAGGTCGCTCCTTATCGTGGCCTGGGATCCACGCACGCCGAGAGCAAATGAGTTGAAGGGCGGTCGGACGGACGGCACGCCAGCTCCGCTCTGCTCTGCTCTGCGACTCTCCGAGCTATGCACGCACGCACACGGCCGCGACGTCGCTCCGGCTCGCCGAGCGCAATGAGTTGCTTGGTGTGCAGCACGGCGGCGACGACGACGCCATGGTTGTTGGGGAGGTCGAAGAGGTCGTGGGGCAGATGCGTCTACGCCGCTGTCACTGTTGCTGCTGTTGGCACCGCCAGCCGGTGCTGGCGCCAGCCAGCTGAAGCGGCAGCGGCCACTCCGCTCCTACCTTACATGTAGTGACGGTGTCGAGCGGCGGTAGTGGCGATGGTCGTGGTCATGGCAATCCTCAGCCTGCCGAGCGCCGAGTTCAACCTGCGCATGCTTCGAGTTGGCGAGCGGTAGCGGGGCAATGAACGCAACCTTCGGTCAGAAATGGGCCAGCTCATCTTTGGGACTCGTCACGACGGAGTGATTGCTCCGGAAGTTGCCTTTTTCGGCTGCAGGCACCGGACGCTTTTTTCGGTGCATCGTTCGTTCGGGGGCAAACGGGGTGTGCATGTTACAAACGTGTTATGTCTACTGCGAGTTAAATAGGCCGCGCGCGGGGTCACACAGCCTCAGAGCGCCGCCGCGCGAGAGACCATCTCGACGAGCTCGGGTCGGTGCTGTAGCAGCTCGCGAGCCTCCTCGAGGCAGACCTGTTACACAACAATTCATTAGTTGCTATTGGTGGTTGCAATCTTCCAGCACAGATTGCATTGCCCACGTATTATTATCGGTAGAAGCTGTTGTTGCACGGTACAACCACTATCGAACCTGGTAGCTTCTAGACGCTGGGAAATACGCATGCCCAGCAGCAGCAATAATACGTAGCGTTTCTACATTGCTTCACGAGGTCTGAAAAACATGGACACTGTTGTGTTGGGGGCGCACCAGTAGTGCACCGTGGTAGGCATTTTCGGGTCGTACGTATCCTGCGAACGTGAAGTTAATCCATTGGGTACAAAAGGCAATCATCCAGGGAGCGTGGCCCACGCGCCATTGTGCCACTCGGCGTGGCACAGGCAGAAGCAACGTACAGGTGACTTACTAGGGGTGCTCAATTGAAGTGCTCAGCCCCGACACGAGATGCACAAATCATAGCAGCCTCGTCAAGCTACGTGTAACGGGCTAACTGCAGCCCGTTACATGCTTACACAAGCAGAGGAAGTAGAAGGCAAATTGAACTCTGGTATTAAGGGCCGAGACGGTCTCGGCACTCGAGACCGTCCCAGCCATTAAACCTATAATGGGCTCTGATTGGCCACCGCGCACACGCGGTGGCGCCTGTGTGACAGTGGCCTGTCACACCACCCCCTACTCAAGATTGGAACATACACATATCTAAACTCTAGAAAGGAACTGCAGAGCTTCGCGAGGCGGACGTGACGCTACTTGGCAGGCGCGGGCCGACAGCGCGCGCGAAGTGATTGAAGCAGCGCAGCAGTGTCTCGGACGTCATCAAGGGCCGGCTGCTGCGCGACCGCAGCAGCAGCGTGGGCTTCAACGGAGCGATCTTGGTGCAGCTGGTCCGGCGCTGGCGTGGCACGAAGCGAGTTCGTCGCGGTGGTACGTACCGTGACTTCACCGTGGGTCAGGTCGCCGCGAATCCTGGAACAGCGAAGGTCGTCCGTCGTCTGAAGTCGAGCATCGCCGCTGGGCTGTCCGCACTTACGAGGCACTCGTTGAGTTAGGCACGGCTCGCCGCCGCGCCCTCTGCAAGCGACGTCTCGTACGCCGCCATGCAGTCGGGGACATCTGCGAGTAGGACCTCGCGTGGCTCCCAGCTGTCGTCCATCGGGCCAAGCCATCGAACCAGATACCGGCGGTGCGAAGGTATCTCTCCATCGCGGCGACGAGTGCCGCGATCCGTGCGTGCGCGCTGCGGTGCATCTCGGTGGTCGTCGTGGTTGAGAATGGCTTCGACAATGTGACGCTGGTTCCCAGTAGCGTCCACTAGGGGAGCAGGACCGTCGCGCTGGAATGCAGATGCGCGAACCTCGGGCAGACGCTGCGATGGCGCAGCGTCATGATCGACTTGGGCATGGTCATCGGCGCCGCCGGGAATGGCAGCGGGATGGTATCGTCGCAGTCGGCCAACGTAGAACGTAGGGTGCAGCCGGAGTGCCGTAGGGAGCTGCAGCGTGTAGGCGTCACCGAGTACCTTCGTCACTTTAAAAGGTCCAATAAATCGGGGCGCGAGCTTGTTCGCGCCTAAGTTCGTCACCAAACTTGGCGACATGCCCGTCGTAGAGAGCAGTACCCGATCGCCCACGGCGAACGTCTCCAGATGTCGTCGCCCTCGTCGATCGGCATATTCCTTTTGCCGGTCCACCGCCGCCGCGATGGTGTCGCGTACATAACGCACAACCGACTCACGTTTCTGCAGGAAGTCGCGGACAGCCGCAGTGTCTTGGGGCTGCGGCGCTGGGAGCGGATCGAAGTTGGCAGGAACCGGCGCGGCAGGTGTCGCCGCCTCTTGCGCGTCTTGATACTCGACGGCCCGACGTGGCATCGGGTCAATCAGCGTGCGCGAAGTCCAAGCTGCGATGTCCGAAGGTGCCGCCCTC